GTCAGTTATCGATCGGCCGTCGCTAGTGATAGTTGTGCGTAATAACTTTGAATTGACAGGTAAACAAACTTTTTGTACTTCGTAATAAATTGATTTAAGATTTATTTTTACGCTAAATTTAATCAAAGTTAATCCTAAATGGAATTGTATTTTATTGATTTTAAAACTATTATACTTGTTTCTAATTATTTTGATTAGTTTATTTTCTATAATTGATAAAATATAAAAAGTGACCTTGGGGCTAAAATTAACAAATTGGGTGGGGTCAGTATTAACATGTGTTATTAAACGACTGTTTTTTGCAAAAAGTACGTTTTTTTATAGAATGAGAAATTACAAAAGGAAGAGTACAAGGGGTCTTCGTCTCAAAAAGTATTTGAGCTGGCAGCTGAAGAAGTTCTGGTAAAAATAGAGATGTTGCTACTGAATACGATATTTGTCACGTAACGCTATTTAAACTTGTTACTGATCGTCCCGATCCAAATACTGCTTCGATGGGCAACCAGGGATCACTTCAGCCTGGAGATATTTCTGTCAACCCAGAAGAAGTATCACTACATTTAGACTCTTCAATCCAAAATGAAATTTTACATAGCATGCCTGATATTGACATAAGTATTTCAGAGGTTATTGATAAACTATCACACGTACCATCAAATAAACAGCGACCGTCTCATGAACCAGGACCATCAAATACAAAGCCAACAGAATGTTTTAACGTAGAAACAATAAGACCGCTTCCAAAAGCACCTCCACGTGTCGAATCCAAACGAAAGCGTTCAAGGAAATCAACGATTCTCACTGATACTCCCGAAAAATTGGCCTTAGAGGAGGAAGCAAAATTAAAATCATCAAAAAAGATAAAAACTAGTCTGACTGAAACTAAAAATAAGGGTAAAGGCAAAGGGAAAAGTAAAGGAACCCGGAGAGAAGAAGTAGAAAAGGTTAAGAAGCATATTCTGCAGGACGTTAGTGAAGAAGATACCTGCTTTTGTTTGGTTTGTGCCGAGTCTTATAATGAAGACACATCTGGACTTGACTGGATACAATGTATTTTATGCAAAGGATGGGCTCATATCACCTGTATTAGAGGTGATACCAGAAAATACATATGCCTCAACTGTTTCTCAGATGAAGAGAAATCGTATTCTGATTAATTATTGCCTGATTTGAAGTACTTATTTCCTGTCTAAGTTTAAGTACAAATTAGATTAAGACTGATTTAACTAGTTACCTTATTAATATACCTAAAGACTAACAACTTGTCTCATACTAAAAAGAATTAACACTGTGACATTTGTTGATGAATATCAAGTAGATTTAAAATACTGTATTGCTTAAGGTAACTCATAGAGGTTTTTTAAGACTGATACTAAAATGTTTATGTGACTTTTATTTAATTATTATGTTTAAACTATTTAAAAAAATGTTCGTAACAGATTTATAAGATAATACTATTTTTTCTACTCCATTAAGAAACTTAAAGACTGTTGAACCTAAAAAGTTTAAGTTTAAGTAAGTAACTTTAAAAGATTAAGTTTAAACTATGTGTTTAATTTTTTTTAGGCTTAAAACTATTCAAACTGTAGCAATGATTATTATTAAGTGTAGATTTAAAAGAATTTGTTATATTCTTTCAGTTCCTATCATAAAAAGTACTAATTAGTTTAACATTGAAGGCAATAAAACTTTTTCATTAATTTCAGTGACATTTTATTTGAGTATTTGATATAATTCAAGTATCTGTTATTAATTGCCCCTTACGTTAATACTTACCCCAGCTTCGTTAATATTCGCCCCACATGCGGGGTATATATTAACAAATGACTTTTGGTTTTCATGGCTCTCTTTCTGGAAGCACTTACATACCTGATGATTTTTGTTATTAATATCATAGCTGAATAACCAAAGCATGTTTTCAATAAAAAATGAAACGAAAAAGTCTATTATCAACGAAAATATAAATCATAATACAGAATTTGTTAGTACCAGCCCCGCCCTCCCCTACTGTAGTTTTTATTGTTTTTTTTTATTACTCTTTAATGTATATGTATAATATTCTACAGTTTCGTATTTGTAAATAAGTAAGGAACATGTATACTAACTTTTTTTTGGTATAGTAGTTTTATTCTAGGAGTACATTGTCTTTACATATAATTAGATAATTATTTAACTAATGTATACAAAATATTGTAAACCTATTTTAAAAGAGTAAGTGTGGAGTTTCTTGCCCATTCTTCTCCACACGAAACTACCTTTTGGAAGGGGCAACTAGAATCTTTATATTTTATTTGACGTTCAAAAGTGCCATTTTAGGTGGTCTAATTGAAATAAACGATTTGTCTTGACTTGACATGACATGTTTTGGCTATAGGTTTCTAGGCTATGAGTCAGGCTATGTGAATTCAGACAGTGTGCAATTCAATATATAGTCTCACATGCAATAGTATTGAAGGTGCGCCCATGTGTTAAACGGCATTAGTACGTATTGTTTGAATTATGATAACATTATTAATGTCTGCAATTGATTCACTTACACTTTCATCATCAAATCAATTTTATAAAAAGCATAAATCATTCATAAAATTCCCTTATCAGCCCGATTGATTTATTGCTTAAAACAATAAACGCATCATTCGATGGATTTATTCATTTAATATTTGTTCTGTAAATACAAATGAAAATAATTTATTGTAATTGACTCGTAATTACTGAACACCAATGTGTTAATTGTATATTATTAATAATAACTCAATAAATACATACATAATAAATCAGACTAATAGAAGAATGTCATTGTCTCTCTCTGGCAAGTTGTGTTTACACTGCGATGAATAGAGATAGATGAGTTAAAACGGGACAATTCGACTTTTTTAGTTTTTATGAATGAATTCTTTTTATAACTTATACATTATTATACATAGTTTTGTCAATTAGTATGCGTCAATTTCAATCTGACGAATGACTATCAGTGTAATACTCCTCTTCAGCCCTGCGATTCTGTAACTCACTTTTCGAACTCACACAGCGGTTTTCGCATCGGCGGTCGCTCTCAAATCAGTCGTGAAGCAGTCATTTTATGATTTGGCATTCTGATAAACAATAAACTACAAGCTCCCACCTTTTCAGAATGCCAAATCATAAAATGACTGCTTCACGACTGATTTGAGAGCGACCGCCGATGCGAAAACCGCTGTGTGAGTTCGAAAAGTGAGTTACAGAATCGCAGGGCAGCTCCTGTTTTACATTCTACTTCTTTCCGTATAAAGTGACAAGAGTTATATAGTTCAAGAGCAATGTTTTAAAACATGTGATACATCTTATCATTGGTATATTTATCAGTGAGAGCGTTGAACGTAGTGCACTCATAGGAAATTAGTGTTTATTGGCATTTCTCTAGTGGAAGCCTGCGAACGTGTATTCGTAAATCTAGCTTCGTAAATATTAACTGAAGAATTTACTAAATAATCTAGATTACATCTTTCTTATAATTTTAATAATCTAAATCTAAACGAACTTTCAGTGTGAAGGTATCTAATAATGTGTCAGTATTTAACAACAGATGAACCTGCCTATCTGCCCATTCGTATAGTATGTGATTTCCATTAGTTAAATGCATCATAAGGATATTGATCGTTTAATACATTCGCAATTTAATGGTTACTATTACTTAGATCCTGTAACGACGTGCGGGCCGGCTACTTTCATTAATCATACAAAAACTTAGACAATATCTGCGAGAATAAACATAATCAATGGTACTTACTTTAAATGAGGTGTGCCAAAACGTAGCGGTGATCTTCAGTGCACTATTATAGTGATTAAATACGATAATAGACAATATAATTCTTTAAGCATAATACTACTACGAAAATGTAGAACAAAATACGGATCGGGTCGCGTGTCTGTGATTGGACAAATACTGTTGACAAATCACAATCAATCGATATGTTACTGTAAAAGTTCGAACTACGGTTAATCTTAAGATTTAAGTGTAAATCTTAGGATTTACCGACATGAGTTGGTAAATGTAAGTATTTCTGAAAATACGACGATTTTTTCGAGCTTTCACCATCCGAATTCAGTATATGCTAGGTTTTACCACTGTCAGCTGGTAGATGTTGGTTTTAGGAATAAAACAATGAGTAATTCTTAATTATTTACTTTAATGAACTATTAGACAAAACATGTACATAGTATTATAAAGGTATCATATTATGATAGTACTAAGTACAAACTAATACCAACTTATTTAAATTATTTTGAAAAAACACATAACGTATATCTCTGAATATCTCAATCTCTATCATATCTATCTAACTTAATCAGTAGTTCTCTATTTGGAATTTAACAACGAAATACAAACATAATGCTTACATAAGCTAGTCATGTTTTGTTTTTCAACATTTACCGTGCCATTAATGTAAATCCTAAGATTTACCAACGGAATGGTGGTAAGAGTTCGAATCGCAAACCTTTTGGGACATTTACCATTAGGAATTGGTAGATCTTAGGTTTTACTGGAATATCTTAGGATTTACTGCAGTTCGAGCTTTTACAGTAACAGATACATCCCATTTAATTGTACATTGTCTTTGTTAAGTATATCAACTGAAAATTTTACCGTTCAAACCGAGCAGATTAATAAAATAATATTCACGCTGTAATTTAAGCTCATGTAATTAGTAAGTCGCAGTGAAATGGTGATAAGGAACACGATTATGTCGTTTAATCACGCCAGTGTAATGTGTTTGTTAGAGTATGCAAAGTGGTTAGAATTACTTCCGTTTCAGCAAAGATTGGGCTTTCACGCATGTTATATAAGATCGGGAATTGTATGAAACAAGCGCGAAGACATTTCAAAATTTGCTTCTTGAAAAATTACGACGCGTTGTAATGTGCGTTAAGGCTTGTAGCGTCTATCGACTTAATACTTTGTTTTTACTATTTTTTTTGTATTTTTCCATATCTAAGTTAGTTTTATCATTCTGTCTCAACAGCTACTTGGGTAAATCGTTGTAGTGAAGACTTGGAATGCCTGGATTTAGAGGAAGAACAGCCTCTGGCCCAGCTTAGCACCGTACAAAATGAAAAGATGACACTTTTCTTCACCGAACTGCTGGACCATGACCGAGATGACGTCATCTGTGACCAAGATTTTGATAATTTTTTTGAGGTAACAACGCAATTAAGTTTTTGTCGTCTAACAGCAATGTATATTTTCTTTCATTATATATAATTTTTAAATCTATTATAATTTCGAATGGAGTTCTGAAAAGGCAGCATTGTTAAAATTTGATAAAAAAATATCTATCAAAGTGTTATTTTTATTTTACAAAAGGTACATATCGCTTAACACTGTTTTGTTAGATAAAATTTATTACATTTTCCAAAGGATGAATGTAATTATTTTAAAGAATGCACTCAGTTGACTTCAATATTCATCGCCGATATTCATAAAGTAAAATACTTTGCATGTATGATGTAATAACAATCTAGCAAAGCCGAGCTTCAATAACAATAGAAGAAATAATTATAATAAAATTACAAACTTGCGTTTCTCTAATAAATATCTTCATATCTAAGACATCAGACTATAGCTACCATAGAGTTTCATATTTTCTAAGTTAATACTTAGATAAGCCAACTCATTCAATTATGACATTGGATCCGCTCCATTAACCTAAGTTATTAAGTCGTTTCAGTTATTCCTATATGTCATATTTTTATACATTTGAAATAGTTCCACAGAACCATAGTTAACTTCACTTATTTCCCAAGGGAAATTATAGTTTATGACGCCATAATCTAATATTTTAAGCTATCGAACTTAATAGTTTTCATGTTTTGTTCAAACCAACACTGTTATTTTTATTACAAAAAAAAAAAAAAACTTAAATTAAGACCAAATATATGTAGTTTGGATTGAGTTAGATTAAGACTTAACACCAATTATGTAGGGACTACATTTTAAAAGCACAATTACATACAACTTTTTAAACTTCGTGAAAGCTTAATTTACGCTGACGCCCGCTCGGCTTGGTTAAATAAAAATAACCATAACAATGACTTAACAAATGTAGGAATAAAAGTTTATATTGCTCGGTAAAGAAATAGGGACAATTAAACGAAATTTACAGAAGCTGGCCCATTTTGCGGACTGGTCGCCCAACTCGTCGGAGTTTCACATACTCTTGGAAGTGAAGAGAGAATTCATCGAACATTTCCTCGACCCGTTGCCCAACAAGTAAGTTGAGTGTTCCATCTTTTGTTTGCGTTATAAATTTTCATTGTTTTCAATTGTTAAGTATTTATTTATACAATTAGCTTAAGGATGTTCTTCAAAACATTAATTATTAAACATTTTTTTTTACTGAATAATAAAAAAAATCATAGAATATTACATTTGAAAGCAACTGTAGAAATGAAATGTATGTAATAATAACTAATATGTACTATATTTGGTTTGGTTATATATTTCAGCATCTATTTCAAAGATCATTTCAACAGGGTTTTTGTTTTTATTGCATTTGTACGTAGAAATAGAATATAATTTATTCTCATTACATAAAACCTTTTTGCAAAAAAACTAAGATAGGAAGTACGTGATCTGACCGGAAATAGCACTTTCAGGTAAATTAGAGATAAAGGTTATACGTGACACCAAGTTTTCTTAACCTTAGAAATAGTTCGAGCATAAACTTACCTGATTGGAGGATATCAACAGTGAGGAAATTGACGTTCTGAATATAAAATAAAATACACTTTTACCAAAGTTACATTTAAAAAACTGTTCCAATGATACATGTGTACTTTGGCCGGTATTATGTGTTATTCGATTTAATTATTATATTTACTAAATTGTAAATTTAAACGCTTTTAACTATATATAATAATTATATATGTATTTTTGACGTAATATAGATTTTCTTAACTCGAGTTAAAGATAATATTAAATCTTTGCACATATTAGTCATGAACTAATAAGTCTTCACTAATTACTGCTTGTGTGAAATCAGATCAAGATAAAATTACAATGGCGACACGAAAAATACCCCTAAGATATTTTATTTAATGTATTTTGTTGGTCTTGGAAAAATTTAAAAAAGGTAAATTGGAGAAAACCGCGACTTTCTACGTCTGATCATAATTTAAATCACGTGTTTTCTAATGTATATATTATGTGCATTTTCTGGTTAGATTTGCAGAATTACCCTACTACAGACGCGTTTGTGGTCCCGAAGCTGGAGGTTTACCCGGACGGACGACACTTGAAGGCTGGCTGGCTAGATGGGCGCTTCTATTGAGTGAACCAAACAAGTTTGCAGATTTACCGTTGTATTTGCAGTACTTCTGCAAGATTTTGTTCCACATTATTGATAGGACAGGTACGTAATATAAGAGAAAATACCGTGAAAATTGCGGTTCCTATCGAATGAAAATTGAAAATTAATTGATATAGTTCTGCTAAATAACGTAACTATTACTAGTGCGTTATAATTAATTCATAGTAAAAATCTCACGATGATGTTACCAAAGGGAAATTTAAAATCGTCTTTATATCTGAGTAAAACACGTGTCAATGGAATTGATGTCATTGGAGAGGTGTTGTTGTAGGCCTCTCTTACTTCATAGCTGCAAGCACTGTAGCCGTCCTCCCCCAGCTTAATATATCAAATAGGGCGATTTGGGAATAACTTGCTGAATAAAGGGTCATTCATTCCCGCGGAGAACCAACGAATAACTGTAGATCGCGCGAAGAAAAGAAATGGCTTAAAAAGTGCCTCTATGACTAGCTTGCTATAATTTTTATTTATTTAATAAATAACACATGATACAAGTAATGAAAAAGAATACGGACATTAAAAATATACATAGAATACGTTATAAATAGCAAGCAGTTACATAAAATAACAGCAAAAAAAGCTATATATTAAATAAACAGAGAGAACACTGTGATTAAATAAGCCAAGGTTCAATAAATCTACGTGATCTTGATAAAACTGCTTGATGAATAGGATTAATTTGACGTAAGTGTACCTGTCGGGAGCCTTAGGCAATGGAATACGATAATTACGATCCACAATCACAGTAATAACGGCTTTATAACAATGGTATAAAATTCATTATTGTACAAACCATTTGAATATAAGAACCAAAAATTGTTGGGAAAATTGATGAACAATTAACAGCCTTCACTTTGACGAAGCAAAAATAAACGTTATAATTTTTTTTTACAATATTAATTACGCAATCATTTTTATTACATCATTACTAAGTTCATTTATTTTTGCTACCTTTCGTGAATTATCTTTATTTTTATATTAATTTAACAAAGCTTTTAACTAAGAAATATTATAACATCGTAAGGCAATTGTACATACATATAACGAAAACACATAACTTTTAAATATTATATTATATCTTTCCATTCTGCTGTCATGTTTATATATAATTTATTTTTGTTTCTGTGAAACTGTTTTAGGATACTTCCAATATTCTTTTTATTGACCTTTTTCTGTTTCTACTATAGAGATATGTGTGTTTGTTTCTTAATAAATAAATATAACATAATTTAGGAACCTATACTTGACAGTATAGAGCTGAAAAGTGGAAGCACGAAAGATAGCAAAAACATATAATAGTCTCATAGTGGGCTTGTAAATGCGGAAATAACGCCACAATAAATATACATTCTGTATTCGGCACTAAAAACTAAAACCTATTAAATGAAAAAGCGCTTTATGATATCCATATCAAAAATGTTAGAATAGAAAAATAATTGAAATCTCCGTTTCCAGTGATATTTCAAGGGATTTCAGAGTTGGCAATTGAATTGAAATTTCAAGCCAAAATCCTACTTCGTACGTTCCTATTTCTTGCGACTCTATTATATTATATTCCCTCGGCCTCTTTGTTTCAAGTCTAAATCCGACGGCTGCTCACAAAATAAAATATAAAACACACGATGTACTGCCAAATGCAAGGCAGGCATATAAAATGCTATTCATTTTAAAACTCATTTTGCGTACTCGAAAACAAATAGTTGTGCATGATCTTATGATGTTTAATTATATTAAATCGGTAAAATTCGTGAATTATGAAATTAAAACTAAAGGGATTTAAAAAAAACCTTAAATTATCGTGCTCGCTATTGCGAGTTTCAGTAAATTGTAATTTCTAAAGAAAATTTCAGGGTAAGTAATGGATAGACGAACTACAACTTAGAACTTCTATACACAACATTCACTTATAATCGACTTCAAAAAAGGAGGTTTTCAGTTTTACCTGTGTGTGTATTCTAAATTTCTTATGTGTTTGTATGTTAGTCCACATATTCAGTTTCTCGATTTATTTTTGACTTAGGTACTAGGTATATTCAAACTTAGGTAGCAGTGCAAGCTTTATCAAAATCGTATGCATTTCTGGATAGGAGGTGTGTAGTAAAGTGGTTTAATATTTCTAAATTACTGTTATTGTGTATCGTATTCATAGATAATATTTCCATAGGTGTTGGAGAAATAACAAAGGATGCCCTTGCATCATTTTACCGGTCAGTGATTGGGTTACCAGCGAAAAGAATAGAAGAAATCATAGATACTGCTTACGACCGGATGACGAGTGTGAGTAAAAGTATATAAATTTTAATAATTTTAGTACGTCTTACAAATGTTTCCATCAATATTCTTCTAGAATTGATCATAGACAGACATAAGACCTTTATCCGAAAGAAGAAGCCTGGACTAAACAGGGTAAATAATTATAATAAATAATCTAGAGACGTTACCTTGTCTTGGCCTCAAATTGCATTGATCTGTTTCTATGATACGTTTTTATAGATATAGGTGATCAGCCTTCTGTGTCTTGACGCATTTAAAAAAAAAATACTCAAATAGGTCCAGTCTACGAGTTTTGCCCTTATTTTGACATTTTTCTTTATATTTTTGTATATACAGACACTTGTATGGTACACTAGTTTAGTCACATATTTATTTCTTTATTTTTCTTTTTTATGATTGGACAATTCACACCAATTGCCCTAGTCCCAAGCTAAGCTGGTGAAGCTTGTGTTATGGGTACTAGGCAATGGATACACATACATATTATAGATAGATGGACATATAAATACATATTTAAGCACCCAAGACCTAAGGACAACACCAAATGCTCATCACATCGATGTTTGTCTCAGCCGGGGATCGAACCCGGGACCCATGGATTCGCAGTCAGGGGTACTAACCACTAGACCAATGAGCCGTCTATTGAGAGCATGTCGTCGATTTATTGGTTTACATTTCCTCAAACTGTTGTCGTCGTAGCAAGTGTTAATCACACAGAAAGAACAGTTGCGTTTTTAAGCCACTAGGCCAACACTGCTGTTTGAATGCGGTTAAGAATGTGCGGAAACACATTGCCTGAGTGAAAAATGTTTCGGTATGAAACGTACCGGAAACTGATCATATTTGCCTAAGAAAAATATTTCACAAGATTGTTGAATTTCTTAATTAAGCCGAGTCATTACTTTTTTCTTTAGTCTTTTATCTATTACTTCTAGTGGAGTTAGTAAGGAAATTTCACCTATCTCTAGTCCGTAGCCCAGATGTTTTTGAAAACTTTTATTATTTAACTAACTGTTAAACGGTGCTAATATATTTCAGAATAGCTATCTAATCCTGGATTACGGCACCTTCGTACACTGCTACATAAATTGGCTCATGGGCAAGAATCCCAACGGTCCCGGACAGTGGGTGCTTGTCCCTTCGAAGGACTCCCTCCCACAGCCGCCTTTTCCCGTAGACTATAGCGCCTTAAACACAGAACCTGGCAAGTTAGAACCATACGCGCCAGATAAAAAAACTAATCGACACTCTGTTATCGTTTAAGTTGATGTGAAATTATGTGTTACGTCATAGCTCTTTAAAAGAAAATACAGTGTTACCAGGTTAGTTAACCGGGATTGAGTATAAGAATTATTTAAAAAGTATTTAAATTGATTCTTTTCAAATCGCCTGCGTTTTTTTTGTTATTGTTGGTAGGTATATATCTTTTAGGTGACCATCTTGAACAATTATATCCAGTAAATTTAATAGTAACAAAATGTGTATTTTCTTTTATAGTTGTGGTACTCGCATTACTAAATAGGATTACTTATATGGTAGTGGCTGATAGTGAGTACATGCGACATGTCAAAAACCAAACTTCTACGCTTTTCCACATGTTCCATAAGCTTACCTACGTGATATATCGATTTGATTTACTCAATAATTAATTAACAATAAGCTAATAAACAAAAACCCTTAACGAATGTTACGATAACCAATTGCGATGTAATTCTTTCATAGCGCTAAATTAAATAATTACAAATACAGATACCGGCAAACATCTTGAACAAATGATCTTGCGCAGAAGCGATTTTTAGGTATCACTGGGAGGGGGGGCGGCGGGAGGCGTGTCGATCGCGTGATTGGTAAATCAGTTGACGTTTATGTGTACGATGCGCAAACCTTCCCCCACTCCTTTGTTTAATACTCAAGAAGTTAGCCGGTATCTGTACGTTGTACGAAAATTCAATTTTGGTGATGTGATCGTAAACGGTTTTGTAGCGTGGTAAGCCTGCCGATCATATGCTGTCTTATGTACTGTGTTGGATGACAAATGTTTTTACAATAACGAGTTATGATTGCAAAATTTTGGTAAAACATCTCTGTACACAATTAAAGTAAATTGATTATATGAGTCATACTAATCTCGTGGACATTTTTATTTTGTATAGAAATATCTGTAATACACATAAGGGGTTTCATGCTTTATACACATGTACAATTAAGACTTTATAACACGCTGACAAAGATTTCATGTGATTTGTACAAAAAACAGTATGTTTTTCATAATCCTTTGGCTATTTATATTTGTATACTATCCTCAGTGAAGTTATTCAATTTTCTACAGTTCAGTAAAAGTTCTGAAGAAAAATTACACTTTGATTATGTACTTTACAGTCGAAGTTTAAATATAAATATCATTAATTGAATTAAAAAGTTTCAGGAGAAAGATAGCTCTCGTTGATTGAAACCACGGAATAACAAGATATTTTTTACACTTACCCTATCTCTCTTGTACTCCCAATAAAGAAAAAACATCAAAAAATATAGCTTAGAGTAGCCTTAAAGAATTTTGGTTTGCCTTGAAGTCTAGCAAAAGAACAGTCCATAGTATCAAGATTATATTGCAAAAACTCATATTATGTTGTCCACCGTCCATAGAAGTGGTGTATTTTTATGCTATAATTTACGCCTAAAGTACGCCTTATGCTCTATGGTTTAAGTGGCTGTATTTGACAATTTACCGGAACTATGTAATTTTTGCTTAAATATCAAAAAACTAGATTACTTGGTCGGCCTAGTTTGTTGGCTCCACAAAAACACGTCACTCAAACGACTTATCCTACTTTTAAATTCTGCTTAATTGAAATGAAACGCTTTAATCTTTTGGTAACTTGACCAATCTATACGCCTTTAGGTATTTAATAATTTAGATAAGTGTAAATAGAATAAATACGTGCACAACACGGTAAGCAAGAACTGCCTTAATGTAAGTCTCCTCACGTTACGTATAGCCTTATTTTGTACCTTAGGTATAGTTTATTCTATTGTAAAGTCACCGAATAAAGAATTTAATAGAATTGACTTTTTGTTATCAACCACCTTACATTTTAACAATTGAACCTAGTAAATGCTATGCCCGCAAGTGAGTGCCTTATCTAATCGAGCTAATCCCCCATACAAGACATAAAGAATAGTGTAAGAACTATAGAAATCACATAGTGTCTTATCTTTGGGATTTTTACGTGTGTAACATATTGAAGGATAGTTTGATATTTAGATTTTATATTTATTAATGGCGATATATATCTTCCACTTGAGATTCGTAAGTCTCAACCCCGAAGTCCTGAGTCTGCGGTGTTTGAGCCGGCTGTAATGTAACGGGACCAATGGATTTTTTCTATATGAGAAGGCATTTGCTCATGCCTTGCTCGTCTTCTTACACTTAGAAGGAAAAGCTAGTGAGGAAACCCGAAAATTAAAGGGGGTGTGTTACGGTACAAAAAGCTACTTGCGTTTGCGGAACATGATCAAGAAAAAGAAAGCAACTTCAGAAATTTGAAGCAAAGGCGAGCTGTAGCGCCAAAGCTTTATTTTTAAAAATGATTTCTTACAACTTACTTCGTTTTGTTATAGAAATAATTTGTTTTTTATTTTAAGATCAAAATAGAATATTAGACACTCATCACATATAGCATTCTATATTTTAATTTTATCAAGTTATCTTTCATATCCTTACGATTAAAGCCCAAAATGGAGACAAATTCAAAATAAATCGTATGATTAATGTCGCTACAAACCGTCCTTTCATAAAAGTAAAAAAAGTAGAGTCATTAATCAACTTAAATCAAGACAGATTTCAAAGGACAAATTGAACGACCTCAAAGAAGCTTTAAAGAAATGAGTTTATTCAATCAAATATTAGGGTTCCGTTTTTCCATAATAATATAATATGTTCCTGAGCTACCTTCATCTGAAGTCTGAACCAAAAGGCAATATTTTATTTTGAACACAGACTTTAGTCGTAAATTACATATAACGTTGTTTTGTTTGGTTTTTACTCCAGAAAAGAAACAATATTTCCGTTTGTCGTCAAGACCTCAACAAGTTGTTGAACTAAAAACTAGACTGAGTTTCGCGGTATGTCACATGTCGATCTTCCTCAATCAGCTTACGCACAGCATCAACGTTTTCTTGGGTGACTGCAGTTTTTGGACGACCTTGACGGGGATCATCACTGAGCTTGACACGTCCACGTTGAAATTCAGCAAACCAGCGATAAATTGTGGTTATGGATGGGGCTTCATCACCAAATGCAGAAATCATCCGGTCAACACACTGTTTTTGTGATAAACCACTTCGAAAGTCGTAATAAATCATCGCTCTTGAATTTTCTCGAGTCAATTCCATTTTCTCAACGACTAAACAAGTTTGACAAAACTTTGTGAAAAGACCGAGAATCTTTTTTAAACAAAATAAATGGTATTCGATATAAAAAAAGGAGTTTTCAATTAAAAAGATTTAAATATGACAGGAACAGTGGTATTATTCCATTCCCGATACTTTTAGTGCAGCCTATGTACCAAGCGCCATCTTAAATTTTTAATTAACACCTGTGCACTTGAACCCCGCGGCCCAAGAGTGTACTCCGAAGGGAAAGTTGCCAATACTTTTATTGTTTTTCGAAGTAATCTGCGTTCCTCTCTACACGTCGTCGCATTCGATGGAACCACTGAGAAAAGCAGAAGGGGCCCATTATTTCTTAGTGATCTCTTCTGTGGCATTTTCGTACGCTTTCACCGCATCTTCAGGGCTCGTAAAGCGAATACCTCGAATTTTGTCTTTAGTTCTTGGGAATAAATTAAAGTCGCAGGGCGCCAGGTTAGCCCTGCGATTCTGTAACTCTCTTTTCGAACTCACACAGCGGATTTCGCATCGGCGGTCGCTCTCAAATCAGTCGTGAAGCAGTCATTTTATGATTTGGCATTCTGATAAACAATAAACTACAAGCTCCCACCTTTTCAGAATGCCAAATCATAAAATGACTGCTTCACGACTGATTTGAGAGCGACCGCCGATGCGAAAACCGCTGTGTGAGTTCGAAAAGTGAGTTACAGAATCGCAGGGTAGTGACTGTATGGCGGATGACTCATTATCTCGACACCTGCCATAGTCAAATATTCAACAGTCCGTTTTGCGGAGTGCGCTGAAGCATTGTCAGTAAATTTACAGTAAATTTCACAGTAAATTTTTCAATGGTTGTAGTTCTGGTTTGATTTTTTGGATCTTATAAGGATGTAATTTTAAGTCTAAGGCCAAAACCTTTTCTTTGTATATCGTTACGGCAGAATATATTACTAATAATAATTATTTATTAAATATGTTTACCAATATTTTTTTTTTATTCCTTTATTTTACAAAATAATATAATACAATCATAATATGTTACATTAGAAAACCGCTGTGGTTTGTATATTATTTATTAATTATCTCCACCATAGACTTCACTATTCTTTCATCAGTCACATATACACTGCTGTATCCCATACAAAGATCTCTTTTAACGTCAACAATATTTTTCTTAACTTTACAAGAGCTATGTACTATTTTGCACCCTATTTCAACAAATTTTTTAACATTATCTAAATTCACACCAGATCCCGGCATAATTTCTATTTCAGTGCCAAATTTTTTATTCAATTCCTCTATCAGTTTAACTGCATCATTATCAATTGCCATAATTCTTTGGCCACTAGTCAGAACTCTATCAAAACCCAGTTGTATTATTTTTTCCATTGCATCAAAAGGATTGTTACATAAATCAAAAGCTCTATGAAATGTTACAGGGATTGGTAAAGCTTCTAATATAATAAGAGAACAATTTTGTATGTCTAATTCTTGCTTGTCTGTTAGCGCACCAAAGACAAATCTATTTATTTGCATTTTCTTAAAATATCTAATATCTGCAAGCATTGTCTGCATCTCCATTTGATTATAACAAAAGTCAGAACCACCTCGACAACGAATCATGATGTTTAATTTTGTTACCTGAAATAAATAAAAGTTTTATATTCAGGGAACCCAGTTTAAGTCAAAAAATCAATAAATTACTTACTGCTTTTGATTACAAGTAGTGAATAATTCAATTCAGATAATGAAAACTTCACTTCTTTTGAATTATATCTATACTTATATACTATATTTAGAAATTGTGAACTTCTTTACCACTGAAAGCGGACCAACTAATATGTATAATGTTAACAACGTACATGCTGATTTGCTGTTTGATGGCCATCTTCAGAATTACTACATATTCCCTTAAATTTGAACACCTCAATAACTTCATTTACAAGCCCTGGTGAGGGAGTGAGCCCACCTTCCGTCAAAGAACTGCATATTTCTAATTCATCAGCCCCTCCACCTATTGCATTTATTGCAGACTCTAAGCTGTCAATACAAACTTCTAATTTTCCTGGAAAAAATTAACTCATATAATTGACACTAACTGTGCCAGAATGTTGAATAGCATAGCTAGCTAGCAAAATAGAAAATAATGTAATATGAAAGGTGTAAAGTTATATGAATACTTAGCTAATAATAAGCTCTATTTAAGCGAAAATCCATGTCACCCCAGCAGCCAACTTTTAACAGAGTAAGTTTTTTTGTTTAATATAATCCGATAATAATTATAATCTCAGTCATATTCCCCACTCTTGATTTTATAGAGAAAGATTACTTAATTTTAAGGAAAGAATATCTGTTCAGTATATACTTACTTTTTGAACGATTTGAAACGCAAACACTGTCTTTTAAAGACATAATATTAGTCTTCCTAAATACTAGTTGTCTATTTAAAAATTAGAATTTAATTTTTGTTACTACCAACTAAAAGTTCCTTCTTTAAAAAATATTGAATGTTATTATTTACTAACTTACATCTTACAGATCCCGCTATAATTCCACAGAGAATATAATGTATTATTGTATTAAGTGTTGACAGTTGATTAGTTAAATTCGTATGTATAATACAAGGGTGAACTCTCTTCTCCATCTATTTTGTAGCCATGGTACAAATAGACATTGACGTGTTGTCACTGTCAGTATTGACTGCCCAGTGACTGATATATTTTAAAATAATCAACCCACTTCATGATTCTGCCTTTTGACATTTCCAGATCTCGGACACGCGAACGTAGGCAAAGATTTGTCCACGTTCGCTTTTCATAGTTAGGTATTTACTTAATAATAACTTAAAGAATAAAATAAAATAATTTATATTTAATATTAATCAAAAATAATTCATAAAATATTGTGTCAAATATTCAAATCTATTCTATCAGGTTTTTGGAGGTTATTTTTCATTTCTAGTGTATATGTGCTACATATTAAGAGAAAGTCTTGACCTATGTAGTGAAATAGCCCTCCAGTAGTTGTGTGTCATTAGGATTTAATGTTTACAGTTATGTCTCGAAAAAAAGCTACCGAAGAGACCGACAAACTTACTCGTATTGCCATTGTAAATGCTGATCGTTGTAAACCCAAAAGATGTAGACAAGAATGTAAAAAAAGCTGTCCTGTCGTGCGTATGGGAAAGCTGTGTATTGAAGTGACTCCTAATGATAAAATATGCACCATATCTGAAGAACTGTGCATAGGTTGTGGTATCTGTGTCAAGGTGAGTTACCATAAAGTCATAATTTTATGGTGATAGTGTCTTTAAATAAGTTCAATTGCTAATATTCACATTATTTTACAGAAATGTCCCTTTGATGCTATTACTATAATTAATATTCCATCAAATTTGGAGAAGCATACTACTCACCGTTACTCTAAGAACTCTTTCAAGTTACATCGACTTCCTATCCCTCGTCCTGGGGAAGTTCTGGGGCTTGTTGGTCAAAACGGTATTGGAAAGTCAACTGCTCTGAAGATCCTTGCCGGGAAACAAAAGCCCAATTTGGGTAGATATGTTGTATGTTGTTATTTTTTTATAATAGATCAAATAATCTGCTAAATTCTCTTTGTTAAGTATTTTGATTATAGGATTGACTATTTATTCCAGGACCCCCCAGACTGGCAGGAGATTTTATCGCATTTCCGTGGATCTGAGTTACAAAACTACTTTACTAAGATCCTAGAAGATGATTTGAAGGCCCTCATCAAACCACAATATGTGGATCAAATCCCAAAGGCAGTAAAAGGAACTGTAGGAGCCCTATTGGATAAGAAAGATGAAAGGAAAAACCAGAAAGTAATATGTGACATGCTGGGTATGCTATTCATTTTTTTAATTCCATAAAGATGCCATTAAATTTGTAGAATTTGAAATGTCATCAACCTCAACAAACTCCTCAAAAGAATTTTTCAAAGTAATCAACTCTGAGACTCAACTCAACAACAACAGAGATACAGCACTTCACAGTCCTGTACTTTAAATATATGTATATTGTATATACTAAAATGTAATAAGTAAGGTGGATAGGGATTATATTTATGTTAAGCATGAACTAAAATCTGTATTGCAATAGTTTATTTTTACATCCTACCTATGATATTTTATGCCTGTATTTAAAATGGAACCAGGTACTATAGAAAACAAATAAAAAGCCTTTGTTATATTAAGTTTTATATTCTATTGTATGTTTATTCATTTAAGTGTTTTCTCAATTAGATTTGTCACACATTCGTGACCGTGAAATTGCTGCTCTGTCGGGAGGGGAGCTTCAGAGATTTGCTTGTGCTATGGTGTGCATACAAAATGGGGACATTTTCATGTTTGATGAGCCCTCCTCCTACTTGGATGTTAAGCAACGGTTGAATGCTGCCCGCACTATTCGATCTCTTATACATCCTGATAAGTGAGTTTAAGAATCATGCATTAGTTATTGTTTGTTAAGACTTAAACTTGGTTAAATATAATAATGGCATTATTTATAGGATTGCATTTTGAGGATACCAATTGCCATCTTGATTTGTATGTATGTACATATATTATTTTCTTGCCATTGTAATAACAATTTTTTCCTTTTTTTTGCAGATTTATCATAGTTGTGGAGCATGACTTGTCTGTGTTAGATTATTTGTCTGATTTCATCTGTTGTTTGTATGGAGTGCCTGGTGCTTATGGTGTAGTTACTATGCCATTTTCAGTGAGAGAAGGTAATAAATATTAAAAAAAGTGTTAATAGAAGTAACAAAATATTACTTAAATAATATTTATAATTTATTCATATGTATATATTAGTTATGTATGTATAGTATATACACTGAACATGGTTGTAAACACATGTGACATATACATGTAATATCTATTTTGAAATCTACAAAAAACAAAAATTTCAAAGCGCAGACAAAAATTTTCTAATGTCACATTGTTTTGGGTATGTATGTAATGAATTCTTCTATTGTAGGTATAAATATTTTCCTGGATGGATTTGTGCCCACTGAAAACATGAGATTCAGAACTGAATCTCTTGTATTTAAAGTAGCTGAGTCAGCTACAGAGGAAGAGGTGAGTAAATCAAATTTATTTATTAAAAACTAAGCTCATCTCTAGAAGAAAGCTGTAAATTCAAGGATATAAAATTTACATGTATTTGCCTCAGTTACATTAAATGATACATAATATTGTTAACAGATCAAAAGAATGAATCATTATGAATACCCAGAAATGACAAAATCTATGGGGGCTTTCCACCTTAGTGTGACGCAAGGTGAATTCTCAGATTCCGAAATCTTAGTGCTACTTGGGGAGAATGGTACTGGAAAAACTACGTTCATTAGAATGTTAGCTGGAAACCTAGAACCGGATGAAGGTATGTGTATTTACAAATTAGTTGCAAAGGGTAAATTAAACAAGTAATTTCAAGATGACTAAACTATAATTTATATAAATACCAGCAAGAATAGATCGTACCCAATATTAAAAGGCCGGCAACACTCTTGCGAGCCTTCTGGAAATGTGACTGTCCAGGGGCCTTAGTCAAGATGCCTTAACAGTAGTGTATGTAGAAAGTCGAAAACTTAATTTGTATGGAAATGACAGTTTGTGTCGAAAAGTTTTCATACAAATTTAGTTTTTGACGTTCTACATACACTACTGTTAAGGCATCTTGACTAAGGCCCCAGGGGCGGCGGTATCACTTACCATCAGGTGAGCCTCCAGCCTGTTTGCCTCCTATTACATTAAAAAAGAACAAACAACATATAATATTCGCAGTAATTTTTTCTAAAATTTTGATTTTTAAAAACCAATATGCTTTATACTCTGTATATTTCTAAATGAAACTGGCAATACTTTTCTACTGTTATCTACGTCATCTAGGTTTACGTCTATGTGTCAGTTGTCAGTGTCGAGTATGTATACTGTCAGATGAATTTTGCAAAAGGAAAGCTATTTTACAACAATTCAATAATTAAATTTTATCATTACATTATTTTAAAAAGAAGAAAGATAATATTATTTTCAATTATTTTATGTCATGTTAATTTATTATGTGTCCGTGTTCCATTAAAATTTGTGAGACAAATAGGTTATGGTGGTTTTAACTAAAACGGCTTTCTATGCATTTAAACGAATTATAAACATTTGCAATGGCTCGAACAGAATTATTTGATTTGTTTTTTCATCCCGTATTTCAAAAATGTTTGAAACATGCTGAAGCATCCATTCCAGCAGAAGGTAAAGGACACTAAACATTCTTAATAAATTTTCATTTCATTATAATATTAATATTTTGTAATCAAAACTGTTACAAATAATTACAAAATACGAGAAATTCTTGTGTATGCATGTGAATCGTATAAGTAATCATAAAATAAACATTTTATGAGCATATATTTTTCAATTTAGGAGAGAAATTTTACTCTCCTTATTACTAATTAATCTGTTATTAAACCAAAATATTGTTTTGACATAGGTCCAAATCAGTTACCACAATTGCACATAAGCTATAAACCTCAGAAGATTTCTCCTAAATCACAGGGCCAAGTACGAAACCTGCTCCATGATAAAATACGAGATGCTTACACACATCCACAGGTATTCCTATCTAGTTTACAAATATATTAGTAATTTGGTGTAATTCCTAGTTATTTTAGGTTAAACAAATAATTGTATATCTTACTCAGTACCTACTGCTTTAATTCCAAATGGCTACTTGTGATTCTTTACACAGTTTAAACTATGATCAGTTTTCGCAGGTTCTTTTAGTCAGATGTAAGTGTGTGCATACTTTACTTGCTATGCATCCTGGAGAAGGAGGTGTCTTATAAATATACAATGTGTCATTGATTGTTTTCCTTATGTGCTTTTTTTCCACTTTGTATTAGTAGTAACCCAGTTAGTTTTTGTCAATTTTAGGTATACATACTATACAATACCAAGTACTCTATGGAGGTTCTTGTTGTCTTGGCCTCGACTGTGGGTTGTTAGCTGTTTAGCCTTAGTAATAATGTTGACTTTAAAATGTAGTAGTATTCATTTATTATTAATTAACCAAGACATATATGATGTATAATTTTATTCCAGTTCATAACTGATGTAATGAAACCTATGAAAATTGAAGAAATTATGGATCAAGAAGTCCAGAACCTCTCTGGTGGTGAGTTGCAGCGTGTTGCTCTGGTGTTGTGTCTTGGGAAACCTGCCGAAGTATACCTTATTGACGAACCATCTGCCTACCTTGACTCTGAGCAGCGTCTAGTCGCAGCTAAAGTTATTAAGAGGTAAATCTTATATTGGTTACTCTTAGGCTTATATTCATGTCTCAAATCACAATCTTGTCTTAAGTTATTTCAAATATGTCTTCAACTTCATACAGAAAACGTGGTTTTACAACTCTTGAACCTAGATTTTAGTTTGACTGACATTCCAAAAAAAGGCCCACTCTGAAATATAAACATCTTTGTTTAGGCAACTCAAATAGCAATTTGTACGGTATTTCTTATTTAATAAGATGTTGATTTTTTTTAAATGCAATATTTAAAAAAGTCAAATAGAAAAGTAAAGTTATAATTTTAAGCTATCTTGTTATTGTTTTAGATTTATCCTACATGCTAAGCGTACTGGTTTCATAGTAGAGCACGACTTTATTATGGCTACATATCTAGCAGACAGAGTCATAGTATTTGAAGGAGTACCTTCTGAACATGCAACAGCCAACGCACCTCAATCATTATTGAATGGAATGAACAGATTCTTAGAATTACTTGGTATTACATTCAGAAGAGACCCTAATAACTTTAGACCAAGGATTAATAAACATTCTTCAGTTAAGGTAAGTTTTATTTCTATTTGATTTATTAAGGTAAACCTAAATAAAATATATTTAATTAATTGTGCATGTGCTCATATATGTAATATAATGCCTATCTTATTTAAAGTCTTCTATATTAATAAAATCTATAACTTGCGCAGTGTAACAACTGAAATATACCATTGTATTTCTTATATTTTTATAAATATTTTAAAAAAAATATAGTATTTGCCAATGTTTTGCTTGCATTACAAGATGTGGGTTCTATGGTTTTCAATTACGTTTTTGGAAGTATTTTCTTTCTAAATTAATTTTTAAAGCACTACTCCCTAATAACTATTGAGCAAGACATAAACATTTGTCAATTATAGCCTTCTCTGTTTGTCATTTATTAAATCCTATTAAAACAGAGCTACTTTAATTGTATAAACAAATATTTCAAAATAATATTTTTTACAGGATATTGAACAAAAGCGAGCCGGTCAATATTTCTTCTTGGAAGACTAAACAATTTAAAAGAAATGTTATTTATGTATATTGGAGCTATTGCTATAGTCACAACAGCCATCTGTGTATTCCAACTTAATGTATTAATGTAATAAATCGGTTTTATACAATAAAATGGTTTTTATTATGGACAATACTATCTTATGAAAATCTATGGCTTGCTACAAAGTAAAAATAAAAGTACTTTTGAAACATGCATTTACATACACTATAATCAAGCAGGCGACAAAAAGTTTGAGTTTTCAATACTGGACTAGAAATAAAATTGTCCAGTTGTTTTGAATGGAACATTTTCATTCCATCTGTATAATGGGCTACATGCCCTGCCCATCTCCATTTGAGTTGTAGGGCATGTTACTCAGCAACTATTTTCGTTTTTCTGTGGATACATTTACTAAGTTTAATTCCAGGAATACTTCTTTCCTTCGCACGCTGGTACGAACGTAATTTAGCTTTAGTTTTTTTTTTGGGAAATGCAAGGTTTCGCCACATGTAAAGCAAGGCAGCAAGCACGAATCCACCACCTTTTTCTTTAGTTTAAGTGAGAGCTTACCTTTGAGGATTTCTTTTAAGCTCCAAAACTTATTCCAAGTTGTGGTGATGCGGCTCTCGAGGCTTCTTAAATGACACTTGTTATCCAAGCTAAGTATAGCCATTTACATACTCGATTGCTGTTTGGTTTAGCATAATAGGATAAATGTAGTTATTTTATTTCTGGAAGATTACGCGTGTCACAAGTTACGTAGAAAACACGTACCTATAGAATATTTAGTTATACATACAAGACCTTGTTGACGCAACATGATTCATTACTTGTAGTTGATGATCTAAGAATTAGTGAATAAGATCAATGACTATCGTACTATAATAAAAAAAAATCGACATCATACATTAAACAATATATAACTTTAGTATGTGGTAGGCATAGTACATAATATTCATATTATTTCGTTAAAATCACATGTAATTGGTTATCGATACAACTTCGAACTGTTTCAATGGGCCCAATAGTATTAAGTACTAAATTTATTTATGTTTAATTTAAAATATGAATTTCCCGCATGTGATGCATACAAGTGAAATTTTACTAAATGCCTAAATGGCAGACGGTTAAAATAAGGAAAATGATTAACAATTACATAAATCAAATGTCAAAATAAATATATTTATTTTAACTTAGACACAACTCAAAATATTATATTTTACCATAGAGATTTTTATATAGTAAGTTTAAGCAGCAGCGTTTGGCGCGGGTCGCTGCGCTCCGCCGTTGACGATGACATCATTGGGAGGTTACGTGGACTAGGGATAGGAAACATTTGGTATATGTGCCAGTAAAATTAAAACGGGCACTATAAGTAACTAAAGATTTTGAATGTGTGGTAAATTGCTTACATTGGAGTAAATAATAAACGTTTTTCTAAAATGTGTGGTTTCTATTAATTAAAAAGGCACTATAAATCAAGGGCTCGAAATCAATCAATAGGTACAAAATCATAACGTACTTAACCCTATACTTAACAGAAGTTCTGTTTAAGACTGAAATTAGCTTTATATGATACCTGCTTGTATAATATATAGTAGATAATTTTAAACTTTATATAATTATTATTTTCCTATTCATAAATATCAAGTAAAATATATTAATTAATAAGAACTTCTTATCTTAGCTACACGCAGTAAACGCAAAATATGAATGTAATAATTATTTTAACCAAAGGTTTACACGTTAGTGAGTGAGAGGGCGAAACAAAACGCAACGGAACCGGCCGACCTCATTGACTCACCGAGTGCCGATCTTACGACACGATTTATTTCGGATTTCGCTTTTAAGTAGTTTGGGTGTGTCGTCTAATAAAATAACAAGTATGTATATTTAATTAGATATATAATAAAAAATATAAACGTTAAGTTAAACGCACATAAAATTCATCAGATTTTCCAATATTTATAATGTAAAGTCATAAAATTGCGTAGCGGCCGGCGTTCTTTGCAAATCGAAAAGCCGGTTCAGTGTTTGACGTGTGATATTTTTAGAACTCGAGTGCTTGATATGAAATGTTTTTCACGTATTTCCATTTGTTTTAGGACTTTTCCATCATGAGCGGACAACAGTATTACCCCTACAAGGTAAATATCCATTTTTAGTTGAGTGTTTCGATCGATTCTTAGGATGATGTCATCTTTTCGGCGCAAGGTTGTTCTTATGAAAGCGTTTTATTAGCAGGTCTAATAGGTAAACAGGTTAAATTTAGTGGGAAAATTAACTGAGTCAGCGGAAATGATCTACTTGAATGTTTGCTAAGAGTGTTCATTCTCCAAGCTCAAGAGTTACGTTCGTATAGAATGCATAAACCGGTTAGTGACGATGTATGTACCGAAGGCAATTATTATTTTTCAAATTAATAAAATTAGTGGGTAGGTAGTAAGTGCATAGAAATATTTATTAAAAGCTTTTACCTAATGCAGTCACGCGATCCAATAGTTAGGTTTTCCTAGAATTAATTTACTAATGAAATTTGTACATGAATTGTCTGTAAAAAGTTAGCAGCGGCTATTTTCAATTGTATGACCATGGTGAAGTATCAATTAGTTTTTGTTAATGTGTATTGTAAAACGATGTCCAACTACATACGCTTAGTAGGCAATTTTTACGTAAGGGACCTTGGTACAAATAGTCTCAAACTATTAAAATAATTAATGTTACCGTTGTTGCCCTCCAATCGCTCTGAAGGAAAAATTTAAGGTTGGAAATATATTATTACAGCATGATTTTCCTTGCACTGTGTCTATCTTTGCTTAATAAAATAAAATTTATTACAATTGTAATATTCTTATTATATTTTTACTATTTACATAGGTATATTCTTGATTAAAAAAAAAATACACAACACTCGTTTCGGCTTGTAACTTGGCCAGATTTTCTGAGGCGAGAGAATTTACGAATTCATACTAAAAGTATCTAATTTTAATAAACCTCATATTACAAATAGTAATAATAAAAAAATGGTCTGATAGCTATTGAAACTAATAAATGTTCTGGAACACGAGCCCTTAAGTCTTCTGCGCATGTAACGATCATGGCCAACTTATTTCCGGGAACTATAAATTCCAATAAAGTCGAATATATTGATTTTGGTACATACCTAGTGATCTTTTATATTTTAATATATGTATAAGATCGCATGGATCAGTTGGTAAAACTATTTTATTATTGCCAGCATGCAACCAATACCTTACTAAGTTACTAACACAATCGATATTTAATAATTAAACCTACGTCAATAAATATTTTTGCAAATGCACGTTTGTAGTATATAGTTGTACGCATGTAAAAAAGGCGTGTATGAGTCAAGAGACATTTGACACCTTTGATTTATTGAAAGATAAATTTTGAATCATTTGTTCTCTTATATTGCTTATTACGATTTAATCGCGGTACATACTGAAATTTTCGTTTTCATTTTGCAATTTATTTTTATTTCCTATTGCTAAGTTATTGCGTCAATAATCGTTTTAGTTATCGTATTTTATAAATTATATGACAATCATCCCATGAATAATCTGAACACTTTTAACTTTGACCTTCTAGTGCACCCCAACGGTGTACCCCGCGGAGCCCTTTGACCCCGCATCTGACGCGGAGACCCTTCGCAAGGCTATGAAAGGTTTCGGCACAGATGAGAAGGCCATCATTGACGTTCTCTGTCGTCGTGGTATCGTCCAGCGTTTGGAGATCGCCGAAACCTTCAAAACTAACTATGGAAAGGTAAGATCTATTTTTACTTATATTTTATTATTTTGCCGACGTCAATCGAAACTTTTAGAATAAATATTTATTTATCACAAAAGTGTAGTGTAGTGTGTGTGGGTTTCTGAGATCCGTATTCCTATTCGTATCTTAAGTAACAATCTCGTTAGTATTGTCAAACCTCATATAAAATATTTTGACAGTAAAAATGTTATAATAATAAGTTTTAATTAATAATTATAACTATGATTACAAAACTAAAACATAAAAAATACGTTTAATTCTTATTTGAAATAATGCTGTGTTGAATGTGTTTGTGATAATTAATAATATGATAAACGCGTTTTATTCAAAATAATGACTAACCAGTTAGTTTTAACCTGTTATCGCATAGCTATTCATGACTTCATCTCACAGCTGATTCATTAGTGTTATATTTGTAGCCTAATCAATGCTTCGTTTTAAGTATATAATTTGTTTAGTATTTACTAAAAAATAATTATAATTGTGTGTACAATAAGCGTAGATTGCGAAAAAAATACTTCTTAGTGCGATAATACATGAACTGTAGCCTTCTAGATGTCATTAATGTCATATCTTATCGTGTGTTTGCACCGGTGACATATTTGCTAATAACAGACAAACCTAGATCTTGTGACTCTAGTCTTATATACTAAATAAATGAACACTACCTGTGAACAACCTAACTCATTAAATGTCCTGAGAAAATCGAAAATATATAGGAATAGGTAACGCAAAATTATTTAATTTTTAAAAGTTTGATCCTATTGAGTATGTTGCGTTTAGGTTTAGTTTAAAATGTACAGGTTTCAGCCAAGACCAATGAAAACGTATAATTGCTTAGTTTTATTTCTAGGAAATTATATGATTACTATTAATTTCTAGTAATAAACCCAATGGTGGCGTGATTCACCAATGCAGGTGCATTCCAATGCATGAATAAAGGTATTCGACACATTGCGTCCGACCATTTAAATGAATTGACCTTCAAGGAACCTTCTGACTGGTTCCTAATTTTAATAGCTTGTGGTTCGTCGAACTAAATACGCGTTAAGGAATATCTAAACTACTACATTTAGGCTTTTGGTTTGAAGCTTGGTACATATTTTGCTTTCGGCGTAAGACGGCGTAATAATACGACTTTTTGAAAATACAGTTAAACTCTTTATAACGAATTTCAAGGGACCTAGCATTTTCTTTCGTTATAGAGAATTTCATTATAGGCAGTGAATAGAAAAAAAACAAATTTAACCAATTACAATAATTTCTAATTTTTTTACTATCAATAGGTAAATTATTCTAAACACATAATGCTTTTCTTTTACTGGCCATCTTGACAGTTTCAAAGTTTATTTGTTTAATAATACACGATAGGTGACGGTGGTGTATAACTGAGACCAAAATTTCCTACAGGATTGCCTGTAGGTAATCTAAGAATTAAAAAGAAATTTAGTTTTGTAAGCTGATTATAAAAACAATTTCACTTAAGTATGTTGTTGATGTCTAAATATGAAAATATTTCTTCGTTATAGAGAGCATTATAAAGAGTGAATTAATGTATGGCTTTTGTGTTAAACCAAACAAATGTAACTATTTTTTACGTTATAGACAGTCTATAGATATAATGACGGACGTTATAAAGAGTTTAAACTGTACGTAGATAGAGTATAGAACTAGATGAGCTTCTAAAATAACAATAATAACTAAAGAGAGAAGGCATTAACGTGAAATACTTAAGTGCGAGCGAAACAGAGTATCAGTTTTTCTGTCTCTATTTGCGTATCGGGTTTTATTTGTTTACCACCGAGCCCTGTACTATATTGCAGCATTTACCTCAGACGTCTTACAACCATTTCAATAGAGTACTTAAACATAAAAAAAGGTTTTAGTAAAAACTAACTTTTCATTTTTTTTAATAACTTAAAAAAGTTATTAAAAAAAATGAAAAGCTTGCCTTATAAGATCTTCCAAACCTGTGTTAAAAGCAGCTACGTGAATTAGTTTGATATTAAAATCTTTTTTACAAATGTTTATTTAGGACCTTATCAGCGAACTCAAGAGCGAGCTCGGTGGCAACTTGGAGAATGTGATCATTGCTCTGATGACACCACTGCCCCACTTTTACGCCAAGGAGTTACACGACGCCGTCGCGGGAATTGGTACCGACGAGGAAGCCATCATCGAAATCCTCTGCACACTCTCGAACTACGGGATTCGTACTATTTCTGCATTTTATGAACAATGTAAGTTTTTACCAGTATTAAGTTTACGAAAGACTGTTCTAGTTGTCCAGCCTTGTCTCTTAATAAGCATGAAAGTGTGTCTGTGCTATTCTTTACTGAAAGGTGACTTTTTAAGGCAAAATACAATATATTCTAAATTCGCCATTGAAGTTTTCTTTATATGTGCGCAATTAATACTGAAACTGGGAAACATCGTGAGGAAACCAAAACGTACTTGACCCAAAAATCGACGGCATCTGTCTGACAGCTCCCAATAAATAAAATTCTAAATTCGAAAAATTTAAAAAAAAGTCGAAAAGTCGGAAGTCTTTAATTTACCAAAGAATATGTTACATTAATCTTTAGTTAGTTATTAGTCTATTTATGAAGCTATATTTTGAGCCGTAAAGCCGTAGTTCGCCACGGCCTACTTCCGTTAATTATTTTTGTAGATAATGAGTTAAACAAAATTAAATGCTATATTATATGAAACATTTAAGTTATTTTATGCTAGCGTTATTTTGTTTGCAGCTATCGATTTTAATTTAAGTTGGAAACAAGTGGAATAATTTTAAGCGATAACAAAGTTAGGTATTATTAGTTACCTTTAGGTTATCATGAATGACGTAGGCACTAGCATGAAACCCCGATTTCTTAGGCAGTAGTAAGCCACAGTATTTAATAGTAGGTAAGAACTAAATTCAAAGTTCCAGTATACAAAAATAATAGAATCAAAGAGGCACTAAGTTCTTTTTTAAATTATAAATACTGTCCTATGAACAATATTTGTATAATTAGTAAGAGTAATGAAAAACATCACTTCTGTCCATTATTAGCTTGCGGCATGCGATAGTTGCTATCTAAAACAGTTCATGCAAAACTTTTATCAAAATACCTCATTAAAATATTTTCCTCGTATTACCATTATGTGGTTAGTATGTAGAAACCGTGTAGATTTAGAGTTTAGAATGCATTCCAGCGTAATTATAATTAAGTAACTTAAACCTTTGCCTGTACCTATTTATTTATTTAGTTATTAAGCTTACGACATCACATACAGTACTAAATCTACTAATTATTTTACAAAATCTTACATCTAAAATGTGTGACAATTAAAGTAAACATAAGTTTCGCAAAAAAAAATTGAAATTAAAAAATACAATTAAAACATACAAAATAATACAAGCACACAATAATATAAAATAAAATTATAGAAATTTGTTGGCACTTAAAGCAGAAAAAAAAGAAAAATCATCAGCAAAACAGCGAAATTAGGTTCGAGAAAGGCACCCCACAATGCATTCTCTAAAACCGATCAGCCCACTACCGAATATATCCAGCTCCGGATAAAACGTGTTCAATCCGTTAAAATCGCGAAGAATTCGAACGAGAGGTGCCTGAACTCCTAGGTTGGTTTTGGCAGAAGGAATTTGGAAAATATTGTTGATTTTAAACCTAGGGAATGAGTAAGGGACGACAATTTTAAAATTCTGTAAGAGGTCACTGCACTAGCAGTACTTAAAACTAGCTTATAGACTAGTGTACTTAAACGTCAAGAATCGTTTGTATATAGATAAACAATATCGTGTCATCACACACACTTAAAACAAATACATTATATAGAGTATATAATTGCAAATTGAATAATATATGATTATATAAAAGACTAGGGAAGGGGTGATAATTGATCCTATAAGGGTATTTTAAGTATCTATTGTGTCTATCTTTAAAAAATAAAAAGTTGTCCCCTCGTTGCAATGACAAATGACAACGTATAGTTGCGTGTCTCAATGGGCCTATTAATTGATATCAAACAATGTAAAATATACATTTATTTCATAATTGTGTTTCGAGAAAATAGTGTCCCTTTAACGCCAATCCATGAAGCTTATAGTTCAGCACATAATCATACAATGCAGTGGCGGATTTACCAGCAGGCTGAGTAGGCTGGAGCCTAGGGCGGCAAATTTTAAGGGGCGGCAAATTTAGTTCATAAATTTTTTATTTCGGTTTACAAATTAAAAAAAAAAAATATTATACACACACAATACGAATTTCGAAAATTGGAGAGAAATTAAAATATTTAACAAAAATCGAAATATTCTCATATACAGTGCTAATTAATAAATATTTCAACATCTCTGCATGAACAATTCCTAAACGCTTTACTAATTATACATTAATGATTATGAACTTTTAGAATATCGCGAATCGCGATTCGATATTATAATTGAAATTTAGTAATTTTTACATATATTCTTCACTGATAAGTTGATAACTGCTATAATTTTTTCTCCGTGTACCTAATAATTATGAGATCTGCTTACCCAATTCAATCGATATAATATCGATGGTCTAATAAAAATACTGACTAAAATTGACTAATTTTTATTAAATAAAAAACTAGTTCAATATCTTATCAAATAACTGATAGTTGAACGACTGTGACTTGACAATAAAAAAATTCCCTCCACAAAATATGAAGTAAGACAATTTGCTCATTAGAAAATTGATACATTTTATCAGTTAATTATTTTGTTTGCAGTAAGAAAAAGTTTGGAAAATCCAAATGGCCTGCTCATTCGTACACGAATTATTTAAATTAAATGTTTACATCAGTAGATTTGATAACTTTTTCGCAAAGCCAACTTTTTCAGAAAATGCCAATCGGAATGAATTAATTATAATAAGATAAAACAATACTCAGCTGCAATTTTTTATTCAACGGCTTCTCTCCAGTTAAACAAGTACATATTAGAAGTACGTATTAAAAAAAAATTGAAGTGAAAAAATTATTATTTCGAAAGTTATCGTTTACTGTGAACACGATCATCCAAAATCCATACGACATGGCATTAAAATTACTTCCTTTTAAATAAAAAATAATTAATCATAACCGAAAAAATAATTTTTATAAGCTCAGCGATCATTTTTCTTGCCGATAAGTTGATTTTTAAATAATATTCATGTACATCATATTTGTTAGGTACGGTTTAATGTGAGAAAACATCGGATTTAGATTTTTAGGCAAGAGTAGAGCATACCTACTACGCGCTTCGCACTTAGGCATGCAATTGCGTAGTCGTATTTGTAGTGTCTGGCTGAATGGATAGCACAAGTGCAGCGCGATAGGGTTACTGCGTGAGCCGAAGCGGGCTCCTGATGTATAAAAAAGTTATAAAGTTGGAATTTTATTGATAGAAAATTGATATGATTGTGGACTAAGATATCAAAATTTAGAGGCGGCAAAAATTGAATAGCCTACGGGCGGCAAATCTATAAATCCGCCACTGATACAATGGTCTACTTTGACGTACAATTCAATCTTTATTATATAGAACAAATATCCTTATACAAACTAGTGTTTGATTTCCCTCAATATGGCCGTGAATTATTAGGTCACAAACCGAACCTTCATTATTATTCACAGTTTGTAGAGCCTTTGTTAATTGAACTGTGGGCCATTGAATATATTACAGCATAGCTTATGTTCTGCCAAAGCCTCTATTAGCAATATTGTTTCATTATTACATTATGTTCACGAACTTGTATTAGCGTCTAATTGTGTTTAAACAGCAAGGATACTGATTTTTACCACGTAATTCCAAGATGCCGCGCTACGGATATTGAAAGAACTACAGCTAAATTTGTCATTCTTTGTTAGAGAATGCCTGCAAATTGCTAACAATAAGTCAATCACTGATGCATTGAAGTTGTCATGTTTTTTGTGATCGATACAAACGGAAGATACCTTGATTCATATTATTCTTGCCTTACATCGCAAATAATCACGTATCATGTCACAAATAAATCACTTTAATATTTCAATAATATGCAATTTTTGACGTATAAGCAAGCCCTTTAGAATTAGCGACACCTTTGAACCAAGGTAACATTTGCACCTAGATATTGTTAAGTCTACTTTCCACAGATAAAAGCACATTTAACGACTTAATAATGTTGTCACCGATTGGTTATTGATTAATTTTTAGGACTGACACACGTTTGTATGCCCACTTCTACAAACACACAAAATATATTTAAGCGTCCTAAAAACGACGATTGTACTGCACAGCTTCTTACATCAAAATATATTTAACTTCTCATCAGAAATCAAATAAAATTGCTATTGTTTGTTTGTTTGAAACATAGAGAGGATCTTAATAATTCAACCCAAACCTTTAATAATTCAGCGTGTATAACGTGTGTCAGACCTACTATCTAGACCTTTACAATCTTATTTGATATTTATCCCCGCAGTATACGGCAAGAGCTTAGAGTCTGACCTCAAAGGCGACACTTCTGGCCACTTCAAACGCCTCTGCGTGTCTCTGTGCATGGCCAACCGTGACGAGAACCAAGGCGTTGACGAAGGTTCAGCTAAAGCTGACGCGGAAAACCTGGCGGCTGCCGGTGAAGGCCAGTGGGGAACCGATGAGTCAGTCTTCAACTCAATCCTTATTACACGCTCTTATCAGCAATTGAGACAGGTTTGTTATTTATTTGACGTAATTCCTTTCATTTCTTAGTAAATATTATTTATAAAATGTGTAATGTGTACAACTATTTCTTGTATAAGATTGTTCAGTAAGAGCTACTCTTTGCTTAGTGTCGCTTCTTAAGCGGGATGATGTATGTATTATGGTTATTTCTTTCAGGGAACAGCGTCTAAGAAAATATTAAAAAATAAGTTTTGCTGTTATTAAAGACCAAAGAGCTCTTTAATAATAATAGTTGTTATATTTTATTTCATAACTTTGTTTTTCACTAACCTTGTAGATCATAATTTTGATAAAAACAACTAACAATTTATGCAACTTCAATGTTCATAAAGGTCATAAGTCAAATCTATTATCAAGATCTGTCAATGAGATTAAAACAAAGTTTTTATAAATTAAAAGAAGGGAATAATGTGACACAATGTGAAACAGATAGAAATACTTTTTGTTTCCGGTGATTCATAATACTCAACTGGCATTTTTCTAATTAAACCGCTCAATACTAATCATTTGTTAAAACGGTAATTTAATCCCAGATCTTCGCTGAGTATGAAGCTCTCGCTGGCAAAGACATCGAGGAGACTATCAAAAAGGAATTCTCAGGAAGTGTAGAAAAGGGAATGCTTGCTATTGGTAAGTTTGAAGCAAGAAAATCAATAATTATTTTGCGACGCGTGTCTATAAACTAATTTAAGAATAGTGTCGTATTAAAATCTGTGCATCTGTCACATTCAATATGTACGTAATAAATTGTAACTGGGCCCTGATTTCAGACATCAAAAGAATAATTCCGTGATTGTGGTCTTTTAATAGATTTGTTTATGTTTTAATGTCACTATCAATATGTATTAAATTAATTGATAAAGTAAAAAAACATTGCACTAAGCAGACAAGTGCTAGGTTAACAGTGGGATTATCAACACATAGGTCGTGCGTTCGAAGCCAGCTGTTTACAAATATAGTAATAAAAATTATCAATGAATTAAATTAAAAACTTGCCTGCCCGCAGTCGTCATACAATCAGACAATCGGTTTGTTAATTATTTCTCTGCATAAGTATTGTCTGATTCATACTCGGCTATTAAGTTACGTGAAGGCTATCCGCACAAAAGGAAGTCATACGACCTTGGAATTTACCGTGATCATTTTTTTTGTCTGTCTTTAAAAGCCTTAATAGCTGAATCATAACGAAATATGATTTGTCGGAAATTAAATTATAAAGCATATATCGAGAAAGAAACGATAAAAACGTGACGCGGAAGTTTTAGAGTATGGCACAAAGTCGAGATAATGCGTTAAATATGAGTATATGTTTAAAATGGTACTTAGCACTATACGAGTCTAGACTTTGAACCTTACAACTTTGAATATGGAACCTTTAATATTATAATTAAAAAGGTCTAAAAATCCTCTTTATTTAAAATTATACGTAGATATAAATGAATGATTTGACTCAAGTAAGCAACAGCATACCTATAGCTAATGATCTAAAATCGTAAATGCAAAGTTTTAAAAGCAACCAATTAACATTACAGTTAAGTGCGTGAAGAGCAAAGTAGGCTTCTTTGCTGAACGTTTATACTACTCCATGAAGGGGATGGGAACAAACGACAAGACCCTTATTAGAATTGTGGTCAGCCGGTCTGAAATCGACCTTGGAGACATCAAACAGGCATTCCTTGAGAAATACGAAAAGCCCTTGGAAGACTGGATTGCGGTAAGATTTTTAAATGTTGTATATGTGATATTTGCGTATATTTTAGTCATTAAATAAGCGATATCTTAATACGAACAATGGCAAAGTGCTGTATAAATCACAGTCTAAAGCCAAGGTTTTCGGTGTAAACAAAGTGTGATGACGGCCGCAAGACTGAGTAAAAAAATGATAAAAAAGTAGATCTAGAATGCGCGTGAGCGTAATCACTAGTCCTAGCAGGCGTGATAAAAAATGACGGCTTGAATATAGAAAACATATTATGCCACTGAAAAATTATAAATTGTTAAATTACTGTTTTTAATGTGACCATGCGTTTCATCGATTTTAGACCGCAACAGCACGTGTAATAATGAAAAATCGCTTATTAAATGACGATATATTAGACAAAGGAGAATTATAATTTTTGTTTATTTTGATTCTCTTTTGTGGAATACTTAGAATATTATATATTCCAAAGTATTTGCTTGCATTATATTGCTATTTAACAGTTTTTAATATTGTGTCGTAAAATAACCCCATTTAACAGCATGATACATATAAGAATCTGACCCATATTTTCTATAGCAAAATATATTAGCATGTATTTATCTTAAAACTCATTACCAAAAATTCTTAGACATTCTATATCTTTGCTTGTTATTTCTATAGATCATCATTTTACGTCTATTGTATGAGAAAAATATATACAGATCTATATTATATCCACGTCTGCAGAAAATAAACGTGATTAACATTTTTTTGTTATCGTCCAAGTTGTATATAACAGTTGTGTAAAGATTGAAAATAACTGTCGATAAAACGATACCGTAGTACGTAGATAATATATACTTACTTCAGTAAACAAAAAATTCGCATCTACCAAATTTTTAAGCTGTGTTAGTTCCCTCCAATATATTTTTATATATGGCAGTTACAATAATTTTAATTATACTGAAAAAAAAGACCGCATGAATAAACGCTTCTATTGCTTAAGAAATTGTATGATTAAAAGAGTAATTGAATCGAATCCCGTACAACAAATTGTAAGTTTTAAAATTTGGTTTGTCTAAAAATGCGAATAAACCCTAAAAAGTATTCCCATAAATTTTGCTTACAGGGTGACACTTCCGGAGATTACAAGAAGGCCTTACTGACCCTTGTTGAATAAAGGACTGTCAACGAATACGCTATCCTATAACCACTTTATGTTCGTCAATTGTTAGGTTACAGATTAGGCTAAACAAATTTACCATAGACAAATGTCAAGTCGGTGTAAATTTCTTAAAGATCTGTATATTTTGCTTCTTCACTATCTATGTTTACTTAAGCACACGTCACAGTAGTAGTAACCGCTTAGTATCGTGCACGGGGCTGGGATTGAGGCTTGTAGCTTGTTTTTACAAGTAGTTGTGAATTTTTCAGGAGGACATAGGAGGTCCGCTTGGTCATCTCTTATCGACTATGTGTTACTAAGACATCCCTTACATACCGAGCGTCATAACCCCGTTAAGCTCGATTTTAAGTGATAGTACCCTTGTTACTTTTGGTACATTGCATTTTAAGATATCTATAAATAATATATTTTGTATTGTAATCTTTAAATTTGAATGCACGTGTTTGTCTATAGAAATAATGGGCCAGTTTCTACTTATTTTGCTGTAGTATAGTATTTTTTTTAATATTGCAGGAAGACCTAACTGGTGACTTCAGGAATGTGCTAGTCACACTTTGTGCTTAAATCCTGCAAAATTTTATTTAAAAAACAACTAATGTTTTTGCATGTTTTATAAATCGTTGGAATAATGTAATATTTTGCAGGATGATACTAAAGGGGACTACAAACGCGTGTTACTCACCCTTGTCTCATAAGAAAAATAGAGATCTAATTTCAGTATGAAACTGCCTTAATGTTGATGTTAAAGATATATTTGCTTGATATTTTTGTGAAAATGAGATATTTATTGGTGCTGTAGTTTTGTTTATGATGTATTTTAATATACCGATTCATTCAAATAAAACTATGTATGTTGTAAAAGTATTTTTATTTCGCTAGACCCTTTACTATTCAAACAAATTTCTTATATGTACTTATAGTAATGAATTCACCTAAAGATTATAATTCTTTGTTTCGTTCGTACAAGTTATCCATTGGTATCTCTAATACCCTCAATCGTAATCTGCAACAAGAGTTATTTCCTAAAAAGTAGTACTAAAAATGAGTTTGGAAACAAATTCGATATACATTTTTAATTTTGGTACGTATTATGATTTCACTGCTAAGTAAATGTATAAATTAGCTATCATGGATATTTTCTTTGTCTGGAAGACACTGATTAATTATTAATTACAAATCAATCACTGTTTTTTTAAAAACATTATTCACCTGAAATTTTCCAACCGCCTCTGGTGAGTTATTACTTTTAACTAGGGCTGCAAATCGCTCATTTTCTAAAGGTTTCGGCGCTGATAGCAAAACCCGCTTATTACATCTATGCGCCCATGCATCACCGAATGCGCCAACTAGAGAACCAGTTGACAAACCTATTCGAGTGCTCATTTCGTTTGTTATTACTATCTAAAAATATGAATAATTATTTTTAACATTAAAAAAATATGTTATTACCTGGGTACAGTTATAATATAAATATATAGCCCTCTGCTGAGAGTGAATAAATTTAAAAAATACCAAAGGCTGTTGGAGGATCGTCGCCATACATAAACACTTACGAACTTTAGGACTGGTGATTTAACCGATATAAATCATAGTTAATTACTATCCAATCCCAACAATATAACAAATACAGGTCAAACTCAAGATTCTTCGTGGAAAGAGAACCGGCATGACAGTTATACAAACGAATACATATAATTCTTATTTCCTAGACGTCATTTTATTTATATAAAAATATATGTTGTATAACTTATACATTAAAATTTAAGGTCCTATCCCAGCACAAATTGCCGTGTCAGTGTCTCGGGGTGGACTGCGGTGCGCAGTGGTAAGGCGCGTCGCGTCGGCCCGTAATAACAATTAGTTATGTAAAACATTAAATTAATGTAATTTTATCATTTTTTTTTCTGAAATGGATTACTTGGCTTGCGATTAAATATATCGTGTAAATTTCAAAATTATGTTCTATATACATTTTCGTCATAAAATGAATTCAAAGTGTTAAAAATTGGCTATGTTTGGATTTTTTTTCTATCGAGCGAAGTTATTTAAATAGTGTTTCGATCTTTCAAAATGGATACATTAACTACTCAACTCCACCATATATTTTTTCCATTCGCCCTACTTCAAGAAACGATGACGAAAAATGGAAAGAAACAATGTACTTTTTTGGAGTTTGGCGATAGGATAGGTCCTTAATAAAATTCTTTGAACAGTTGAATATTGACTTTATAGTTATCATTACTTAATGTAGCACCGCCTGACTAATTGACAGTACCCGATAGTCCTCGGTTCGCTTCCCGGCTAAACTTTCATTAACGAAATACCAATGTAACGCGGAAATGCTCCGTTCAGAACTTCAGGCTTTCACCATTTAATTAACAAAACAATATCCTATAGCCCAAGAGGTTGTATCAAGGATAATGTTCCACGAAAATTTACATATTAACTTACTGCAATTTGATTTTCTACAGAAATCTTTTGTAACACTGCAGATAGTCTAAATAAGACGCCAGTTCGTTGCTTGAGTGTAATACCATCTTTGAATGGGAATGTTATTGAATCTATTATGATTAACCGCACCTATAATAAACAAATATAATCATGCAAGGTTAATAGTGAAAAAGTCCATGAATGTGCAACAATTATGGTAAACAGAATAGCGCCCATGCGATGGGTTGTCTCTCTCCCTAAAATATGGCGATGGGCCGATGCCGATGGCTGGCCATGCCGATTGTTGGTCGGACTTGAATTCGTGTATGTGGTGATGTTAATTATTTCGACTATGTATTTGCGTGTTGTTCCACAGAATGTAAGTGCGTGCTCCTATTTCACCATGCCTCCTGCTGATAGAGGACAAATCTTTGTTTTTAATTTATTTTAATATTATTATGTCATGTGGAACATGGTGTAATGGTTGCAGCTCCTTACAAGCAATGTGTAAAACAAAAAATATGGCGATTAAAAAGAGTGGCGGAGAGTTTATTGCCAGTTCTTCTCTTCCGTTCTACGACCTTCATTTGAGAACTGGCAGTAAAATTAGAAGCATATCATTTCTTTTTTGATGTTCATAAGTGTACATTGTGTTACCTATATGAATAAATGATGTTGAATTTTGAGTAAGCAAAAAAAAAACAGCTACTAATACAGTTAAGTGTTGTGGCTAATTTTTTTTTTATGCCTTGGTAAATATGATGATGACTTTGATTGCAGCAAATGGTCAATTCTCTCACTATGAATTTTACCGTACTTTAGTAAAACACTATCAAATGCCAAACTAAGGTAACTGAAATAAGTATTTCTAGATTGGTTACCCTTTAAGTAGAAAAGCGAAGAGCTCTTCGAGAGACTTGTGACTGGCTTTTTTATAGTAATACAGGTACATTAATTGTGACTAGTTTTCACATACATCTGATCACCTAATTGCCTAAAAAAACTTTAAATTCATCTTAATTCTCCATTTGTTTAACACCCATTAATCCACAGTTCAAAAGACTGCTTACATGCACAAAAAACCAAAATTAGATAAGTCATCAAACTAGTTTATTTACCAAATGTTAGTACATATTCCAAAAAACTTACATTTGGTCTCTCAGTAACTAATTGTGGTAAAGTGAATATCAAACTGCAAAATTTTTCCAGACCAAATGCATTCACATAGTGCAATCTTTTCAAATGATCACTTTCACAGTTACTTTTTGCAGTATTTAATATGTTTCCACATTTCTCCATACTTGCTGAGAGTATTTCTGAAATTAATAATATTTATTATAAACCAATTATATTTTTAAAGATTGATATTAGAATTGCCTATTCTGTGATCAATTTGATATTTTGGATCAAAAATGTACATAGTTACAAATCTTACCACTGTACAAATGTATCATATCACCCTTTTCGTATGTTAAATTATAATACTGTTAACATACATTAACTTTGTCTTGTACACTATACTTCAAATTATATACAGTGGGTGCTTGCTATCTTAATTCGTTCGTTCGTAAATTAATATATAATCTTCTTGTTAATTAAGAATAAAAATAGTTTTATCACCTTTAAACCTATTTACAGTAAAATTAGTGTTAGTGTCAATGTAAAGAGCTTCAGCATCCAAACCTCCAAGCTCCGTTGGTATTTGAACTGATGCACATAGCTGTAAACTAATAAGTTCATAAATTATAAAGTTCAGCAAGGTTTTTAAAAAAAAACACTTATATATTTAGGGAAATATATGAGACACTGTCAGCTAATTAGCATGAGCTGATTGATTATACAGCTGTTTCTTTAGTAAAGCATAAGTAACTTTAGTCACTCAGTTTTAGTACTAAGTCAACAGGCATATTATTTAAAAAAATAAAAGCCTCAATATATTTGAATAAATAAAGTCAATAAAAGTCGCTAAAATCAATAAAATTTAAATTTGCAAATAACTTATGTATTGATTTTACATTCTTTATATTGAATACTGACCATAATTGAGTTTTTCCTGAGCCTGGAAGTCCTAATAGTTCTGTTATAGATCCTACTTGGATTCCTTTATTTCCAAGTACATTATCAAGACTTTGACTAAACGTAGGTATTGCAGGAAAACTGTTTTCTTTCTAAAAAAATTAAGTGGTTATTACATATTTAACTATAACTAATTTTACTTTAAGAAAGGCAACACATAAATAGCTACTAACTTGCCAAAATTCAGTGGCGTTTAATATTTTAAACTGAGTGGTCATTACAATTAGTTGATATACGTGTAATGAAACTGAAAATTTAAATGATTAGTGACCGAATTATATTAACAAAATAGAAGTAAATAGTAATACTTAAAACAAACAATATTATTGTTATTTCATATAAAAGTTTAAAAGTATGACGATTGGCGGGTTATAGTGACAGACATGTGGCACAGAAAAGTTGAGACGTAAGTGAAAAGTGAAAGACACAGAGCAAGTAGATTTCAGAGCAATGTGACAAATGGAACTGAGAGGGATGTGACATTCTGCATAAATAATCGATTTTTCTTAAAAAAATAATCGATTTTTTTTATTAATCGATTTTTTCCTAATTTTTGAATTACTTTCAAAATAAACACCCTAAATATATTATTTTTCATGGTTTTTTAAATTAAAAATAAACAATAGAAATTATAAACACAAATTAACGTTTAAGAATAATCAAAATTGAAATTAACTTAATCTCGTTTTGATAGATTTTAGGTGAAATTTGATAAATGCTGAGTGTATGCCTTTTCAGTAGCACATTGCAGTATTTTTGTTGTCTTTTTAATTGTATGTCTTGTGCTGCTGAATAAATTTATTTTACTTTTAAATTATAGTGTGCCATTCAAACTTGAGTTTTTGTAAAATTAACTGCTTTTATCATCCTTTTGATGTTTTACAAAAAAACATCAATGTATCGAGTATATCAATACATCTTCGAAGAATCCGATTCAATGTATCGCATTGTAAACATCGTTGTGTATCGAATATCCCTAATAGTTCGAGGTCCGGGTTATAAAAGACCAGACATAATGTCGGGAGGTGGCAGATAAAAAATCGATTATGATTGATTTTCAATTATAATATATAATATAAAAATCGCGTAAAAAATCGATTTTTTTAATAATCGATTATTTTTTCACATCCCTAGAACTGACTTTTATAAAAGCCAATAGTCAATACAAGCTTAACATTTTGCCTAACGATATTTGTGAGTGTGGCAATGACGTTGGGGATTTTAATCATATATTCTTCGCCTGCACTCGACATGACCGTTCCGCTTTTATTTCCTCACTTTTATCCATTAAAATTCCTTTTCCTACTTCAATTTCTGTCCTATTATCTAATATAAATATGGATGTATATAGAATTTTAGCCAGTTTTATTTTTCATAACAATATAAAATTATAACCATTTATGTACTTATATAATAAATTTATCTGATCCTTTTCCAAATTCCGCTCCAATTTCTAATCCAATAAAATAAATCTAATAACGCACTTCCTAACTTTTTTACATGGCTGACGCACAAACCGTGCAGGCCAAGAAAGGGAAAAAAAAAAAAAAAAAAATAGTCAATACTAAATAATATTGCAACTTGTAAAGTTGAAATTGTAATATTTTGTAAACTTTAAAATATTAAACAACATATAAATTACTTTAATAAAAGTTAACCGTATTGACTCGTTAAAAAAGTGAAAATTACTTTAACATTGTTTACTGTGACTTTATGAATTAAAAAGTATAAAATGAATCAAATGAACATGCATAGTGGCATGAACCCTGGTCCTCCTATGGGTGCTGCACCTCCCATGCAAATGCCAGTATGTGGTCAGATAATGCAGCAGCCTCCGCATCAAATGGCACCAGCTCCCATGCCACAGCAAACCCAACAGGACAAAATGGATAATATTACAAAGGTTAAAACATTGATGAGCTCCTTGAGAGAATGTCTACCTGTAAGTATACCTTTCTAATAATGGTTAATCTGTATCAATACTGAACCAGTAACTATGAGCCGTAGAAAGGCATGCATGCTTTTTCGTGCCTTGTAGAACTCAAATCTTATTATATTGCAATCTAAAAACAATTATAAAGGTTTAATAAAACTTCAACTTATGATTGTATTAATATTTCAGGTGACATTAAAATCAGCAGCCCAAATATTGCATCACAATCACAATGTGGACTCAAATACTCAGTGAGTATATAATTATTTGTGTTGCAGTTTTTAGTGGGAATATAAATTCTTTAATTAAACAAACTGTTGTAGATTTTTTTATCAACTATTGCAGATTAAGCATGATTGGCATACTGTTGGCCCAAGTGAAATTATTATTAACCTATATTAAAAATATTGATGCTACATCTTCTGGGCAACCTGGTGTTGCTTCCTGATGATTACTGATCATTTTATCCCACAGTAGACAAAATTTAGGTTATAAAATTTATGATAGGACATAAATGTTTGTATATTAATAAATAAATTTATTCATGTATTGTCTGCCTCCAACTAACACTTATATGTTTTTTGGCGTCAGGTCTATATTATTTGGATCTGAGCATTACTTATTTATTAATTTTAAAATGTTATTTCAGAAAAAGCAACGAGCCTCCAGGCGCAAGGTTTGATAAAAATTTAGAAGAATTTTTTTCACTCTGTGATCAAATGGAGCTTCATTTGGTAAGTATTATTTCAAACTGGTTTAGTTTATGTTAATTAAGTAACTGAATATATAGTATTAAACTTTTGTTTCAAGTGTATTAAGGGAGCGTTAAAGTATTACGTAACGAATTTTGGAGGGGGGGGGGTACTTTTTGTTACGATGCGGGGTGGGGATTTAATTACGCGTTATTGTTAATATTATTTTCTACTTTCCAGTACTTTACACCACATAATGGTAACTTTTAGGTATAAAGAGTCATTAGGTGGTCAAGAAACGTTTTCCTATACTTGGTTTCAGTACTGTACTTGGGTACAGAAAAACGTTACACGGGGGGAGGGGGGTCAATAATATCCAAAAATTGCGTGACGTAATACTTGAACGATCCCTAAGTAACAAAAAATGTGACATATTTTGGACACGGAAAATTTGCTTAGTTACATAGGAAAATGTGTAACAAATCAAATTTTCCAAACACTGAAACATTTTGAATATTGCAGCCTTAAAGTGTCATGAACATTGATCAAATCATGATCTTAGTTCAGCCATTTATTCTCCTTATTAAAAGCAAACACTGTTTGCTTCTTTGCATTGACATAATTTAGCATGTAGGGTCTGCTGCTTCGGCTCCCCAATGCTGTACACATTTTCAGTAACCTTTTGATTGTATTTTTTTTTATTTGTAGTCCAATCACATGCGACACGATCCATCTCCGTTTGACTCTGTTTCGACTTTCGTTTTAAAATCTCACCACCTAGATTTTTGAATTATATTAGTATGAAATCTAAAGCTCTGACAATAGATGTCGTATGTCGTAAACTCCACGAGACTGACCGTACACGATCCGTCTCTATCTCCGCCGTGGCGGAAACAGCCTGAATTAACCTAGCCCAACCATACTTAGCATGAACTTGCTTGTCCTTTAGATAAAATATAATGTGCTTCGATTAACGTCATCGGCGATTATTAAATTATCCTATTTAGATAAGACATAATTAAATTAAATAGGTTTTCTTGATTATATATATTATATATATAGTTAACACATCTATGTTGTACATGCAATCACATTCCAAAAATATCTCACTAGTATTATTTGAATTATGTAATGGTCCATTATAGGTATTTTACATTTAGTTATTATATTAGTAATCTCCCTATGTGTATTTTTATATATACAGGGCGTCCCAAACTTATGGGACATGAAGAGAAAGTACCTTAAATATCGTAGATATGGTATTTTACTGATGACTTTATGTTATTTTTAAAAGTTAGTAATTCTGTTTTCAAAGATTTTCTAAAAATTACTTGCCTCGTCTGGGAATTGAACCGACTTAAATGTAAAAAAAAACCACCGTAGGCGTGAAATACCCACTTGATTGACTAAGGCAGTTGTATGTATGTTTTTAATTTGATTAAAATGATTAATTTCATGCTGTTCCTTTCTTTTAAAATATATAATATCTATGTTACTTAAGAAGAGTTATTAGTTTTTGGCCATTCTTTTGATTAACATCATAAAAGTAGGGGTGGTTTTTTTGTTACTTTTAAAAATTACATTAAGTCTTCTTTCAGTAAAATACCGTATCTACTATATTTAAGGTACTTTCTCTTCATGTCCCATAACTTTGGGACGCCCTTTATAGTTTATAGCTATCAGTGGTGCAATAACTGACAATTTTGTCCCCAGATTTTTGTATCTGTTCATCATAATAATTGTTTATAACACATCGTTGATTTAATAACGATGTCTTCCCCCACCTATTAATTGCGCACTTAAGTTCAACGCAAGATGGTTGACAATCCTGCGCCTAGACACTAAACTAACTGCTTTCCTAAAAAGCTTCTACTGACTTTAACAGTACTGTACTCGAAGAGTTTATTGGCTTTTATACTTTAAAGTAATAGTTTTTTAAATATTTATCTGTAATATAATGTTCTATTTTAAGTTCGAGGTTCTATTTTACAAACTACTAATGGTTTGTTTCAAATTGCATACTCATACAAACAAGTAAATATCTATATACCTATCTGTTACTATGTAACGTAGAAGTAAACATGTATGTTTAGTTACGTCTAAGCAACCATTAAACTATTGACCTCATCTATCTCAGTAACTCATGGATATCACTAATGCCTTTGCTTATTCCATTTATTGGAACTAACAACAATCCGGAATTGAGCGATGTTCATAGAGACTACATAAATTCTCGAGGGAATTTCTTTGTGGGTTGGCGGCCTTTTAAGAATTGGTACGATCTTTTCTTGAAGGACCCTAAGTCGAATTTGTTCGACGATACTTCAGTGGCCAGCTGGTTTTACATAGTGGTGGTGAGCGGCAAGAACTGCCTTAAGAAACGCTCAGTTGTGGAAAGACGGACGTCGAGGTGATACGGGTGGAATTTCGTATTCTGCCTTGACGTATCATCGGACGTCAGACTCCTTTAAACATTCTCCATCGTGACGGCGGTAAAAGATGCAGAGAGACCCTACATCTCTATGCAACGCCAAGGTATCAAGCCACTCGGAAATTGACTGGTCGTCGACGATTCGAATCGCTTTTCGTTGAATACGGTCAATTGGAAGGAGCTGGTACTAGGAAGCTCCATACCACACTTGAGAACAGTACTCCACGTGGGGCCGAATTTGCGCTATAGAGTTGCAAGTTATTTACACGGAAAAATTACCGTCTCGCCTTGCTGCGCACACCAAAGTTCTATGTGCCCAATATAATAAGAAACAAGCGAAAATTATGCTGCGCAAGAGATTAAAGATATTATTAACTCTGTATTTTTAACTAGATTCAAATTTCTTGTAATTTTTAGTAATATATGTGACTTTGGTCTAGTAAGCGATTGATTGGATGTGTGATGAAAGAGTAATTTGACGTAACCTGATCAAAAAATTGTACAATCCCAAATCTTATCATAAAGTAAAAATAAGATCATTATGCACGACGCTTTATCAAATTAACCTTTGTTCATAATCATAAAACCAATATGAATCGTAATAAAAGTAGTACATGACATGTGACCAAATAGATCTTTAATGTTACATACGCCTGGTAATTTTGTCCAATGGGGGAAGAAAATACTTGAGTTTCATGTATTAGATTTCCACATCCATAGAGATGTTATGCCAGAAATCCCCAAAAACAACCAGTGGCGCTTACAACCTTCTGTATCTGTTTCATCATTTGTTTTTTCTAATAGACAAGTAGGCGCCTTATGTGCCTGACACTGCCGGTTTCTTCATAATAGACATAAAAACTCAGTTGGTGCACATTGGATCGAACCATCTCAGGGATTAGAGTTGCACACTGAAGCCACTAGCCACTGTTATAGGATTTAACTTTGTGCTTAACGCAAGAAATTCCATCCGATTTAGTCTTTAATATATAGAAATAAAGTTCAAAATCCTTTAACGCGTAACCCTTGTAAAATTATACACTCAGATGCTCATCATACGATTGCTTAGAGTCAATTTTATCAATAACTAATTGATAACACATTCATACGTAAATAGCAACAATAACACAAAAGGATCTTATCGAAAGGAAACTTTTTGATGCACTTATCTGTTACAAATATTGACTTATTCAAGTGATTAGCAAAAATGTTGCTTCCCTAATTGCCTGATAAGAATCAGATGAGGAAATAGTTTCCGTTGAAGTGGTTTAATAGAGATCTTTACAGCTTTCAAACAACGTTTATAAAGCAATTCATTATTGCAACATTTTTTGATGGTTTGACATTCATACATAATATCGCTTTTGCCTTAGACCTATCAGCTCAATGCAAATTTTTATTTTTTTTGGTAAGAGAAGTTGTATTGTGCAGCTACGGACGGAATACATTTGGGAGCGTTCAAGTATTACGTCACGCAATTTTTGGAGATTATTGTCCCCCCCATGTAACGCGCCGTAAAGTTTTTCTGTACCCAAGTATAGTAAAACGTTTCGTGACCACCTAGACTCTTTATACCCAAAAAGTTACCATTATGTAGTGTAAAGTACAGGAAAATAATATTAATTAAATAAAAATAACGCGTAATTCAATCCCGGCCCCGCATCGTAACGTTTTACAAAAGGACCCCCTCCCTCCCAAAATTCGTTAAATAATACTTGAACGCTCCCTTTGTCACTGGACTAAAATTTTGTTGTTTTTTTATTTTAGATAAAATGTAAACATATTCTTATACTTCCGTTTAGTTACGAGGACCTCTTTTGATATAAAAAGTTTTACAACCAATATTATTTTATCAAATATTTATTTATAACCCGCATTTGATAGGTAATGTAGAACACATACCTTGTCAGTATTAGGTCTCATTATTGTTTTTTTATTTCAGAGAACAGCAACATCATGTATTCAACAAGCTCAGTCGGCAGCGCACTATCTTCCCCTCACTGTTATACCATCTAGAATGGATTCGGGGCCCGTACAAGTAAGATTATTTGTGGCACGTTTCAAAGGAAAATTTACAATTATCGTTGAAGCAGGGCAAAGAAAAAAATATCCTATTTTTTTTATAGTTGTCTTTCTTCTTGCCTCTCTAATAACTAACTTAGTCGATCTCCGAAATCATGCTCATTGCCAATTTAAACAGTTGTTACACTAACTTGACCCCAATCCACTCTCGAATGTTCCGTACCCAAGATCATTATGCGCCTACCAGGTTTGCATTTACCCGCAATTTTGCCCATCATTATAGTCTGCAATAGTCGATACTGCTGGTCACAGAGGATGTGGCCAAGAAATGAGACATTCCTATACAGTGGCGTAACTATACCATCTGGGGCCCGTGGCAAATTCTTTTGATGTTCATTAAAAATCGTCACGTTGTACTCAGTTTAGTTTTAATAAACTTCGAGATTTTCAGCGTACTCAATTACACGTTGTATAACACTAAAGGCCATAGGCCTCCTCTCTTAGGCGAGAGGGAATGTTCTTTAGTCCCCACGTTAGCCCAATGCGTATTGGAGACTTCACATTCATCCATAGAACATAATATCTCTTGGGCAAGGGCCCTCTTGGGTCGGGGGCCCGTGTAATTTTTCCAGCCCTGCCACCCTATTGTTACGCCACTGTTCCACTTCTAGTTCTACTTTTTTTCCTACTTTTTAATCGTTTAAAAACCCGAAGGAGTATGTTTACAATTCGACGCTTATTGCTTTTAGCTCCTTGTTACATAACGTTACTATAACTTGAACTGACTAAAAATACTTGTTTCAGGAAACAACACTAAGCTACCCTCAATATTTGAACACTGTAAGACTTCAGATCGCATATGCGAAAGATATACACGACACTCTTGTTGCTGCTGCACAAAATATATCACCTACAGAATAGTATATATGGTTTTCAATTTATTGTGTAAGCAAAACCTAAAATGATAAAATATTAAATATTCGAAAGGCGCAACCCGGGTAAAATGTTCTGTCTTAACACAATATAATACTTAGATATATGTATATTGTATAAGGAAACTCTGCGTAAAAAAACACATGAACCTCCGAAATATAACAGAACCACTATCATTTTAACACAAGAGTGGATTTATGTCAAAGCTCAGATTTGATGAATGAGTAAACTATTTGTATGTTTATAATATACTAGTAAAGCAACAAGGAAAAGCTACGCTCCGCCCTTAATACGAATATTAGTCAAAACGGTAGTAATGTTTGTACTGTACTCATTTATCTATCAAATAAAAAACAATGTCTTTATCAATTATTTATTCAGGACAAATTAATAAAATGTCTTACATTATTACATCTTTATTTTTCTGCCAATCATACATCAATGGCACTATTTTAATTTAAATCAAATTCATATATTTTTATGTCATTTAATAACTGGAAGATCGTTCTTTGAGATCATATATATTTATTATGATATTTATATAAAATTCATCAGATCCCATTTAACAAAAATAGTACATATTTTATTTTACAATCTTTGTTAATGAGGTCTTACCTAATCGGACCTGCCTTTAGAGAAGTTACAGCATGGTTATAATTTAAAACTTATATTAAAATCACAATTGTAAAATCGTAAAATACTATCAGTCTTTATATCATATTTAGTTGATCGACATAACTTGACGCCCGAAAACATCTGAAAAAAAATAAAAAAATTAGCATAGATAGTTTTTGTTTTCAATTGATATAGATTCTATATTTGGACTATAGGTATGTTCTAAATTTTATAATAAAAGACTATTTTTTATCCCAAGAATTCCTATTTAAACCATGGTTTAATTCACTTTAGAAGTGGGACGGACAAAAAATATTTTAACTGTGCATGAAGTTTGTATACATAAAACACAGATATCTTGTTTTCGATATGACAAAGTAATAATAGTTTCGTTTTAGATCAATTGGAAATTACCCATTCTTGATTAAAATACAATGAATATTGTTGCCCTTTGGTCTACGGAGAATCGTTATCGACCGTACTGATTTATAGCCTAGCCCTTGGGGGTAGACAGTAGAAAGAACATAAATCGCTGCTATCTCACAAGCCTCGAATGTGTTCGAATAAGACCCATGATAAAGTTATTATTGTGACATAAATAAAATGTCCACTGCTGTGGAATAATACAGGCATAATACGTGATAAAACATATTTTATACAATTACGGAAAGTAGTATTTTAAAACAACAAAGTTATTAAATAAACCTGGACTCCGCTAAAAAAATATATGTCCATTAGGAACAGTTACCATAGACAAGTTTTCATAAACTATAGTAGTATAGTCAAGACAAGATTAGACGAAGATAGACGAGGGATTGTAGACGTAGCATCACAAGTAAACAAATAACAGATAAATATTTCAAAATTAGAAAGTCTACAGAGTAAATAACTAATTAGATCTTTGCAAATAATTAAGTCACTTGATAAATTAGGGTTGTTAATTTATTACGACCGCAAAAGAACCCAAAGTTTGTGACGTAGCACGATCATGCCACTAGTAACATTGTATTGTACCCACATAATATTAGATAACAATTTGAAATTAGATACACCTCCAAACAATTCGCATGGAAACAATAGTTAACAAGTGATTACAAGGGCAACAACCCGTTATATTACACAACAGATAGTATCCTTGGCAACTGAAAATGTCGCCAAAAGCATATGCCTTTGTGATTTGCAACTAGGGTATCGAATTTGCTAATTAACTTAAATATCAAACACGTTTAGCGATAAGGGCTATGTAATTTAAGGAGTGCATTGCCCCTAATAAATATTTGACTATCTATGCATAGAATAAGTGACCGTTGGTTTTAGAAGATATTTAACTGATATAAGATATCTATAACAGCATTAATGGCATAACGGTCATGTAATATTTCGATTTTGTTTTTCGTCTGTGTGTTGTGAAGCGTTCGAAATCTAAAGGCGGTTTTCATCGTAAGACAATACTATATCAGTACAAACCGATTCTACGGATTAAACGTCGAAATGCTAAACTGAAAACTACACCTGCTAATTTTGCTAATAGTTCAAAAGCTAATTTCGTAATTGCTCGCAACTTAAGTATATGTAATGGATTTTTGAATTTCCAGTAAAGATCTTCCTGTAGTCTTACCTCGTATAGTCTAGAACAGTCTGTATGTATACGTTACAACTGGGGCTTGAGACAAAATCTACAGGGGTGACCCATTAATGACAAACGATTTGTATAAAAATGGTCACGTGACAGAGCATGAGCAAATGTTAGTCTGAAGCTATAAGGGTAAGTTAAATTGACGCGATATTTAAAAATTAGTTATAAATTCACAGCACTTGATGATCTAACAATCTTTTATCTTCGCCAATTGCCTAAGAATAATTATTATAGCTTACAATCAACAATATGTCCACTTCACATAGATACAATTATCAGGGAATAACAAGTTAATAAATCGATCATATTTTGTTATTAATGCAGGCAGTTTACGGTCCTCGGTTCTTTATACTATTGTAAACATTACCATAAAAGATTTTATATCATTTAATTAACCATTATAAAATCGTTATATACTAATGATTGTTATATGTATATCATAGATTAGAACTTTGGTAAAACTTTACCAGAACCAGTGTTGCCGTTTTTTTTTTCCTGTTATATCATTTCGTGCCTACATTATCCTTCCATCCATAACTATTTATTTCGCGGATATAGATAGACACCTTCAGAGAACATTGATGGAATTTAGGAAAATATTATATTAATTTATTGCATAATTCGACGTTTCGAGTGCTTTGTAGCAGTCTTGGTCAGAAATAAACCCGTAAATGTAATAAGTTTGCGTTCATATCCGTTAGGTTTAATATAAGTGAGTAGTACTCATGTAAGACAATCAGTTTTCAACTTAAAAATGTACTCGGTTAACAAATACTACAGCTACAATAAAAGTTATTAACAAAGTAGGAAACGCATATAAAAACAATCCATAAACAACTTCAGTTCATCGATCGTATTTTTATCTTTAAGTGTATATAATAACGTGTGATATAACTCTTTGTAATATTTATTAATATTCTGAGCATAGATAAGTGAGATAAAAAAACAAGTTGAATGTTGCAGAGGGTTAAAGAACTGGATGCAACAAATTGAATATTCATAATATTATCACTCGCCTAGATATTATAAACAATATTTGTAATGTTTAGAAAAGTGGTTTAATCAAAGGTAAATTACACTGCCTGTTATGATACTTATCTTATCTTTATCTTAACTTATCTTAAGTCTGACAGCGCAGGCTTACCTCGAAAAGACCGAGAAAAGATCAAAGGTAAAAAAAGTATCGCGTAAAAGATGAGTTATTTTTTTTGGAAATACACGTACTTAGACATACAATATAAATACATTGTTGATAAAATATATTTTTGAGACAAAGTTACCGGCAATCGCTATCATTCTGATATCGTCTCACATTTAAATTATACATAAGTTTATATTTATTTACAATTTGAACTTTTTATCTGATAGTCGAATATAAATTAATATAAAAATCGAAGTGTTTTTTTGACTGAATTCATTTTGACATTTTGTTATACTATCGTGTATCGTAGTGCACTTCAACTTACTCTTTGGTTTATGTTATGCTATCTATGGATTCGTTATCTTGCATTTTGTTGATATTATTTATCTATATAGTGAAAATTATCTAATAAAAAGATATAGTTGTTCGATTGTTTTGTCTACTTGATTACTATTTATCTATAACCGGTGCAACGTGGGAGAATGCTAAAGTATCGCCACTGCTATCTGCGGACATCCGGGACGGTATCTATTCGTGCCTATATATATGATAGATTCTAGAGCTTTCTAGTGAAGATATAAATGTGATTACATTATTGAGTATATAAAGATACGAAGTAATTAATAATTATGGTATGATTTTTTGTATTCCGACTGGGAACACGTTGCGAAATGTGTTATGTTAGTATGCCTCAAGTCTATTTGATCTCATCTGATATAATGTGAAAACAATCTTATTTAAATTGTTAATCGAAAATAATCCATGATTCTAGGGAGACATAATAAGAGGAGTGACTATATATAGACCTAATTTAGTGTTACTCGTGCGGCACCATTTTAGATTGTAACCTGTTTCGTGATGCAAGATGCTGTCATGGGATACCGTTGAGAAATGAAATTATAGTTCCTACCTACAATAGCTTTCAGCCAAAGACTTGTTGCGCTGCATAGGTGATATGCAGTAAGCCATCCGGTCCACGGAACTGTTCATAAGCCTGCGCCATGGTCATACTGTGGCTAACCAGCACTTTATCGTTGACTAATAGGTACAGCGCCTGTAAACAAATATATAGATATACATTTTTCGAAATATCGAATTGTCGCATTTCAAATTCAAAGCAGTGCCACTACAATAGTTTCTTGGAAACTATTGAAAATTATATTATTTCGTTGCTGTTTTATCATTTTAACGTTTTAATACCTTTAATCATATTTTTTCACAATAGTTTAGTAATTACTGTGCTAATTGAAAGACAATTTAAATTATCTAGTTAATCACTTGCCCCATTTAAAAATAAAGAAAACAGCTTATCAGTATCATAAATTATTTTTATATCGCGGCCTTTCGATTATTTTTATATCACAGGGACCCAGCGACCCTCCCGATGTACTTATTTTTACTTAGCATAACAAAAGAAGTTTTTTTTTATTGAATTTATTAAAATGCCACGGCCTAACAATGGTCGGAAATAAGGACAAGAACGTTTTTTTTATTGGACAATTCACACCAATTGACCTAGTCCCATGCTAAGCTGGTGAAGCTTGTGTTATGGGTACTAGGCAACGGATATACATACATATTATATATTGATAGACATATTAATACATATTTAAACACCCAAGACCTAAGCACAACACCAAATGCTCATCACATCAATGTTTGTCTCAGCCGGGGATCGAACCCGGGACCCATGGATTCAGGGGTATTAGTACCCCTGACTGCGATTTTTGTTAGACGGTCATTGGTCTAGTGGCTAACATGAAACGAACTCAGTATATGATACTCTTTAAACTTTAATTTAAGTGAAGTAACTAGTAAATAAATGGGTATACCTGGGAGTCTCTCAATTTCATTTTTGTCCTGATGATGTATAGGAACTGGGACATCGTGAGCTCCTGTGGCACTAAGAATTTGTTTCTTCCGAGCACTGGTACTTCTTTCTCTCTGGCGTATCTTTCCACGTACAACTAAAACACAAAATTGGAACTCAAACTAATAACAATATTTAAATCTATCAAAGATTTATTTTATTAAAATTTTACATCATAAACTAAGTAAAGTGTTTTTCTACATACAAATATAAATAGGTTTATAATAAATGTTTCTAGTTGTAATGAAGTTAAACAAGTGAAGACTGTCTTTAAAAAAAAATGCCTAATAACATAGCTTCGTAAATCTTAAGTAATAACATTGTTAACAATATAATTAAATACTATGATTAATTATGGTTAACTATATTTTTGTCTGTTTTGTCCATATTTTATCAAACATTGTTTTGCCGTAAGTCAACCCTAAGACTTCTGTTAGAAGAGGAATAAGAGGCGAGGAAATTAAATTAGGAGCTGTCAATTCCCTTGACATATACAATCTGTAAAAACTTACCGGAATTTTGTTGGGAAATCTGTCTCTAATGACTTGAACCTCTTTGTTTGACCCCGTCATATCTGCACAAATAATTTGGTAAACATAATATTAATTAAATTATATAAACGATACCTTATCGCCAAGAGTAGAAAGACGGATGCAACAATATTTATATCTACCTACTAGAAATTGGATATATCTGGTTATTGTCTCTGCATTAACGAAATACTTATTTCATTAATATGCAGGTTTTGTGTGCAAAAACACTTGCTCGTACGGGGAAAATAAACCTTGTAAAGAAACCGGCATTACCGACTGAAAATTTAACATCTTTTGGGCACAGATAGCAGATATGGGGTAACACGTCAAGAATTGTTTCACTGAATATATATAAGAACTCTGTTAATTTAGGACGGTAACGCGCATTCAAGACATCTGATGATGCAGGTGTCCATGAGCGGCCGTTGTAAAAATCGATCGATTTTGAAAGTCCTTCCTAACGCCCGAACCCAATAACCTATCTTAAACAATAATCCACTATCTGAGATAGTCATCTTAAACCAAATATTGTAACACGTGTGCCAATAACCAATCTACGGATTGTAATAGCCATCTGTCGATACCAGCTATCCATGGGAGGTCGGATCGGTGTCTGTGGATAGACCTTCGTACGAAAATGACAGTTGACGAATACTCGATATCAGCAGTTAATTATTTTAACAAATTTTAACTTACACCAGTTTTTTAAATAATTAAAAAAACTGTTTGTTATGTTTTAAACATACACAAACATACGTATATTTTAATGTTATTTGTACGGTTTTATTAACTTTATTTGGTCTTATGATCCACAATCTCAGTTTGAAAACAATCGGAGATTGCGGATTGATTATTGGATTCGCGCTTTAGTAAATATAAAAAACTCACCGTCCTGATATCCAAAAACTTCTTGGGAAGCGTATGTAATGTAGAGAAAACCGTCTTCATCGCTGTATGTCTCATACGCCTGTGCCATCGTTAGACTCATGCTCAGCATGGATCGGTTGTTGATTATGAGGTATAGCGCCTGTCAAGGAGAATAGTGACGTTTAAGTATGGAAAAGGCAGAGTCATGGTGTGTCATGAGATGACGGAGATGAAACGTCTACGGGATAACTTATGCTATAAATTTACTACGCAATCATTTGTTTTATTAATCACATACCTACTACATGCGTGAATAGAGGGTTTGGTTTGCCCATAGAGAGACGCTTTCATAAGGGATGGATTGAGATTGTATAAGGTTATTCATTTGTTTTCGGCAATAGTAAGTATATATTATCATTATGGATTAGTTTTGAAGTTTTCTAATTGGTTTTTATTATTGAATAGTAGGTAGATAAAACTATAATATCATAATATAATAAGTTTTACTGTAATTTTTGTACTTAAATATACACACAAGGTACACAGAAGGCTGATAACTTTCTTGCCTATTAGAAAAAAAAACAAATGATCACAAAACAATACTCTGAGGCCCAAAGCTATAGTTTGTAGCGCTGCTGGTTTTTTACTTGCGCTTATAGAACACACATATATATTGTTGAATAGTTTTCATACATAACATAGTTATCTTTTATCTAAGCCTATTAAATATGAATAACTACTGTTTACATTAAAATATTCCAAGTGAAAATGAATATCTCTGACCTTTCGCGATAGTAAAATGACAGTTTCCATTAAATACATAGGTATTAAATTATAATAAGGATCAGTCTTTTAAAAATTTCATATATTTGCGAAGCATTCTTATAAGAGAGACAGTAGGGTGAATAGTAATAAAATCTTACCTGATTAGGCTTAATTTTGATCCTATTGCGTATAATAACTAGGAATTGTGACATTGTTATATCTTCGGGAACTAAAAACTTGGTTTTGTCCAACGTTGGCAAACTGCGCTCTTTGTGATATCTTTCTACGATTAACTGTAAAAAAACACATGTTATATCGTTTCCATCATCTGGTGGAAATAATAATCAATTATTAATCCCGGCAACGCACTTGCGAGCCTTATTGCAATGTGAGTGTCTATGGGCAGCGGAATCACTTAACATCAGGTGAACCTTCTGCACGTTTGCCCCCTGTTATATAAAATAAATGAATAATAAATAAATAATAATATTATAATAATAAATTCGAGACCCTTGGTCCGTGGGGTCCTAGCGCTTTACCTAAGGCTTTTTAAAGAAATTTCAAAAAGGTTAGTCGACATCACAGGAGACCGAAGATCTGGCAGCTACCTCGGACGAAAAATTAGTCTAGCGATTCAAAGGGGGAACGCTGCCAGTATCTTCGGAACCTTGCCTAAAGGGACTCCTTTTAATAATATATTTTAGTTTATGTTAAGGTTAGTTATTTATTTCAATGTATATTGTTTTATTATTATGTTTTTTAATTGTAATTTATATGTCTGGATATTAAATGTTGTAAATAATATGATATAAACTAAATTTTGTCAAGAGCGGAGTAAACAAAACAAAAAATAGGAACTTACCGGTACTTTTGTCGGAAATTTACTTTTAATCGCCATTACTTCTTCTTTTCTGCTAACTGCAACAATTAAACATTTTACATCTATACGATAATTATAATGAGAAAAGATGTTTTTGTAACGAACATAGTAAACGATTAGACCGATTGAAAACTTAATTTAAAATACTACATTATCCCTGAGTAACGTAGGCAAATATTAAAAAAAAAAATTACAAGTGAGCGATGCCGGAACAGGTCACTTGTTTTTAATTTTAGCAAATTTAACTTACAAAGTATTAATAATTAAACAAACTTTACTATAGAAACTTAGATATAAAATTATTATTGATTACGGTAAGTATCATTATATCAAAGGAATATATTATTTAGAATCAAACCAGAGAGTATTAACTCTTTATAAAAATCTGGTATAAAAGACTTCAACGCTAGACCTAAGTGCAACTAACTAGCTAATACTAGTATTATCTATAGATAGTACTATAAGCAACTTTGTTATCATAATACTTGCAACTCATAACCTACGTTGATTTGCTGATTGATATTACCTAGATTAATTAAACATACTTAGGTCAAAGTTCCGCTCGTTAATTTATAGTAAAGTTCAATTAATTATTTATTTCCTTGACAATATTTTATATATTGATGGAAACAAATTATATTTGGGACACTGGGTCTTTATTATCATTAAGGCCCAACAAGAAGAAAAATGTCACATTCACACAAAGACAGACTGAATTTGATTTGAATAACACTTATTTAAAACATTTATGAAACAATTAGATTGCTAATTGCTGTTTGACAAATACCAAATAAAAAGTGGAATATTTTATGCATCACGTCCTTTTTAAATGAGTTCAAGCACATGTATTTGATATATTAATTAACCTATTCCTATTTAAGTGATTAGTAAAGTACATAATAATTCCTATTATTTTTTTAAATAGGTTTTGTGTTTGATTATAATGATATTTTTTGTATGTTCTGATTATAGGCAATTTGGACAGTTAGCAATGGCTACGCAAGTTCTGTATCGGGATTTAGTTAAATTTAATACTTTTACTTAATAATGTAACATTTTGTTTAACGACAACGGTTCATGCTTTTTAAAGAATTAATACCAACAGGAAGTGTAAAAGTTTTAACAATAAAAAACCCTCGTTCTTACCACATCAAGCTCAACGAAAACTATTTTATTTTCACTAATTTTTCATGTAATTATGTATTTTTTCCCCAATTATTCAATATAAACGTTAACACCCATAAACAACATAAATATTACTAGAAACTACAACCGGTTGCACAGTTGTTGCATCGGTCAATGCTATGAATTTTCCCATTTAGTTAGAATGACGCGGGTCACGTATACAAATACAATTCGTAATTAGGTAAATATTGAATGATAGATAATATACTTGACCCGTTTACTGATATTGTTTCTAATGGTGACTTAAAACTTTGTGATCAAATTATTAGGCTTTACATTAAAAATCGTGTTATAAAGTCTTAATTATCAAAAATGCGTCAATTCCACATTCTAACTTCGTTGCTACGTTATATATTTAAACGCTTAAATTTTCACGCAAAAGCTTCTGAAATCGTTCTAGACTACATTAGCCCCGTTGTAATCAGTACCTATGTAGTAATAGGTTACACAATTGTTTTAATATAGATATCAATAATATAATAACTGACGTAAGAATCGTAGTGTTTATTACTAAAGCATCAAAAACGTCCCTAGTTCTACCACATACCTAATCACTTTACAAGTTGTCGTAACATGTTGTTAAGAAGGATATAAACTCACACTTTAACTTCTCATTTCGTTGACACGCGTTAATTTTCAACAATTTGAGTCCTCTTTTAATCATTGTAGGAATGTTCAACGATAGTGTTTTGTCTTTGAATATTTGTTTATATTTTAAGAAAAAAAACTTTACTCGCTACAAGTCAATGTGGAATGTGCCCATAGAAAAAGTGCAGGTAGTATGTATGGGACACTTATACCGTCTGCAAACAAGTTTTATAAAAAATCAATAAACTATGATTGTTAAATATAACTTACTTTCGTTGGTTTCTATATTAGTATATACATAATAGGTATATATTTACTAGCTACTTATTGTTTTCATATTTGAATTATTGAAAATAAATACTTACTGAAATTCTTTTTGGATTTAAAGCACTGTTTCACATTGTGGTTCACATCATGTTTTATAAGTGTTAAAAAATTTAATTCCATTTTTTTCACCGGCTCCGACACTGGACTGTCGATAATTTTATTTGGCGCGGGCGTCTGTTCACAGCGCTGTTTAAGGCCACACTACCATTTATGTAGCTGTCATATATGCATGGTAGCTATATTCATTTGTACTATATTATAATACAAATCGTGTATATGCATTAAGATGCACATAACATCTATCGAAGGCGTAAATGAATTATTGCCTGATAAGTATTGTTGTCTTATAAATAATACTTTCGTAACGGATATCCACTCTTTACATTGGCCTAAGTTGTTTCGAATGCTTAATGTCGTGGTCAACAATATACGTTTAGCTCAAAACGTTGAGTTTAGTTACTAATATAATAAGTTGGCGTTTCTAAAGAATAAAGAAAAATAAACAGAAAAAATGGTAAATTGTTTTTAGTACATGAATATTATACCCACGCTCTACATCAATTAATTCAATGTTTATTTTGGACGTTACAGATGCGAGGTATGTAACCATTATTTTATTGCAGAGTTATTTTAGAACTATGATATCCTAAGATACTTATTGAAACCAAATGATGTCAAGGGTGGTTTCGCTTAAAATTAAACACTTGATAAATGGCGATATACGAATAAAGATTAACATCATGTCTACAAAATAAAGTTAATAGTGTATTATCAAATAATGTTTTATTTCAAAACTAAATTAGTAGAGAAGGTTATAGAAGATCAACCTTAAATGATACACCTACGTTGTCTCGGACTTTTTTAACTTTACAAATTAACAAATAACAATTTGCATTAGGTACGTAATTCGCAGTCTATGCAGCGCACGCAACGGAAACATTAAATAAGGTAAAAATTTCCCCGTATTAGTAACATTTCTCATTGATTCTCCGTCCCTATTCGTTTTAGAGTAATGTTGAATCAGATCTAAACCATTCCATTTCTCAAGATTTTTCCATAAAGGGACCATTCAACATAACAACAATTGTTCAATTACAACCTATTGTTCCTGAGATAAGCCCGTTCAACCAAACAAATACACACAAATACAAACTTTTCAGATTTATAACATAAGATAAGTATTCATCATATTTAAATGTGAGAACGAAAACAAATTCCTGCTCATCGATGTATGGTATATTGGTACACGTATATTTAAAACTTGGAAATAAAAATTAACTTTTCTTAAAGATAACTAGTTAGTCAAAAGTAAAGATGTGTTAGGATATCGAGTATTAGTTTAGTAAAAAATTACTTAATTTTTAATATGCCAAGAATTTATAGTCTGTCTCACAGACACACATCCTGTGGCTCTAGTAACACAAGTATATAATTAGATAAAATACGTGCACATTGATATACTTATAAGCCTACTTTCTGTCTAAGGAGTAAGGGACCCTTACTAAGACTGGGTGAGATTCAGCTATAAAAAATAAACGAAATCTTACGCTAAAGCTACAGACTAGAATCTAGGCTAGTTTGTACGATTGTCAAATTAGCAAATGTCAAAACTGACAGCCAAATTGTCAATTTTACTCGGTACAATTTCCATAGATTTAACTTATAAAAATTTAAATTAGTTGTTAAGTGATTGTTCGTCGGGTTATTTGTGCCTGAACGATTTACGTAAAAGATCCTGAAATAAAAATATTACATTTTTTATCGGCTATATCGAATGCTTCGCACTTAGCTACACCAGTGTTTAAACTATGGTTTTAAGCCAACAACCTAGAAGCCTTCGTCTTAAACGTTGACCACTGTTATGATTTACAGAATCAATACGTAACTCTTTCTTGTAGATCTCATGAATTAGACTCGATAGATACAAATTGATATGATGATCTTGTGACCTCTCACAATAATTAATCATGCTTTTTACCCCTATTTACATTGCAATGACGTTCATCAAGACCTGGCGTATTCGATCTTTTAGAGCCCGTCTTTTGGAATTCTTAAGTGGGAATACCAGTGTCGCATTTTGTAAAGTACCGGAAAATGCTGCTGGTAAGATGATTTCATACTACATTTATATTAAATACCTCCTTTTATATAACTTAAAACATACCTACATCTTTCCATTTTAGAAACACCTACATTAAGCTCAAAATTGTGTACTAATCCTAAGAATGCACATCTATGTGATCTATTGGATTACACAAATGCATCTAGGATATGTAGTATGAAACCTACTCAATGTATTGATATTGGAGATTGGGTTACATGTGCTGGTGGCTTACCTTTGGGCACATATGATTCATCACCAGTCACAGATGTTGATATTGAAGTGCTATTTGAGTGTGAAATGGATCCACATGAAGAGAGTTCATTTTATGATATTATGTCAGTAAGTATTTATTCAGTAATGTACAGTCTGTCCATTTCAACAGCCTAAAATTTTCTTTGATTGAAATAGGATATTCTTATGAGGTAGTAATGGTTTTGTTTTGCAATAGCAGTATGAAGTTAATGTAATTCATATTAGAGTTCTCAGACCCTTTATCCTTATAATTTTAGCTGGAATCAATGGGCCAACCAATTGCTTGGAAAGCTGGGTCTCATTTGGCAATTGTTTTGAAGACTAACATGGAACATCTCAGTATTATTGGTTTTCAATTTGTTGGTGGGGAATTCATTATTGATCATAAGCTACCAGTTGTGAGAATACAAAGTAAGTTGGATAGTTTCCCAAAAACATTTACATGCTTCTGTTAATATGAATGAATTGTAAAATTGATTTTCTTTGTGTAGCTGTACAACTTTCGGGAGAACCAAATAAAGCAACTGATTTATCAATGAGAGGGCTCCGTAGTGAAATTCAACATAGCTTAAGATTGACCCATGAGGAATTTCAATGGCCTATCCATGCATCATTGCTCAGGAAACTATCAAAAGTGGTTGATATTAAATCAGATAGAAGTATAACTGTAATGAATGGAGGTAGTGAACAGGTTGAAACATCTGTAGGTAGAAGGAATGTTACTTTAACAGACGTAAGCACTATAACAACAAAATCTCTATCAGCTGATGACGATGACTCTCCTGAAAAAGTATCAGACCAGAAAGTAGAAAAATCACCACAGAAAATACCTGCTAAAACAGATCTAAATCAATTAGATGGTGGTATAGTTGTTGAAAATGTCACTGTCGAAATACAACATAATATACTACCAAAGAAAGCAAGCTTAAAGCTTGATTTAAAAGAAGGAACTAGTCAAATGTCAACATCTCTCCTTAACATATCTAGTCAAATTAAATCAATAACAACACATAAGAGAATTGTTAGTACAACAGGGCCTAAGAAAGCTCCTCAAGCAGAATCATGCTCCCAACATAAGGAAGAGATTCCTAAGAGCCCTTGTATGTCGACACCAAAATCTGTAAAGAGTTCCCGTCCACTAGTAAATACAAAGTCTCCAAACGTTTTAATATACTCTGACAGTGTTGTTGCTAGGGATAATTTGGAAGCATCCCTGAAGAAAGTTCTTGATTGTGATAGGTATGTTAGATGGTAGATGGTAGTTTAGTTATTTTGCATCAAACTAGATAATGTAAGCCACCCTTGGAACCCAAGACATGTTTGATCAACACAGTTTGTCAATACAGTTATCATTTCAGATTTTTATGTACACAAAAATTACTTGCCATACCTTATTTATGAAAATAAACAAACAGAAATTTGGTTTTTTTACCTAAGAGTTTTGAAACATATCTTGTATTGTTACAGTAAATAAAACAGTAACAATTCTTACATAACATATTATTGATACTTAAGCACCCAGTATGAGAGAATTTTAATCAATTATCTTTGATAAACATATATTATTGTTCTCGTGCTTTTTTTTTACTAATTTTAGACAAGTAAACATAGAACTATGATGTTTTACTAGGTATACAGTATATAGCGTGTCCCGCGAAGCCTTATGTGGTGGGGCTTGGCGTGGGCGGGCGGCACTAGTCGCTGTTGCGGGATGTGCTGGACGGGCGGCACCCTTACTACTTGCCCATTTGTTAGATGGGGGAAAATTGTTAGCAATATGCTCCGACCTTCTGCATACAGTTTTGCCGCATTATAAGACTGCTGAGGTAAGAATTAAATTGCATCTGATTCTAATAAAAACGTCAAAATCATTCTATTAAAAAAATACTGTTGATAGGAGATTCATTTTATTAAATTAATTTACCATTAGAATTGATTATATAACTCATTCGTAGACGAAGAGGCTATGGAGTTAATGCAATGTCACATCATACATAACAACTATACTCTGAATATTTTATAAGCAAATTTTCTTATTAATGTTATTTCCGTAAAGGTCAAATTCCACAGCGTTTCCCTCGGCACATTATTTTGAATGGGTATCTTTACCTTTTGCTTTAACATAATGTATTTCATTGCTGGTTTCTATATTATGTACACGACTTTGTCTGCTGAAAATGATCATACATTATTAATACCTGTGTAAATTTTGGCTGTCTTTATTTATTATGAAAAAAAATAACTAGTAAAAACTAACAAAAACGTTTTATAATGTTAGTTATTCTACTAGGGTATTTATTTTTAATGATGCGGAATTTCTTTTGGCTCACAACTTTTTATATTTCCTAAGACTAATCTGCTAAGTAAAAAGACCCGCTACGTTCTCAAGTGCAATGTATCGATTATGCAAATCCGCCGCGACAATGATTGTTGACCTTGAAACGCACCCTTCGTATGGAGATAAACTCCACCTGATGTTATAAGTTTTTGTCTACTTTTAAATCAATATTATAGTTTTCTATAATAATGCATAAATTAGGCGTAATTCAAAGATTTCTTTGTACATCTATCGGACATACTCGTACAAGCCATAGTCGAGCGTAGTTATACCCAAATAACTATATAAACAAATTAACAATCGTAATAAACAAGTGGCAGGTGGGTATATAACAAACTGCAGTGCTGGCTTTTAACGTTAATTGAATTTAAAATCGCTTTTATCGGGATGTTGAAGATTAGCCTACTTTTGCGTGATGTGGACAGTAATATGCACAATGCCACTTTAAAATTTCAAAAATTCATATTTAATAAAAAGCATAATTCAAAACAGGAAAATACTTATACGATTTTAGGTTTGCGACGTATACATATAGATATATCGTATCATTTTCAGGTACGAGAAAATGAAGTGGTACAATTTTCGTATGACAAATGGAAAGCCGTGAAAATGAAACATCATATTTTCTGCTATCAAGCATCGCCAGCAAAGAAACAATTCTCTACTGAGAGCGATAGACAGTAAGTTTAACATAAAGTTGTGTAGTATCAAATTTAGGGTATTATACTAAAAAAAATTAACTCTTGCAAGTTTTTAAATAAATACTAAAAAAATTGTAAGTAGTATTCAATATATATGCGGCAATAACTGTAAAACAAATGTATATGCACCTAATTTTGTATAGGTTTTGAGTCATTCGAATTTGTTACTGAAATGCCGAGTCGTACATAACCAGCAAGTGCTACTTTGAGACTACTTGTTTCAATTTTCTGTTACTTTATACTCCGTGTATGCTTACTTTTAAATCTGAACCCACTTTCAACTTTCTGGCCGTATTCCAAATGGTTGTTTACAATAAACTACCAGTGACCTTATATAATCAATACTATTATGACGTAAGTACATTGATTATTTTCAGGTATAAATCAGTATTACCTTAAGCTATATATAGGTCTTACGCCCACTATGAATTAACCCTATATACTAGGGGAGATCTGGTCTGTGTATAAGTAAATATTTACGAAGCACTACCGCTGATATTACGAAATTCTAGGGTTTTGCAGCCTAACCCAATTTATTTTAGAAATAAATTTATAAAATGCATGAAGGTTATATATACATCAAATACAAGCAATAAAAATGTATATACATAGTTTAATAACCTAAATTCTTACAGAGCCAGTCAGGATGCCAATATGTGTTGGTACGAATTTAATATCTTGACGTTATTATGCTCTTAGAAAATTGAATATTATTTGCTATTGTAACTTATATCATTTTGGTAGTATACGCACTGCCGAATATTTGACATTGAATAATCATTATTATTTGTGTTTTTGGCTGATAATTTAGCGAGGGTATCGATAAAATATATTAATATTCTTTATTATAAAATTTATGTTGCGTCTTATTTAATCATTATTTCATAAATTCTGCATGCACACCAAGCATTTGTTAAAATACATAAATATAATTTGTCACTGTATTGTAATTTTAAACGCAATCACAACTAGATTTTGTGTATTTTGACTTCCATTAGGATATGGTGTACTAAGCCGGAGATGGTAGAATGATTAAAATAATAAAAAGAGGATTATCGAGTTGGCCGAATCTTATAATATTTAAAATTTCACTTGGAGTTAAAAATAGTTCTATTGGGAACATTGTTAAACTGTCCTAGTACACCTTAATTTTTTGATCGATTTACAATACTTTCATAAATTTAGCGTTTTTAAACAATAACACCATTTATTGAAATATTAGATTTAACATATACTATGCATGGATTAGTCCCGGTTTTACCGATTTTTAAATGGGCGGGATTAACTTTACAATAACATGTTTTAGGCCGTCCAAATACACCGGTCATCCGGGACATGAGTTGGACGTGAAAGTTCTGGCTTCAGAGGAAACTTGGCGGACACCATCCCTGTTGCAGGCCACAGATCTTACTAATCATGGTGCCGCGATTTTCTCGCAGGTATATATTTGTGAGACACTAACAAACAATAGTATATGGCTTTTACTTTTTTCCAAAGGGGTAGGCAGAGACCAGGCTCTACATGCAACGGTGCTAACATACCTCTCTCGCTTCATCCACTTTCATGACATTTACCATGCCTGCTCGTCGGTTATGGGTACTTTTGACCTGTCCCTTCTCTGGTACGTCCTGGATTTTGGCCAGAAATGTACGGAAAGGCCTACTCGATTCGATATCACTATCCGCCGTATCTCATTTATCCCTTCTACATAGTACGTACATACCCTCTCCCACTATCACACACACACGCATACACACACCCTCACATACACCCATAAAACTTTATTTCTACTAACTTCTAACTAGTTGACTGTTTTGTTTTTCTTTCCTTATTTAAAACGTTAAGTTTGTTTGCCTACCCATATATGTATGTACTCTTTGTTACCACTCAATACAACTTTTCTGTGGAATGGAAGCCTGGTTATCCATTCCACAGGTTCTTACCTAGTTTGGACACCAGTCTCCCAATACCTTCTTAACTGTAATCTTATTGTTTTGGTGTAAATGTTATATGGGAAAAAATAAATTATTATTATTATTATAGTCAAACCACCTAAGCATTCCTTTTCGTTAACATATTCATCTCAGTGGGTTCAAGTCCTATGCATTCGATATTTTTTACCAGGAGTTTTATACCTTATCCAACAGTTTTATACTACAATAACGAACATCGATGTGATGAGCATTTGGTGTTGTGCTTAGGTCTTGGGTGTTTAAATATGTATTTATATGTCTATCTATCTATAATATGTATACGTATATCCGTTGCCTAGTACCCATAACACAAGCTTCACCAGCTTAGCATGGGACTAGGTCAATTGGTGTGAATTGTCTTAAAAAAAAAAAAAATTGTTTTCAGATTCACCTCGAGTCTGATCCTGCTGACTACCTCGGTGAGGAAGGTATTAAAAGTAATGAAGCCAGATTGGAAATACTTCATAAAATTCTTGGAGATATACTGAGCCTCCATGTGAAAGACCCCAAGGAACTTGTCAAAATTGAATACACTAGAGGATTCTTCCTTGGAGATCATGTGGTAAGGAAAATAGATATTGAATTGTGTTACTGCATCCCCATTTCGGTCATAGTAGGAATCGCAATTTAGATGATTATATTTTATACCATAGTTATAAAATTTGAGAAATATTTCCTAAAAAGAGAATAGAATTCCCTTCAAATTACCGTATTAATTAACTAATTTAATGTTCAATTACCTTCCGTAACGTTCCGTTAGTGAGAAAAAAATATAATCGTCTGATATTTATGAAAACGAATTACTTAGTTGTGATGTGCAAAAAGTAGTTTGGTTTTATATTTATTTTGCTTTTAGGCACACCGTCATATGTCATTTAGTTTTAAAATTCCACTACACTCTTCGGGATTGCAAAATGATATTGAAAATAAAACCAGTCATGAGATATATTATGTAGAAATAAAAGTTTATCTGACTTAAAAACTATTCTAATTCCCATTGATGATTAGCCATTTTTAAAAGCAATATTAATATCTAGTTACCAAAAAATATCTTTAACAGTAATAAAAAGTCCTCCACCTACTCAAAACATACCAACAGATACCGAACGCCAACGATACATAACGTTTGTTTTTAGTTTATTATTCATGATATAAATTAAAATGGTATGAATAAGTTAAACCCACATATTGTTTGATAGGACGCGTGGTCGACGTGTCGAAGAGGCCCGGGCCACGTGACCGTGTGATGCCCGGTGAGGCCTACCTCGCTTGTGCTTTGTGTTTATTGTGTGCTTAAACTAGAGATTTCATGGTTTTGATGTTGGTGCCCCAAAGTGATAGGTTTCCGGCTCGTAGGACCAAATTATGCTCAGTTTACGAACATCTACCATAATTATTAATATTATGTGTCTTAAAGTTAGGCATGCGTCGTTATTCGAATAATTTTGCCAATATGCTAAAGTAAGTAATGCGTGGTTTCTTGGTTGCGAATATTTTTAATCTGAATAGTGTACCTACGTATAAAGACAAAATCCTGAAATTCTCGCTTTCTCATATATTTCTTAATAATATAACCACACTTGCTCTTTTTAGATCTGCTTTCACCGCTCTCCCCAACGGATAAATTATTTTAAATGACGCTTGCTGATAATGTAACTAGATACATAGATATATAGCTCTATAACATAAAGCATACTGGACAATCGTATGCAGACAAGAAGCTAGCGAAATATACAAAAATTCTGTCCAAAATGTATAACTCATTTTGCTATTCTTTTCGTTTTTACACGGATTTGACATTTATTAGTGTCGCATGTATTTTTCAAAATTACTTTTTATAATTGGCTGCTAATTTTTCATATTTCGATGTGATATATTTTTTTTTCTAATTATATTGTTTTGGTGCAGCACAAAATGTCCCTAGTTGAAGGTTGGTGTCCATTGAAGGACGGCAAACGGGTGCAGAGTATCGGTAACCTGAGTGTGCAGTGGTGTATGCGGAACGAGAAGCCAATGGACCAACCTTCGGATATTTTCCTACCTGTTTCTTTATATGAATGCCCTGAAAATTTCTCAACTGTTGAATATTTTGATGTGAGTATAACAAACTATTTGTCATTAACATAATTAAAACAAACCCTTTCCAAATTCTGTTCGATTATAAAACAAAAACTTGGCGATTAAAAAGAGTGGCGGAGAGTTTATAGCCAGTTCTTCTGTTCCGTTCTACGCCCTTGATTTGAGAACTGGCAGTAAATGTAAAATTAGAAGCATTTAATGAATATTTATTTTTTTGACGTTCATAAGTGTACATCATGTTACCTATATGATTAAATGATTTTCGGTTTTCGCCTATAAATATATATGAATTAAACATATTTTTCAACCTTTGGAGAATACCATCGAATATTTATTTGGTCTATTTTTTCAGAACCTTACATCTACAAACATAGGCCGCGTGCTAATATACGCGGATGTGTTAACGTCCACTCAACATATCATCGAAGGCTCGTTAGGTCACGGCGTGGGTGCAGTTGCGAGGAGTCAAAGTTCTGGTCGAGGCCGAGGGGATAATAAGTGGATATCACCTAATGGGCAGGCTGTCATGTCACTACAGGTTGGTACTTTTCACATTGCAAAACAGCGAGTGCACTTTAATAAAAAAGTGCACAATCGAAAATTAATACAAATAATAAATTTAATTTTTTAAATTTATTTCTTCGATAATAAAAACACGTGGCATTTGAGATTTCAATAAATTATTTTGCTTAAAATATAAAATACTAATTCGTAATTAATAAATTCTCTTTACGAAATTTTAATTATAAAATAGAATTTCTTTAATGAGAAGGGTAATTCACCCTTCTCACTCTCTCTCAATCGGTCTCTCTTCCTTTTCTTCGACAAAAACGCTGCACATACTCGTGACGTTCCGTAAAAATTTTACCCTCATGCTCCTAAAGAAGTTTTACTTCAAACGGTGTAGTCAGCCGTTTGTTTGAATTTAAAAAAAATATTACGGTTGGATCTCAATGCGGGCTCGTTATCATGGTCGCTGCACTTATCACGTATACACGTTCTTTTAATTAGATAATTATTTGTACAACTTTTATAAATCCTCTTTGTGCAAGTAACATTTTAGGATCATGTATGTCGCTACCTGTATAACTTACAATGCTTATTGAAGGGGAATTCGCACCATACCTAGGTAACACTGAAAATGTTTAGAAAATGAAAAACGGCTTAAAATGACAAATGATTGCAATATACTACATTAGGTTACCAAAGAGTTCTAAAATTGAAATTCAAAAAATGTTTTCATTAGCAATGTTTCTAACTGGCCAGTTCTAAACATTTTCAGTGTTACCCACGTATATACAAACTTTTCGTAAACGTGAGATGAGAATTTGCAATTCTGGAGTGGTTGTAGAGGATTAGTATTAACAGTGGCAAAGTATGTGTAAACAAATACACTTGGGTATCTCCTCGCTTTTCGTTCAAGAAAGGTCTATATCGTGCTTAAAATACCATCACTTGCAACAACTATTCTACGAGTCGGTACTGAGAAAACTGTGTGACTAGTTATAATTGAGATGTATATACAATATGAATTGGTATGGTAATGGTATTTAAACGCGTATACTACTACACGTATTTATAATTTAATAAACACGCCGATGAAGTGGGCCGTGTAGCGAACTAAATATTGGACTTTATAATTTCAAATAAATAATAACAAATTGTTCTAAAGATCTTCATCTTGTATTTTTAAACGTCTATCTATATATTTTAAATTAATAACTATGAATTTCTAGGTATGGCAAAAAATGAACCCTACAATTCCCTTAATACAACACGCGACTGCGCTCGCTCTGGTGCGAGCTATACGCTCAGAACCGCCCTACCAAAACTTGGATATAAGGTCAGTATTTATTAATAAAACACGACGACTCACTACCAACAGAACATGGTCAAAATCCCGGCTTAGCACCCAAGGATTTCTCCTTTTTAAAGGCAAATATCGTGAAAAAACGGGCATGTCTTAAAAATTTACGACATTAATCAGACTACAACTTGAAAATAAACTATTATAACCCAAATAGCATTCCCAGAACATTATTATGTTATGGCTTGTTTTACTTTTACTTGCACTTCAATAATTTGATTTCCTATTGAGAACTGGAACAAAACAAAAAATACTTTTTGGTTGTCAGAGCTAACTTTTTAAAGAAGTTAGTTTTTTACTAAGAAAGTAAAAATACTAAATTTGATTGACGTTCTGTGCCTGAAGTTAAAATTATTTTGCTCGAAATAGTACCACGATCTAAAGATATTTTATACATGATTTGTTTACTATGAACCAGAGAACAGGGAAAATATATTTCATACAACATTTCACAGAATAAAATGGCCGAATGACATTTACTATGGACGGAACTTAAAGATTGGCGGGGTCATTACTACTGCGAATTGTATAGGGGATGACGTCATTATTAATATAGGTATGTGCTTAGAGTATATTTATGAGCTAAGTCGATTTCATAAAATAAAATACAACTTGGATATTTTGTCTAATATAATATGGAGGGTGTTGAATAACAACTGTTTTGTCAAACTTGACAATATGGTAAGTAAAGTGTTATTAAAAAGATAAAACATGGCTTTAAAAAGTGTTATGTAGTAATGTAACTTGTTAAAATAATTTATCAAAAAATCCATTAAAAAAAGTACAAAACCGTTACAAAAGTGTTGATTCGACTCGTGCTTGCATGATATGTCCGAATGACAATTAACAAACAACAACGTTTGTATACGTCGCCATCTTGAATTTAAATCTTTTGGCGGGTAATTCAAATGATAAATATGTACTTAATTTGAATTTTTAACAGAATTAAAAATATATCTATAATCTACTATGGTTTTGCTGCAATTGTCAAAGAAATTTCGTTTAATTTAATAAATTTGATCCTTCCTTCAAAAGAAAGGCTACCATTTGAAAGGCTCTTACCTTATTTATTAAACCTGTGCACATAATTACGAAAAATTTCAGGAACTGGCGTAAACATATCAAACAGTGTCCCAACGACATGTGTAAACGATATGATAAGCGAGTACAACACAAGAGAGGGCGCATCACTAGCGCCGATATCAATAGAGAAGTTCCTGGCCCGGTATTGTTCGCAACTAGAAATAATTATCGATAATCTTATCTCCGAGAGGGGTGTCGATAATTTTCTTAAAGAATATTACGAGTATTGGCTTCATGAGTAAGTAATTTATTTATTTACCGTAAAATACATAAATTAAAATATACATAATGAAAAGGTTATTCTGTAGATTATACGGTATGACCAAAGCTGGAACAAGCTTACTCCTCCAACTGCAAAGCGATTAGCGCGTCGAAGCGCCATTTCAAATATGAACTTGTGCTGGAGTTGCAGGAATAGCTTTGGTCGCGTATAATTTATATTCTTCTATTATAATTGCTTCATAATTGAATTATTATATAAATACTATTTTTTTGTATTATCCTTTGTTCTTTTATCCGCAATTTAACTTATTTGATTTTCATGTACTTCCGTCTTTTTGAAATACTGCTTCTCTAAGATAACCTTAGAGGCACCTCATCATCGCTATTTTGTGATGATGGGGCAAGCTTAACGCATCTCCAAGGGACAGCTAATCATTAGTGTCCATTTATATTTATGTGTACGCATGGTCTCATCAAGCATAGTCTTTGTCTGTGGATATTTTTTTTTGTATCAGGCCTGTGGTGATAAAATAATTTCGTCTATTGATTTGCATAATTCGAACATGAAAATATTATTGGTATTTCTACTTATATTTTTCATTTCAGCGGCGAAGAAATCCGTATACAATCCGTGGAAGGCAGTCCTGTACCGGGGACGATATCCGGTTTGGACGAGTTCGGTTGGCTGATAGTACGTACAGTGGAAGGCGATGTGAGAGTGCAACCGGACGGAAACACATTCGATATCATGAGCGGCCTTATTGCTCCTAAACTTTAGTAGGGACAAGTTACGGGTAATTAAGAGTCGAGACTTAAGTATGGCAAGTGTGTCAAAAATGTGTTGCACATACGGGAGGCATCTAGCGGTAAGTCTCTACTCTGAATTCATAAAGGATAAAGCTTAGGTTTCCTAGAAAAGCGGTGCCGTTATCTAACCGCCGTAATGTAGCGTTGGGTGACGTCACCTATACGTTGTCTATAAATAACATAGGAGTAGGGTTCCTAGAGAACGTTGAGTGTCACCGTAACTTTAAATAGTGGTACTGTCATTTGCATGACGGCCGTCATAGCGGTGATGAACATTAGTTCAACGTTTTTCGCGCGCAGCGGTGCCCATATTTAATTAATACAATGAGGAGCAACGTGACTTGGACGAGCGAAAATAATTGTTTTTTTGCATTATTAACAACCGTAAAACGACGGCCGTGAGTTAACGGCACCGCTTTTCTAGGAAACCTAAGGTTTAGTCATTTAGATTAAGTGAAGTTCAAAATGGCGTATACATTATCAATTAAGAAGGAAACAGTGTGACTCCTATCTCCTAATTTGACATTGATAGTTTTGCAACAATTTTAAAAATTATGTTCATCAATCGAAGAAAGTTAAATATTCAACTAAATACCTAGTTTTAAATCGGAAACTAGGTAAAGTTTATGGAGCCTTAAATCGGAAAATAGGAGCCGTTTACTGAGTAAGCTACATAGGTTAACATAATGTTTCCATGGTAAAATAACCAGTACCTGATTTGTATTAAACATCAAATTCATTCCTTCAAGTTCTATCGTTGCTAGAATAGGAGAACTAATAAAAAAAATGTATTCTAGTGCAAATCTAAAGATCTTATTCGAGCCTCTACATACTAAGTGTGTTTTCTCACATTTATTTATTTAATATTTAAACTAATTGAATTGGTGAAATGTCTATCTTTTAAATGTGTCAAATAGTAGAAAATTTTAAAAAGTTTAAAGTCGGTCCCTCGATGGCGATTATTTTTGAGCTTTTTGATTTTCTTGAGTAAAAAGCAAAAACAAGATAGCTTAAAGTAAGCGAATTTATTATTTGTTTTATTATATTTATTAATCATATTATTTATTGACCAGGGAACACGTTCGAAATTTGAAATATTGAACGTATGTCAACTGTCAGAAGCAGATTGATTTTCGATTGTGTAATATTTAAAGTTGAATTTCGAAGTGATTACAATACTCGTTTATTAATTTTAGATTTTATTTTTTGTTTGTTAAGAAGGGTTTAGGTTTGTGATATTATTTGTAGATTTCTTTAAGAACACTTATTTCAGTGGTGACAATTTTTCAGGGTATATATTTTAGGCATTGGTTTAAAAAAATATAATATATTTGGGACGGAATCTCATTAAATAAAGAATTAAAATTATGAAAAATTTGCCAGAGAGTGACATCTGGCGGAAAACGTTTTCGTTCACTTTAGCTAAAATATTGTGTAGTTAGGAAGAAAAATTCCAAAGATAGCGGTTGAAACTAGGTTGTATTTTAAAGAAATAGTAATAACATTGGTGATTGTTAAACGATCTAAACATATTTTGTAGTAATTAGGAGTCTAACCATATAAAATTATAATGTGCAACAAAAACGTATGAACAGTCTTGGGTCTGATAGAAATACAGTGCAAAGTCCATGTAACATCACTCGATTTAACGACGAACTCTCTAAAGCGTCGAAATCAATTGACTTTTGTTGGTTTAGCTTGTCTACCATACAATGATACACTCTACATAGCTTCAGATACAGTCTCAATAACGACAACAATTGAGTAATAAATTTTCTGATTTTTCATTTAACGACACCTGTCTATAACGCCATAAAAAGCCCAGTCCCTTCAGTGTCGTTATATAGAGTTTACACTGTACTTATTTACCAAATTCTAATCCAAATACCTTACTATATACATATATAATACTCGTATAATAATAATCACCATTCTACGAGTGCTCATGACGATACCGAAATCCATAAATTCCGTTTTGTTCGTATGTCGTATCACAGAGTAATAAAGTCACTTCAAGATATTTGAAACCATTGAACCATTTCTCTCGCTATATATAAACAGTTCATATATTTTTGTTACACATTGAATATAATAAAAGGTTGCATGACTCAAGTATTGATTTCTCAAAGATTAGGAGTTTAAAATTTAGGAACTTTCATATCACTTAGTCGGCCACACCACTGCCAGTGATAATGTTTGAATTAGATTTATAAAATGAAAATTCTCTAGATGCTTGCTTATTGCTTGATAATTTTTATTCATCTAAATTTTTTAAGAAATTTCTAGTTTTTTAAAACTAAAAGATTAGAACTAAAAATATTCTAGTTTCACAAACATGTACGAAGTAGTTCTGTCAACAAATGAGCATTTGACAGGTGCTTCTTATAAAACGTGTTTTTGAATCTTAAATATATATAAAATTGCCGGCAGATATATTTAGCTTTTGGATTTTTGGATTGGATTTATAAAAACTAGTATTTTTAACGGAATTCAGTTTCATACAATATATAAGTATAAGTTCTATACACATCTTTATATTGTATCACAATTTAGAATTCATTTTCAACATTTCTTTATCAGTTCGACAGTATCAACTCTCGCATTTTAAACGCATTTACTTAGTAATGAAAATTACTTTGCGCTTTCAGTTAAGTTTTTTTTATTGGTTATATTGCTATCTTATCATATCTTTCGGTTCATTCATTTATTATTGATATAAAGCTAATATGTGGAAATTGAATTTAGACTGATTTTGTCAAAACCATTCCAAAATTTAAAAAAGCTATAGATAATATAAATAATGCTCTGGTTTCTTAAAACATAGGCTGTGATCATCAGTCACATACATAAGAAAGAGAAAGCGAACAAGGCTAGATGACGGTTTGTGAGGTATTCTCTTTCTATCGTATCGAATTGTCAATTCATAGTCTGTCAACAATATCCCACAACTGTTAGGTATTATTTTAAAGTGATGTCTTTGATTTATTTGACAGCAGCCATTGACAAATATGTTTTAAGAAATAAGAGTGACGAGAGTTGTTGTTCCCATTAGAATAGTTCTAAGTCTTAATATTGTTAAAAAGTACATTTAATATTCTAAATAACCTTGTTATCATATATGTGTGTAATGTGTGCATGTGTGTATTCGTCCATTTTGTATAGCATTGTCTGAAGTTGAATAAATATGCATTCGTGTTAGTGAGTTGCATATTGATGCGTCCGATTCCTTCATGGAATTATTTTAATTTGACCGGAGGTGCGTATTTGAGGTGGAAAGCAATTGCGTAGCACCAACATGAAGTGAAAAGTAGCAAAAGTTTTCATTTATCAGATTTTACATTAACGGAATTAATGCATTTAAAAAAAACCTTCTTTAAGAATGAAAATCAAGTCTAAATACGTTTTCCTAAATTAATTTATGACACTGCTCAAGGCAGACACGTTATAGAATTCAGGCCCTTAATATTTAGATGAAAATATGAGAATTTAGTGTCTATAAGCATTGATTGAATTTTTTTTGACATAAATGCCTGCTTGGTGAAATAGATGGTTCCTAGGTTTAGATAGATTGAAATGTGCCTAATATGTTCAATTTATATAGGTGATAGATTTTTTTTAATATTCTAGAATTTTTTCAATATATTTCTAGAGTTTAAATATTTTTATGTGATTTAAACTGTTTATGAATAAATGAATCGCTTAGTAAACCTTAAGTCAAATGTTACCCATGTTTGATAATTTTTATTCAATTAAAAGAAATCATTGCAGCCAGAAGAGCCATTTAGCCAACTATAATATCTAGCCTTAGAAAAACCTAATATTACCAGAATTTGTTTTTGCTTTGGTAGGAAACCTCCAATCAGGCTGTTGATATAATTGCTACGTTGCGATATTTACGACTACCCTTTTTTTATTGAGGGGAATGCATTTCCTCACAGAGTGTGGGACTCGCTCTAAAAGCCCTACCCACTAAACCCCTCCCACCAATCACGTTACTGTTGGGGTAACTTGGGGTCGCGTAACCATTCTACCAAGAGACCCCATGACTAGCTGCTACAGCAACCATCTTCGATTATATTGACATCGCCTTAAAAGTGTTTACAGTAGGGTTGCAATTTCTTGCACCCAACACGCGATTCGCCGGCTATTTACGACTACCCTACAAAAATTACTACAGCGTTTAAAGTTTATTTTGGTACGTGATTGCGAGACAAACGATTATAAATACATGCAATATTGGTCCCTATTTAAAAAGGCAATGACATAAATGTGTGCAATAACAATGTCAAATGCCAAAGGATTCTTCTGACGTCATACAGTTACATAACTTAGTTCATAATGACGGTAGTCGCTAAGAATATTACTACACCATTAGGCGCGAAACACACAGAAAAGGCGTAAGGTGAAGGCGCGGCGCAGGCATCTTGCCGCTTCAAAACGCGTCAATACAAAATGTACGTAAGCGGCACGTTGTTAATTATACTCAAGTGGCGTGGCACAGGCACGTCGTTTTGTCGCCTGTTCCGCGTCGCTAGCAGTCGCGACTGGAGTGGAATTTCGCATCTTCGTCATCTGAAGAGGAAGACATGCTATCACGATATAGTCAGCCTGCGTAATGACTCTTTGTGCCGTCTCTTCGCCTCTTTGATATAATTTAAGTCGCATCCGTGCCTTATCTGTTCCACGCCGGCGCCTGCGCCGCGCCTTCACCTTACGCCTTTTCTGTATGTTTCGCGCCTTAAAGTTCACTTTTACTTTATCAGCAGCGCTACTTTGTAAAACCGATTGATTATTGTCTAGAATTGGCACTAACAACCGAGGTAATTAATCAGTACGAAAACAAATTTTGATGAAGTCTTAATATCCATAGCGTAATACTAAATTGAAACTACGAAAAGTCAATATTGAAATCGGAATTGCTATTAAAGTTAGATTGCTAATAATATTATAGACACGATTTTAATGTTATGTTTTTAGACTTGAGGTTTTTAAGTATGTTTTCATGTTATTTCACATTTAATAATTATATTTCGCTGTTGTGTATTCTGTTGTCTATTGATGAAGTCTGCCGTTATAAAAATATCCTGTTATTAATCTTGTTGTAAATGCAAATCAATAAAATATTTGTCATCCATTATTGTTTCATTTTGGAATCACCTGAGGTATATCATTTTATAAGTGACCAAGGTCAAAGTTAGTTCTGGTATACGAACAATATTATTTTTAATTATTAAAACCAAACAATTCAAACGAAGTGAATTATGAAACAACACATGCGGTATTAATTCAAAATGCTTTATAAAATCAGTGGCGCTACAACCTTTTTAGGTCTGATTAGGAGATTTATGTATCTGTTTCAATCAAAGTTTTATGATCATTTGTCAATCTAATAGGCAAGTAGGTGCCAGACACAGGCCGTCGACTTTTTGGGTCTAAGGCAAGCCAGTTTCCTCATGATGTTTATATTCACAGTTCGAGCGAATGTTAAATGCGCACATAGAAAGAAAGTTCTTTGGTGCACAGCCGGGGGTCGAACTTACGACCTCAGATATGAGAGTCGCACGCTAAACCACACGTAAAAACAATGCTCACAAAAAGTTTTATTAAATAATATTTAGATTGAACATTATTGTTGGATAATACATATACATTTTCAACATTTTAGTCGAAATATTTTCTAATTTACGTTGCATTAAAAATTATCCGCATCATTAAAACTCAGTTTATGATCAGGCACGCCTCCTGTACCAAGTTTGTGTAAAATGTACAGCGCGCCTGACAGTGGTTCCTTTTCTATTTCCTCCTTTTCCATATTCCGTTGAGATGTCGTCACAATTAATTCTTCTAAATTTGGCCCCGCCCACGACAGTGACGTTATACGAGATACAGGCAATTTGTATTTTCCCACAATTTTCTTGGTTTCTGGATTGACCCTGATCACCTAAAAAATATTTACTACACTAAAAAACCTTCGTGGATTAGAATTAAGTCAGTAAGAGGCTGAATTCAGAGACATTAATTTCAAATAAAAACTATGACAAATTAATTTAAAATAAAATCTATGAAATCGCCAGTCTTACGCTCTATAGTTTGAAATTTTTAGAACTTACTGCTCCACCATGCATTAGAGCGACCCAAAGATATCCGTTTCTATCTATGGTCACAGAGTGGGCTACAGGCGTGCTTGATGCTTTCATAAAACTGTACTCGGCTAAGTTTAGTATTGTACGACGTTTACCTGAAGAAAATTGTTAAGTTTTATATAAAACGGAATCTTTACTTAAAGGGTCGGACTATTTAGCAAACAAACCATTTTTATATTCTATTATAGATAACTTATTTACCTATTACCAACTCTCTCATAAATAATATTCAATCTTAAATAAAATTTAGGTTTTAAGAACAAAAGAGTAATTCAAAGTTGCTAATAATGATTTCACACAAAATCATCAGTCACGTCACAACCTCTAAGTCTTGGCATCAGATATCTGTTTCGTGATATCTTAAAAGATGAGAAGGTGATCAGTCAGGCATGCCGGTTTCCTCACTATTACCCGTGCACAGTTGTGGTTCGAATGCATGTCGCCAACACTGCTCACTGGTTTCACAAATTCTCACATAAAGCTAATATAAAATATCTACGGCAAGTTAGAGTTTAGAAATATTAAACGCAGATTTTATAAATATAATTTAAGTCTTACTTATCCTTCCTTTGGCTGCATCAAAATCAAACGCATCTATTTTCTTGGTTTCTGAGTCTATGAAGTATAAAATACTATTATTAAGCGACCAGGTTATTCCATTAGTTGCTGATACTGGTTTTAACTGGACTGTAGGTTCAAACTTTGGCTGTTCCAGACTGTAGAGTGCGCCCTGATCCTGGAGTATAGAACTGCCATATAAAGGACCTCTTGTACCTTGAATATGAAGAAAAAAATCACCATAGAGCAGTAACTTTACTACAGTAGACATTAGCCGCTAACTACCTATACCGATGGCGAAGACGGGTATTTTAAAAGCGTTACTTATCATCATATAATTGTATCCACTTTTCGCTATAAAATATGTACATACTTTAATGAATGAAAAGTTGTTCGTTAATATTAACTTATTAAGGATATTTTTGTGTTAGTGACTTTAACTTAAGTAATATTTTTTTATAAATACCTTCTTACCATATTCTTTGATACGTAAGACCTACCTCCCCAAAACCTGCCCCTTGAGTCAGCCTTTCCTTCATTGAGGATATTGCCAGGACTGCCTTTATCCAATGCAGCTATGTACTTCAAACAAAATGGACATGGTTCATCCCAATCAAAGAGATAGACAAAAGACTGAATGCCAAGCAGAAGTCGTTTACTTCCTGCTATTGGCAGCACTACGTTTAATTCACCCATGCCTGTAAATAACTTAAATTGATTGATAAGTCCTAAAACAATATAGAAAATACAAGAAAATATGTCACAATAAATTTTCCACACATACACAATCAATTATACCTATTAGAATATAGAAAGTACATAATTTACTTAGGAAATTTTCCTATATTAAGTGAATTAAAAAAAACTCAATTTTAAAACTAGACCTAAAAAATACTGAAAAACTTAGTAAAATAATGCAAATATTTGAAATACTTATATTTTGAACATGTTTGATGTAGATGACCTGTACGTAATAATCAAGTTGTCAGAGGCGTAATTTTTTTTGTAATAAAATTTATTCTGAATGATCGACTTAATAACTTAAATTTGATTTTTGGGTCTTAAATAAACATCTGTTATCTTAAATTTTTCGTATGTACAGCCAAATGCATACGCCACGATAGTATAGTACGGGGCCACTGAAAATCATAGTCCAGTGGCGTAACTATACCATCTGGGCCCCGTGGCAAATTCTTTTGATGGAGCCCTATTAGTAAAAATCGTCACGTTGTACTCAGTTTAATTTTAATTTGTTTCGAGATTTTCAGCGTACTCAATTACACGTTGTTTGTGTCCCACTAATGGCCATAGGCCTCCTGTCTTAGGCGAGAGGGAATGGTCTGTAGTCCCCAAGCTAGCCCAATGCGTATTGGAGACTTCACATTCATCCATAGAACATAATATCTCTTGGTCAGGGGCCCTCTAGGGTCGGGGGCCCGTGGCATTTTGCCAGCCCTGCCACCCTGTTGTTACGCCACTGTCAGTGTCAAACTTAAAGCTCAACTCAGTTTTAAGTTGCTGTGGTATGTGAACTTTAATTTAATAAATGTTTTTTCTTTCTTAATAAATATGTGCATACCTATATGCTTATGCGAATGTTGTTTAGATGTGTAGTTTAGTGCGTGCACAGTCTGATTTAGAGCATCAACCCAGTAGAGAATATTGGCATCATGGTCCCATACTGGGCTTTTAGCGTCCGTGACAGACGTGAATTCAAGCGCTTCAAAATGATAGTGAAGCTTATGGTTTCGAGGTTCAGTTGTCTAAAAAAATAAAATTATTTTTCTTTGTTTTGTAAACTCGTGCTTATTCTCTAATAAACAACTTGTGCAACCTCAGAAAAAGATCCTCAAATAAAAATCAATCGTATAGAAGGGAACAAGGCTTTCAAAAGCATGATTTACTAAAAGCTACTGTCCTCATGGGAGAACAATTTTGTGGAGACTTAAATTTAAAATTCCATTATTTAATACGTTTAATATAAGAACCCTCTGTGTGTGTGTTTGTAAATTCCTCCTAAACAGCTGTACCGATTTGGATGAAATTTTTTGTGTGTGTTCAATTGTTTTCGAGATGTTGGTGGGTGGTGAGATGGTTTAAATTTATAATTCGATGTGAATAGATAATCTATATATAATAAAAAATATTTTTTACTATAAATCATTTATTTATTGCAACTAAGAGGAAGGTTCAGTTTTATTTTCAAATATTATAAGGTATGATTAAATCATTTATAGTCAAACTTACATTTTGCTGTGCCAATATTTCGCTTGTATGAAAAAATGCAAAAACCAAAACCACCTCACATAAAGACATTATACGTTCTTCTCCAGTGTTGAAATAATTAAGCGCATAAACACCCATGACGCCGTGAACTAGTTTATTTAAATTAACATCAACGAGGAAATTAAAATTCACTATAAGCGATATGGTGCGTTTACTCTCTTGAGCGTGACAATCAAGAGTTATGTTAACTTGTCTTTGTTTTAAACTTCAAAGCGATTTTACACATGGCGTATAGCATTAAAACGCGGGAAGCTTATTCGTGTCAGAACAAGCTGATCTATGAGAGAGGGATTTAAAACCAAAGTAAATATAAAATTGTTACATCATCTTATTTTATTTTCTGCCGTCAAACGTGTTTTCTCTTTTTCTTAATTGTTTAACGCTGAATTTATTGGCATATGTCAAACTCATACCTTTGGTCTTGTCGCTTTTCAGTGAACCACGTCACTATCTCTCTCTTAAATTAGGTATCTTAATATATATTTAGAAGTCATAATAGTATTTATTTTTCTTTATTCATAAATATAATATCTTATTAATAATAATAGTAATCTATTTTAAAAGGGTATGTATTATAATAGAACATACGTTTCTTTTTTCTTGTAGTTACTATTTAGTATTCTCATTCTTTCCACACAAGTATACTCAAATATTATTTCAACATAATTTATAATAAAAATACTAATGTTCTCTTAATATCATTTATTAGGACTCTCACAGTACTTATAAAAGTCGCTATAGATCAGCAAAAAGTCTTCGTAAACAACAATTCAGTTAATGTGGTTATAACGTTAAACGACTTTTTGCTAAGCAATGAACTAAAAACACAAATGACACATAAATTTCTTAAATATACATTAAAAAAAGCAAAAAATCCTTTGTTGATCTAAGTAGCCTATTAACTAATAAATAACAAGTATTACATACTTTTTATACAAAATACAAAGTTTACATTAATATTAATATTAATATAATCAAACATTCCGTTAGAAACCAGTCTTATTCATCTTAATACTTATATCATAGACCGTGTGAGTGCGTAAAGTCGGAAACACACTTACGTGTCGTGGCGTGTCGTGACGCGCCAGAAGCATATTTTAATATGATTTGACAGAACGTGTTGCGACACGACACAACATGCAAATATGTTTCTAATCATATTAAATGTATGAAACCCAAATGCTTCTGGCGCGTCACGACACGCCACGACACGTATGTTTCCGACTTTAGCAACATACAAAGCGTCTTTAGGTGTAATTGATTAGGTGATTTAAAGATCGTCTCAAGGTCAAAACCATAGTAATTTTCAATACTGTAAGCCAGCCATGAAACAATTTTTTAGGTCTGGGTAAAACTTGTTTGAGAAAACTTAGTTTCGCGCGATTAGAATGATATACGTCAAGGTGATATGGTCGAAATACCTTAGCCTGCCCTGTGGACGAAAAAAAAATAGTTTCCCGCGTAACCACGCACTAAAGTGTTTCATACAAATGTATGAAATAACGTTAAATACTTATGGATTACGAAATTCACTAAACACGTAAAATACATTCACATCTCAAATACTTCTAAAGACGGCTGATTTGCTTAGGCATTGACACTATATTGTTAATTATTAATTTCTAACTTAAACACTATTGTGATAGTTTAACTGGTTAAAGATATGCAAAATATTAATTATAGGCACGCTATAATAAAAATAATTGATAGAAAATCTGTTTCAAATGTTATCATATTACATTAAGAAATTACACATACAAAAATAATGTACTAGACAGTAGAATTTGGCTTAATGATCATTCGCGTAATTACTATTGGCTAATAATTTTAAAATTAAAATAGATGATTTAAAAAAGTAGACTATTAATCTATACTTATTTAGACCTCATTAAATAGGTCCTTTAATATAGAAACAATGAAACATCATAGGTAATTAAAAGCTATTAAATGAAAGTATTTATTTAAAATACCTGAATACGAATTTGACAATCTAACTTGGTCGATGACAGATTACTTTTATTTTATATGCTCAATTCAATTGATTTTAACAAATAAACTGTCAACATGTCAACGACCAGAGATTATAAACATAGACATAGATAATTGACAAAATCTGTGACAGGGAAACATTTTATGTAACTCAGGAAATGCAAAACGGAAACAGTCTATTGATTAATTATTAAAATACTAGTTTAACACCCATTAATAACGCGGTGACAATCACCGCGTACGGTTAAACGCGAAACCGCAATCGCACAAGCCTTTCCAAAATTAATAGTAATTATTGTTTAAATACTAATTCATATATTGCTTTGCTTTCATGGCGCTATTCTTAGTGGAAAAGCCACAAGTTGCGTCGATCACGCGGTTAATTGGATATTTTTCAGACGTTTACCCGGAGAGGAGAGTGGGTAAAGTGAAATGCCACTGTTCGTCCGTCGCTTGGTAGAGTGGCGCACGCGCTTTAACACCACTCGCTGTGGGTCGCTGGTTCGGGTCCGAACTTAACATTAGTTTTAGGACTTCTGTCTGAAAATGAGGATAAAATACATAATTTTGTAATGATTGCAATAAGGGAGCGTTCAAATATTACGTCACGCAATTTTTGCAGATTATTGACAAAAGGCATATTTTTCACATTTAATAAAATATTAATTTTTATCATTTTTCGTCATACATAAACGTGATCAGGCCTGTTCCTATGCAAAATCATTATTGTAGATACCGACTGATCCTCGCACTAGAGATCAAAAAAACCAAATTCCCAGTTGGGCGTTACCTCATTAGGATAATTCTGCTGAAAATGATTGGGGTACTGGCCATCCCGCAGCCTCATTAGACAGGAGACCCTCTCAGATTCGGTGCCAAAAGGATGCAACAACTCAAAGAGGACGAGTCCTAGCGAGTAAATGTCCACTTTGTAGCTGTACGGCAGCCCTAGAAGTTGTTCGGGCGACATGTATAGATGAGTACCTGAAAATGTAAGAATTACACGTCTTTTAGCTCGTATACATGTCGCAGTAAAGTAGTTAAATCAGAGAGTTAATTGAATCTCTAGACACTTAATTAAATATAGATATTCAATCCACTCGCTAGTGTTTTGATTTAAATAAAGCAGCATCGAAAACGTTTAACTATCTGTCTGACCGAAAGCCAGCGTGTTGATTAATAATGTAAAACAAGATGGCGGTCAAGACGCCGAAGAAGATAGTGCCTATTTTTGGACTAAAATAGTGAGGCAATTCAATCCCAAACTAATATTCCCAAAGGTAAATTAAAGTAATTTGCTGTGGGAGAATTAAACAATAAAATAGATCATGCAGTCAGTTATATTTCATATGGAAACACACCTGCGAACTTCTGTGTCCCATTAAATTAATACGAAGTCAAAATCAAAAGCAATTTTTAAATTCAAGCATCATTGTACTTTTTTTTTTACCAAAATTTTGTTACCACCGAAGGGCTTACGATATTTGAAGTGCTGTTACATGCATCATAAAATTTTCTTCCCGTAATTAGGACGAGCTCTTTCAGGCGAATATATCGATATCACATATAATTTGTAACTATTAAATTTTATATGCTGTATATTAATAAACGCTTAAATAATTAAAGAAATATGTTTTACATGGTTTAAGAATTAGAAAGAATTGCATTTCTGGATAAAAATTCTCGCAATTCGGTAGTTCTAACTCACCGACTCGATGTGTATGCCGCGCGTGCATATTCATTTGTTCAGTTCCATCCCCATCCTGTGAATTATCTCCCATAGCTGTGACGAGGCCAAAATCCCCAACTTTCACTTTGCCATCCGGCGCAAAGAAAATGTTACTGGGTTTTAAATCTCGATGAATTAAACCCGCTAAATGGACGTATTCCACTGCAGATACTATTTGACAAAATAGCGTTTTGACCTAAAATTATAAAAATATTGTTAACTGATTAAAGTTAAAACTTTTCTTTATTTATGATACACGAACATACACGTGATAAATAACCTTTGGTAAGTACCAAGTAGTAGTAGTAGTAGTATTCATAAAAATTTACAAATAAACATGACAGAACATTCTTTATTATTTGTGGCCGGTTTTGTACATAAATAAGAAAATTTAGAAAACGATAAAGCAGAGATGTTATATATAAACTCCAAAAAGATAATAATTGTCACATTCTTTTTCTTAAACAATTACTAGCTGATCCGGCAAACGTCGTTTTGTATATCATTTATAATAAAATATAGCGGTTGATCGTTGAGGGGTGAAAATTAGGGATTGTATGTATTTTTAATGCTGTATCATAAAAAAATAATCTAAAAATAAATTTAGGGGTGGACTACCCTTAACATTTAGAGGGATGAAAAATAGATGTTGTCCGATTCTCAATATACCCAATATGCACACAAAATTTCATGAGAATCGGTAAAGCCGTTTCGGAGGATTTTAACTACAAACACCGCGTCACGTGAATTTTATATATTAGATTATAAGGTAAGGAATATTGTTTCCTTTGTGCAATTTAACTGTGATTTTCATTAAACATCAACATAAATAATAGTTTTATAATTACAATATTACGGAAAGATTACTCCAAATAATTTATGTATTTACAATTATTTTTTCGTTCAAACAAATCGTCGTAAATTATTGTGTAAATAAATAAAAAACAAGAATAGACCATTAATAATGCAGTATAAAGAACTCACTTTATCCCTCCGAGATTCCCAGGTCCGATTATTCCGTAACCAGTCATGCAAACTGTCTCGCAGACATAGCTGCATTTGTATATAGAGGTACATTTTACTGCCTTGGGGTGTCTCCTCATTGCTCCGGACTACCATGTCAAGAGACCAGTGACGTGTATGACCCTTTTATAAGGACGTTGTTAATATTTGTTTTTAAGTAAGACGCTTAAAACTCAAATACATATGATAACTTATATCTTAACCTTTAGAAAAAAAAGGGTGCGTGTACTTATGTACGCGCGTAAGAAGTTATACTTCTTTGGCATTATTAAAAATAGTTTTTGATTGCATGCCAATAATTAATTACAATTAATTAATCAAAGACTGGAAAAGGAGTCATTATAGTCAATAAAGTTCAGTTTACATTTGAAAAATTAAATAAATAAATATTTATTATTATTCTCTTACATTAAGTGTAACATAAATTCTATTATTATTCGAATGTTGTTTTTAAATTATGCCCAATGCCAATATAATTTTGTGTCACGGTGCGCGCGCATCGTAAAATTTCACTCTCATCAATTTTTCATAACGCGCCTAAAGAAGTATAACTAAAAGTAAACTTAAATGTTACTGTTTAAAGTGTAACGAAAATATAGAAGTAAGCAGATTTTTATTTTATTTTTTATACAGAACGCAATCCCATCTGATGTTAAGTGAGATGCGGCCTTTTGGTGGGCACGCCTGTCCAGTGGATGCCTATATAACCGCCGCTTGTATGAACTCATGTTTATACATGTGCACTATTTTGGAAAGATAAAGGAAGAAGAAGAATGAAAGGGGCTAGGAGTTCCACTCCTTTGCTGTTTACGAGAAACGTCTAAATTACAATAATTTCTTGCTAATTTAGAATTATGACAGTATATCTTTATTTTAAAACTGTCCTTATTTAGTTATTCCTTAACATATTTAAATAATTACATTTTAAAAATATATAATAAAATCACCTTTTTCTTTCTTCCCTTCGAATATCCATCACTCTCCATTATTTTATCCAATTTCTTATTCGTGATATCTCTAGCCTCGGATAATCCTTTCGAATGTTCTGAATTCGCAAATACAATGAAAGAATCGTCATCAGTTGCTTTTTTGGAAGTGGGCGTGGCTTCGCGTGATTTGGGCGTGGTCGATGTTACGTGCACGTCTTTAGATGCGTTGTCGTCAAATATTATACTGAATGAATCATTGCAGCTTAGTGACCTGTAAACAATATATTGATAATTAGATATATAATATTTATGATTAAATAAATAAATTGTAGGTATTATTTTTTTAAGTAAGCAATTTATTACTCATAATAGTATATTAAAATGTAAATTATAAACATATTTACTATAATATACCTTTTTATTAAGGAAAACATTTAAATTCCTAAAAAAAGCAATAGTATGAACAAACCTCAACCTCTTTGGTTCACCGAGTTTCTTCTCATAATCAAGTGCATCAATACAATCATCTATGCTCTTGTGGATATTTAGCGTAACGGCATCACCCTTTGACGACTTGTCTTTTCTCGGCAATGGAGATGTACAGTCTTCAGTCATGCCCAGTGAAATACCTCCCAATTCCCTACAAATTATGTAACTACCCTCAATAAATGTAAAAAAAATATATGTCAAATTGTATACTCTTTGGTTCGGGTTTCTTTAATAGTTAGATTTTTCTACAATAGCAATGATACGTTCATCGATGACCATATTCAGTTATTTTGTTTGAAAAGATGTCGACTATTATATATTATCCAACCAACATAAAACTAAACTTAAACTCATTAATAAACCTTGGTAGGGCGTTCGAACACCGGGTGTGCACCAAAGGCTAAAGCGATAAGGAATGTCTAATGCCGCATTTACATTCAGCCATAGTGAGCAGGGAAGTGGGCAGGACGAGTGTGTAACGCGATACTTCTCATGCCACTGCCATTGACACTCGCGCTGCCCGGCGCTCCCCAAAATGGCGGGTTTTGTGCGGAAGTCAAAGGACCGGCAGTGCGTGTTTACATTCTGCTCCGACGCTCAGTACTCGCCGAGCGCCTGGAGGAGAAAGACGTTCGTTTAGATCATTAGTTAAGGGAGCGTTTAAGTATTACGTAACGAGTTTTGGGAGGGGGGGGTCTTTTTGTAAAACGTTACGATGCGGGGCGTGGATTGAATTACGCGTTATTGTTAATATTATTTTCGACTTTCACCACATAATAGTAAATAAAGAGACACAAGGTGGTCACGAAACGTTTTACTATACTTGAGTACAGTACTGTACTAGGGTACTGAAAAACGTTACGGCGAGTTACATGGGGGGGGGTCAATAATCTCCAAAAATTGCGTTACGTAATACTTGATCACTCCCTAAGTAGGTAGGTTGATAATTAGGTACTTACAAAGTTCTATTTTGATGGATAGATATCATCCACCATCGTCTATGACGAACATTCTTTTTTTGTATTCGATATCTTTTTAAATATAGGACATAATTATGTATCGCAAAAAGAGACAGCGCGGCCGCTGTAATTATTTCGTCTGCCATTGCCGAAACTTGAAAGTGAAGTGAGTGGTAGGGCAGTATGTAAACACACACTCCTCTCGATCCTGCTGCAGCAGTATTTAGGGAATTATCGCCGGCAGCGCGAGGGGCAGCGGCAGGGGCTGAATGTAAATGAGGTATCAGACTCAAAACAATGTACCAGGCACAGTAGGCTACAACGTAAATCGATCAATGGAAATCAGCGAACCAGATTCTACTTGTAGTTATCATAATACCTTGCTTTTCAACGTGGTTAAACTTACCGTAGCCAGTAAGCATCTCTTTCTTCCTGCCATCTCAGTGGCGGCTCCTCGAGCCACGCGTTGAAGTAACGCACTATATGTTCATGCTCCAGTTTAGCGAGAGCTCTCACTTCTCGTAATACACGTTCGCGACGTGATTCTCTGTTTAATGGACAAGAATTAAAATTTCAATATTGTTGACAGAAAATAAAAAAATTGTCAAATTTTTACGTTTGCCCCGATGTTTTGCTTATCATCAAGCATGTTATAATTAATGTAAAACTTGTAGTACTAATAATAATGTAGAATATTACTAAATAATTAAGTTAGTGTTAAGGTACTACACAGTTAATGACTACCAAGAAGACAAAAACGCTTGGCAATAGTTCTAATTATATTGTTATAATTTGTTTTATCTTTCAAGTGTTGTGAATATGTGTGTAATGGTGAATGTGGTAAATCACAGAACAGATTTTTATATATGAAAAATGTTAAACTCGCGTCAGGACAAATTCGTAAGACGGATGTTTTTTTAAAGGATTATGAACCTTCGTCCTATATAGTTACGGTTTTAATTCATTTGTCTCTTTCCTCGGATACATTGATGCATGTGGAATTGGACCTTAAGTCAATATATCAAGGTTGAATTTTGCGAAACCTCTAAAGCTTTATTATTAACGATTTGGTCAGACTGACGCGAATAAAAAATGGCAACTTAAAAAATAGTGAATTTTCCTAATTTAATACTAATTTTGACGGATGGAGGGTAGACTGCTGGCGCGGCCTTTTTAAATGTAATATAAATTGTCATGTTTGTGTACGATATCGCAATAAATAAATATTGTATTCTACCACATGAATGTTAGTACTTTTATACTGATAATTAAAGCAATTCGTGCGAAATTATTTCCTAACCATTCCAAAATATCAAAAATGCACGTTAATATTCAAGCTTTCACTTCTTCCGGCACTCCCGGAGTGCAACCCGTCGTTTTTTTTTGTAATATTGTCGCTTAAAGAATGTTTATGAATAAAAGAAAAATACTATAGAGAACACCTACCTCCTCGGCAGCGTGATCCTCTTAACCGCATAGGAACAATGGTCGATATTATTTCTAGCCTCAAAAACCACACCGAATCCACCCCTTCCGAGACACCTCAAAGGCGTAAAGTCGTTTTCGTATCTCCCAGAATACTCCACCACCGGAGTCTGCCTCTCATAGTGCCTTTCCACGACGATCACTTCCTGGTTAATCGGTAATGGTGTTATTGGCCTGATTTTTGCTCCGAAGAACCTCGGCCATATCAGTAAGTTCATTAAAAGCGCTGAACTGATCGCTATGAGTAGGACCTCCTTCCACCAGAACCAGAGAGAATAGACGTGGACGTGCACATGGTGATGGGTTAGCTGGTCGTCACTGCTGTTCGGAAGAACTATGTCAGGGCCGGGTAGGGCATCTTCGGATACTTGAACTGCTTGGTCGCAGGTCTCTTGCAGGTATAGGAAGAAACCCTGGTTATCTGCAATTATTAATTTTAAATGAAAATTTATTTAAGCATATTGGTATGATAATGATATTGGTTAATATGTACACGGATGAGTGTGTATATTAAAAAAGGAAGATCTAAATTTACATTGGCTACCAGTTTCCGAATCAAGGGCGTAGAGCGGGCGAGAAGAACTGGCAAGAAACTCTCCGTCAATCTTTTTAATCACCAAGTTTTGCTGTACAAGGAAATTGTAAGGAACTGCCACCATTACGCCATCACTTGACATATTGAAAGAAAATATTAAAATAGTAAAGTAACAAACGCTTAGCAACAATAGTTTAACTAATAAATTTTGAATATTTATTCCTAAATCTGAATCAACCTGATTCAGATTCCATATTATGCATAATCCACGCAAATTGTGGGCACAGTTAATAATGTTGTAAATTTATAATTGTGTTTAAACTTAATAAGAAATAACATAATGATTTAAACTCTATCGATATTACAATAAACTATGTTTATAATTTGGGGATGATAAAAAACTTGAAAATTTTAGCCTAAATAATTACCATACTTATGTCACCACTAATAATAATGTATGGATATTCAAAGAGGTTCAACAAATATAAAATGACACAGCTTCTATATAAATTACCTTGAACTCCTGTGTTGCCATACAAAGTGACAATGGACAGCGTATTCTGGTCAGCATCAGGTAAGGGCTGTAACGCTTTATCATCCCCTATGAGTGGTCTGGATTGCTTCACCTTCCACGGCAGCGGTTTTGTGGATACAGAGGTTGCCAGTCTCTCAGCATAGAGGGCGCTTTCTTGGATGTATAACTGCAAGAATTGTATGTATTATTTGACCAAGTATATATTTTCTGTAAAGCAATGTCTTATGTATTTTATTTTTTGAAGTTATACTTCTTTAGGCGCGTTATGAAAAATTTATGAGAGAAATTTTACGATGCGCGCGCACCGTGACACAAAATTATCAGTATGCGCGCCGAGCGTGCGCGAGCGAGATGGAAATAAGACAATCTACAAGTAAAAAGAAATAGAATATGCGTGACGTTAGCAGCTATGCCAAGAATTTTTAATGACCATAATGACATTTGTAGTACCTTTTAAACAAATAAAGGAGTTTTAATTATTTTTTCAAAGAAATTTAGCAATGCTTTTTCACAAAGACCTATTGTTACTTAGTTAAAAGGTTATGAAACATACCTAGTTATTAAATTGAATTAATAATATAATAAAATAATAAATAACCATTATTATTAATATTAATTAATAATTGAATAATATACTAAATATTGTTAAATTATTAACGCTAAATATTTATTATTAATTATTTAATATTTAAAAAAATAAAGAAAGCCAAAGAAGTATAACTTCTTACGCGCGTACATAAGTACACGCACCATTTTTTATGTAATAGGAGGCAAACGGACAGAAGGCTCAACTGATGTTAAGTGATACCGCCGTCCATGGACACTCACATTGCCAGAAGGCTCGCTAATGCGTTGCCGGCCTTTTAAAAATTGGTACACTCTCTTCTTGAAGGACCCTAAGTCGAAATGCTGTGGGAAGCTGGTTCCACACTGGTGCCTTAGAAAACGCTCTGTTGTGGAACGCTGTTAGAACTAATACCTGTGTATTATGTATTCCCAAGTATAAGGACGGTGCTGAATTCTTAGCATCGGCTACAGCATGAGCAGCTTGCCATAATACATCCATGTGTTGTACTACTCCGCCCTGAACACGCCACATATTGGCTACTGGCGCGTCTAGCTGTAATAGTAATTGCACATAAAAATATTGATTTATTCATTTATTTACTTATAACAATAGAACTACCCTTACAGCTTATAGCCAATGCGACAGCCGTGTAACTTAATTACCGTAACATTAGTTACTAACTAGTAACTAACTTAAGTAAGGTAGCGAATTCTCTCAGAGAACATATTAAAAAAATCTATCGTTTCGGAGACACTATTAAGAAGCACTGGCAACACCTTGTTAATAGGGCCTGGTGCCACATGCCACCTGGTGTCGTTTTGCCCCTAAATACCTATATAACTATTAAATAACCTTGGTTTCCGCCGTCTCAACTGTATGGTTCAAATGAACTTAGTTAAATCATTTAATCATATAGGTAACACAATGTACACTTATGAACGTCAAAAAAGAAATGTATATGAATTGCTTCTAACTTTAAATTTAGTGCCGGAAGAGAAGAACTGGCAATAAACTCTCCGCCACTCTTTAATCGCCATGTTTTTTTTTTAACACAACGTTTGTAAGGAGCTGCAACCATTACATCATTACTAATATTTCCCCGAAAAACTTTAACAGCAAGCAAGCTGTAACTCCAGTCGTTTTCTAGCTTGTATCAAACCATCATTAGCACAAACAACGCTGGGTAGAAAGGATATGTATCATAAAGCTGTTGGTATAAAAACCGTGTAAATTTATTCTGAATGCGCTCCAACATGAGAAAGTATTTCGTCTCATGCGGAGCCTAGACTGACGAATTGAACTCAAGTATGCTTGCAACATTATACAGACTTGAAAAGCTTTGATGATTAAATTAGAAATAGTTTTCATATATTCTTAAACACATTGAAAAGTAGTTGTGTACCTTGTGTTGCCATATCAAAATATGTGATTCCGGATGTCTGACGGCTACAACTCCTTCAGGTAATGCTACGGCGATAGCTAAAGAGCTAGAAGGTTTCGTTTTACCCACACATTCCCTTCTGCTCATTGCCAGTTGGTGTTCTGCTACGCTGAAGTTCCATCTAGTAAAATAAATAAAAAATTCAATATTTAAAATTTATATCAATTTGCGTTAAATTTATGTACACAAAACAAGTTCAATAAGTTTTCTAAATAAAACATCACCAAAATAATTTTGAGCATCTTTGTACATCACGGTATATTTAAACAACCAACACTTTAATGATTTACAAGCGGTAAGTATCCTACGGTAAGATTCAGAAACGCGACCTAGCCCGAAATAGTAACTAAATGAAAAAAAAGGGTGCGTGTACTTATGTACGCGCGTAAGAAGTTATACTTCTTTGGCATTATTAGAAATAGATTTTGATTGCATGCAAATAATTAATTACAATTAAATAATCAAAGCCTGGAAAAGGAGTCATTATAGTCAATAAAGTTCAGTTTACATTTGAAAAATTTAATAAATAAATATTTATAATTATTCTCTTACAAAATAAAAAATCATAAAGAAGAATCATACAATTATGCCACATCAGAACTCGCAATAGCGTAGAGAGATGTTTTGGTGTTTGGAAAAACAGATTTAGGTGTTTATTGTCAGTATTGCACAATATAGCCATTGAATTAAAAGAGGAACCTATCTCTGATGATGATGAAGAGACCCTGCCCACACTAACAGTACCCTCATCTCAAAATAAACTGCATGGAGCAGCAGTAAGAGCCATTTTTATTGATGAAAACTTAGTTTGATAGTTCTTAATTTAGGTTGTTTTAACAATTAAGTTATTTAAACAAATAAAGCACTATTTATCTTTAAAACATTTTTATTTCATTATACTATTTATTTTTAAGTGACTCTAATGTCTTCATCAGAATTTCGGTTTGTAATTTTAAATTAATCATTACTTGGTTGTGCATCTACGAGGCTTCTCCAAAACTAAAACTACTTGCTTCTGCAACAAATAAGAGAATATTAATTTAAGCTCTGTCCATGCAAAACTTAAAATTTTTTATAATTCATATTATAAAATTTTTAACACATTTATATTAATATAATTATATAAATGTGTTAATAATATAATTTGTAGCACATGCTACAGACCTGGATAGCAACTTTCTTTTATTCTATTTAGAGATAGAGATAATTTAAATATAATACCGGTGTCTTCCTTGTAGGTTTCTTTTGAGTTGTTTGGGGATTCTTGTTGTTCAGTTCGACATGATTTTCTTTAACCTTTTTTAATCCTACAAAATAATGAAATTCTTAAGTTATGTTGTCACTGTTGTGCACACCTTTGTTTGGCATTTTTAGTATTCAAGTTATGTCAAAACTGATTTATTACCTTGTCATTGTTGGCTTTATTTGCTTTTGGGATAGCAATTGTTTCCAAAATGATTTTATTTGTAATATCCTGAAATATATAAATAACATCTATTAATTTAAGTATCATGGTGAGTGGTTCGCACTCAGGTATTAAGGTGTATTATACCCACTGTCCATTATAAGTGGGAATGGGCTCACATCTGGCTGGACAGAGTTTCGGTACTACAAGAGCAACATGGATGTTTTGAGGTATTACAATATCTCTAACTACCCTGTAGGGGAATAAAGTATGTGCCTATGCTTGAGAGGTTGAACCTTGAACATCACCATCATATTTATAATTAACATTCCTACCTCGACACCATCACAATCAAATTCATTGAAATCTACTTCAAACCGTTGCGGTATAATCTCTGCCATATCCATTGTGTCTGGAGAAGGTGATGGTGGCTTTGTTCCACCTCTAGTTTTTGATGTTTCACGGCGATAAGATGACAACTCTTTTTTTTATTCAATTTAGTGCACTTCCACTGATTCATCAATTGTTTTTTGTCTCTTGTCCTTATATTTGCTAGATTAAATCTGAAAAATTACATGTTTTGATTAAATAATGTAATCATTTTTTTGAGATACAGGTACTTATTAAAATGTTTACTTCTCTGTAATATCGCTCCAAGCCTTCATTTTCTCCTTATTAGTATTCGTGCTTAAATCTTTGTTCTCAATTATTGATATATAGGGTCGTAGAATATTTCTAAAAAGTTGCTGTAACAAACGCAATAAACAAAAGCAATGAATAATGGTTCATGTTTCAGTTTTAATCAACAATAATACTCGATAATACATACGGATAGTTAACCTCAATTGTATTGAAGCACTCAGGAAGTTCGGCACAGTTTTTTCACAAATATTTTATCATATGAATTAGTATTGATTTAGATATTCAATTTAAATCACTTCTGATTATAATTCAGACGCAAATATAAAATTCGCACTTGTATAATAAAAATAACTAGGTATATAATCTTTAAAACTAATTAATACTCCTATATTTGTTTCAAATGTCATTGTCAGATGTCATGGTCATTCAAAATTCTTGTTAAGCTGCTAAGCTAAGAAATAGAATATGCGTGAAGTTAGCTTCACGCATATTCTATTTCTTTTTACTTGTAGATTGCGCAGTGCGCACGCTATAATCACACTCCCAATTTTGTGTCATAGGTGCGCGCGCATCGTAAAATTTCACTCTCATCAATTTTTCATAACGCGCCTAAAGAAGTATAACTTCAAAAATATTAATACAAGTATCGTACTAACATACGAATTAAATTCTGATCCGACCTAAATCTGACAATACTCATTACACGGGGATTAGTAATTGTTACTATCTGTACCATTAAGTAGTCATAGAATAACAAAACATAATCATAAACAAAATACGATCTTTAGGCCTCGCTTTATAAGACTGAAAAACATACTATTTATATTGAGACACAATATTGAATATATTCAAATTCAAAAATCATCATTTATTCACGTAGGTAACACAATGTACACTTGTGATTCGTCATTAAAGAAATAAATATTAATGCTTCTAATTTTACATTTACTGCCAGTTCTCAAATCAAGGGCGTAGAACGAAAGAGAAGAACTGGCAATAAACTCTCCGCCACTCTTTTTAATCGCCATGTTTTTTTTTTTTTACACAACGTTTGTAAGGAGCTGCAACCATTACACCATGTTCCACATGACATTTTAAGTAATGTAGTATTTTAAGTGTGTAGTATTTCTAGTCTTAGTCGCACTGATAAGTATTACAATGGAACAAACATTTTTTGTGTGTGTGTAACAACAAAAGTGTGTAACACTGTTTTCTAAATTTCCAATACAATTAACCAATCAACCAACCAAGTTTTATCTTAACTTCAAGAATGCGAACTGCATATTAAATCCTTACTTCTCCGTACCGCTCCGTGGATCTAACGCTCTCACAGTATTAGAGTGTCGTCTCAGTACAAGGATATCTCGACCACTACTGGCTGTCTGCTGTTCTGAGTTACAGCCGGAGGAACCGCATTCATATATGGTTGCACCAGAGTGGGCATCTATACCCAACCAAACAGTTTCTCGCGCACCTGTTGAAAAATTTTACAAAAAATCTTAATTTATAAAATTGCATCTACCTTTCTATTTATTTTTGTAATTGTAATTTTATTATAGAATATGTATATAGGCACAATTCTTGATTATTTAATAAGGTTATTGGTAGTCTGTAGGTTAGTTTTCAGTTAGTAGTAAGCATTGCTAATGAGCGTCATTATTTGATAATTATGAAATGGACTTTTATTAAACATGATACTTTCTAAATACTGACGTGACTTTATTTAAATAAGTAAGTGATTTCGGATATGATTATATCTTAAACTACAAGAGTTATTCTTGGACTTATGACTTTTTATCGTAGGATATTGTGATCTGGCTCCATGGATCTGGCGTAATACTATTTACTTGGCGATTATAAATGTGGCACCATGACGATTTTAAATTAAAAAACGTCTTTATGTTTGTCTAATGTTAAAAAAATTTAAGGCTTATATTTTTGCCTAACACAACAACGGACAAAGTTTGAACTAAAAAAACAATATTAAGCCTTTTCATGGACCTTAGCCCTAACCATATCACAGGAGCCAGATGTGTTGGGTTAATAAGCCCAAACTTAATTAAGTATATACCTACTTGCTTTAAAATAATACAATAAACAGATGTAGAATACATCAATTATGGGACTTCAAACAAAATTATAATGTTAATGTTTACTTTAGTAAAATATTTACGTTTTGCATTTAGATTATATCTTAATTATTGCATGTGTTTAACTGATTATAGATATTTGTATAACTTTATCTATATAATATGAATTATCATATCTTAATCATATTGCTATGTACTAGTCACCATATAAAAGGAAATTATTAATGGTCAATTTAAAAATCAAGTGTGAAAAACAATGACGTGTTTAAAAATAGCAAACATGAACAAAAATCAATGTACCTAATGCACTTTTGCATCTTAATATTGGTATTTTCAGAATAATGAAGAGAATTAATACTATATATTGTTTATTTTTATTAAAAGAAAAATTATTATTTACTAAAAGAGGATATTAAAGCAAAGAAATAAATACAGAGTGACAATTCTCTTTTGTCATATTTCATGAAGTATAATAAAAATCATACCAGCAATAACTAGGTCATCAGAATATTTGAACGAAGATGATAACAACTGATCAGCATCAAATGGCAGTGGCTCCAGTGTGTCACCGCTTAGACTGTACAGAGTACCACGTAAGGATGGCACTAACCGTACCCATTTCCCACCAGATGTAAGCTAAAAAATATACAGTCAGATTACTTATACTAATAGATGAAAGATTTATTTTTTGTGTAGTGATTCTAGAAGAGAAAACTATATACATATTAATAATAAGTCTTTATTTTCCCACTAACTCATTGATTCATGAAATTTGTGAGGAAATCTAAATTATAAGCTAAGAAAAAATATAAATTATTCATATAATATACTTCATTTAGTCTTATATAGGGTATGTTAAATATATAGACTCAGTATAAATGAGGTTGAATATTTAACAACTTTCACTTAGTCTGTCAATAAGAGCCATGTAATGTTTGGTGTTCTAGAAAATCTAAGAAAGCTTTTTATTTCCCAAGAAAATTTATTTAATTAATTTGTTTCTTAATCACAAATAAATATTGATGGAAATACATTGAAGTATCTTACCTCCACATGATGAAGAGTAGATGATAAAAGAGGTTGAGTATCCAGCGCCCAAGCTTGGTTTCCATTATCAGTTGAAAACGCAGTCAAGCGGCCATCTATGGTACTCACAAGCACTAAGCTAAAATTATTTCTTAAAATTAATAAAATAAGTTCAAGTAAAATTAAATGTTAAATCAGTCTCAATGGAAGCAATAAAAATAGAGGAGAATGCATTGTTAGATAATCCATCAAGGTCAGTTGTAATCCTATTAGTATTTGATTCAACGTAAATTACCAGACATTTTTAGCTAAGCTGACCATACCTTAATTTAAAAACAAAAATATAATAATTTTTATATACATGACTTCTCAAAAAAATTGACGACTAAACCAAATTCTATAAGAAAATATAAATAAATATGGGGAGAATATAGACAAAATAAATCTGAAAATAACTACGTATCTTAGGTAATAGCTACTTACTCATCATATACCGGTGCATCTTTAGCGGTGTGAGGATTACAGAAAGGCAATTTTTGTATGGTATCATCAGCTTTAAGGTAAGAAACAAAACATGTAAGTACGAAAGCCGCCTTAAAGGCAATCACCCGCCAATACCAGTCCGACATATTATTATTGCAAAATTATATTTGGACATCGCAACCCTTCGTACGGGTGTTAATTTTTTTCAAATTACTATACGAAACTTTCGTTAAAAAATAGTAATACAAAACAAGTTTTGACTTGAAAAAACCAAACAACACAGATGATTGCTGAACACTCACACAGGTCCACGTAAATTGTAAACTATCAGACGATACTGTCAAAAATATGACTCATACAACTGGTATGCCAAGAATTTATATACCATAGACTACGACTAGTCATGTCACACACGTGTCTACAATTATTTTTAACCTATCGTAATTTACATTTCCGCGGGTTTTAATACAAACGTCAAAACTCAAAATAAACGACCGCGGCTTGGAGTATCGTAGCGAAACCTTTTTATTTTGTTTGTAATTGAATCTTGTAAACCTATAAATAAGCAGTTTTTTGTAGCGATTAGCAATTATTTTAGTACATCAGCAGAACTAATTTCGGTGCATAATGGTCAGTGTAACTGTAATGAGCTGTTGCTAACTAACCAAAAAATACAACAATTTATTATCGTTTATGCTTAGTTTTTGTATTGAATTGGATTAGTTATTATGAAAGTTATTCATAACGATAAAACAATGGTAACAAGCAGTTTCTTTCTTATATAGTTTAATACATTCTTAATATATTGTTTTTAGAGTTCCCCTATACCTGAAACACCAGATCGTGATGATGCTAGGTCTCGAATGACTTCTCCCGCTCGTGAATATGAGATGTTTGAAGATGAAGGGGCCATACTTGGAGACAACCCTGCAGAAGAAGAAGATGATGGGGAAGAATTATTCAATGACAATATGGAGGCGTAAGTAATAATAAGTATAACTTGATTAATGATCTTCTTGATTCGTGAACATTCATGTTAGTTATAAGTTGTGGCATATGCGGATTGAACTCTGATTGCATCTGATTTTATAGGCAGGTAGGCAATATAAACACTGCTTGTATATTTTTATCATAAACTTAAAACAAATTAGTAAGTAATAACATTCATGAGCATTGCAATTTTCTTACAAATTTTAGAGATTATCGTCCAATGCCGGCATTGGATCGGTATGATGCTGAGGATTTGGATGATGATGACTATGATTCAATGTCAGTTGGGGACCGTGTGGCAGCTGAAAGGGAGCTGCAGCGAAGAGATCGCGATGAGGGAAGGATAAGAAGGGATGATAGAGGACTGCTGTATGGTAAGTGATAATCTCTTCTGAATGGTGAATTAAATTTGTTTATAATATTTTAAAGAATTATTGACACATTTACTAGTGTCTGTAAATGTTGATAACAAATGTTTTATTTTCACTCTTCCCTCCTGTTACAAGAATTAAAGGTATGTAAATCATTATTTAGTGTTTTTCACAGCTATAAATGTACTGATAGGCAGTATTTAGTTACTACTCTTTTATTCACACTTTTTCTATTAAGTAACAGTCTTAGAATGCTGATCGCAAATTTGTATTATAGTAACTAGTTAAGTATCCTTCCCTATCAAGTGATTAAAAACTACCATTATATTGCCCAATAGTAATTAACTTTTGTACAGTACCAAAAAATTGTAGTTTTTAATAAAGTTTTGTGTTTAAAGATGATTCAGATGAAGAAGGTGGAGATATACCTCGGGCTAAACGTCGTAGAGCAGCAGAAAAAGCAGCCACTGGTGCTGAAGATCAGGTGGAAGAGGGTATAGAAAGTATTGAGAACTTGGAGGATACAAAAGGATACACAACTAAAGAGTGGGTCTCTATGCTGGGGCCTCGTACGGAGATAGCAAATAGGTTTGTATTTGGTTATTTGTTTTACAATGCAAATATAGTAGTCATAGTTATTAAATAAAAGACAGATTTGTATATTTTCCTCCCTCAAAAAGAATATTGGTATAATTTTTGTGTGATTTGTAATAATAACTTACATACTGAAAATTTTCATGTATTGAATATATTCATTTCAGGTTTAAAAACTTTCTCCGTACCTACACTAATAATAAAGGACAGTATGTATACAAAGATCGTATTCGTCGCATGTGTGAACATAACCAAGCTTCGTTTCATGTGGAATTTGATGTATTGGCTAGGCGAGAACAGGTTAATATGTTATGCTATAAAATAAATTTTTTATTAAACTACCAGCCAGAAAGACAGATAAAAATTTTGTGGATGATCATTATTAATGGTACCTTTAAACAAGGCTTTAAACTATTAAAGCAGTTATATTTAAGAAACATGTTGGGAGTGGGAAGTTGTTTCTAGAATAGAGCGAGACATGCAAAAATTAATATTTTAAAGTAAAAATTAATAATTTTCTTAATCTTTGTGGTAATGCATGATCATGAGCCATATTCCAGTTCTACAATTAATTAGTCATTATATATAAAGTTATTTATCTTTAGGTGTTGGCCTACTTTCTACCTGAAGCACCATTTCAAATGCTACAAATATTTGATGAAGTTGCAAAAGACATTGTCCTTCAAATATTCCCTAGTTATGAGAGAGTTACATCGGAGATTCATGTTCGTATATCAGACTTACCCCTGATTGAGGAGCTAAGAACATTCCGGAAACTTCATTTGAACCAGTTAGTCAGAACTGTGGGAGTTATAACAGCTACAACTGGAGTTTTACCCCAATTATCAGTAGTCAAATATGACTGTAACAGGTGTGGTTATATCTTGGGGCCTTTTGTACAGTCACAGAATTCCGAAGTCAAGCCTGGGTCCTGTCCCGAGTGTCAAAGTTCTGGACCCTTCATGGTAAGTATTGACAGCTTTTATAAATCTAGTGAGATATCTTAAGTTAAGATAAATTACTCATTAAGAAATTAGCCGTACCCTGTGGTTTTATCTGCCCTGATTGTATAGCCTTCCTTAGTAGATGGACTATTCAGCAAGAAGAATTTTTCAACCGATACTTAATGAGTTTTGGGTTATTGAAGTTTATTATTTCTAAAATTTAGTAATTCTTTATGCAGTAACATTTACACATTACACTTTTCAACACTTTTTTTTTATTATTCTCGAGATTTTTATTAGCAAATTCAACCACACTGAAGCAAATAATTCCTGTTTCTACAACATTTTTGTGTTCCATCACCCTTATTGATGCAAGATGTTGAAATAGATGTAATTTACTTGCCTTTTATTAGCAATTAGCATTATTAGCTACATACATATTACACATACACATGAAAAATAAAAAACTAATAATTTCTTTATTATATCAGTTGAGAGAGGAAATGTTTTCTCCTATGTCTTAGTAATATTAGCTTAAATATCTTTTCTTGAACTATTTTTGTATTTCTGATTACATATTGAATTTCTATGTTACAATTCATTAGGGACAATGATTATTTGAATATTTTCAGGTGAACATGGAACAAACTGTATACCGTAATTATCAAAAGGTGACCATACAGGAGTCACCTGGTAGAATTCCAGCTGGTCGTATACCCAGGAGTAAGGACTGCATACTTCTGGCTGATCTTTGTGACCGCTGTAAACCTGGTGACGAGGTGGATCTTACCGGCATTTATACTAATAACTATGATGGATCGTTAAACACTGAACAGGTATTTCAGATAGGGATAGATTTCTCTCTTCAAATAATTACTTAATTAAACACTTAAATTACAATTAGTAGTAGATAGCCTAGCAAAGCAGTATTACAAAATTTTATACATTTAAATGGGCCTTAAATCTCTTTAAAAGCATCCAATATATATATTTTTATTTTATCTATTCAAACCAAGCTAGAATATAGATTTTATGTCTAGCTATTTAAGACTTTTTGAATTTAGAATGTTTTAAACATTCCAAATTCAAAAAGTACATTTTTAAAACGAACATTCTATGAAAGCACTACTTCAAAAGAATAATACTGTCTGGCTGTGAAAGAATAATTCACGCGCAATCCAAATAAAAAAGTTTCTGTTTAATAAAAACGTGGGATTTTTTTCTTATTGTCTACAACGACAAACATATTTAAGATAATAATTAGCAAATTTAAATCTACATCAAGAGTTTCACTTCTTATTCTCCCATGGAGGTGATAAAAAATGTACCCTTAGTGGGCAACAATTTTCAAGTATTTCAATTGCCTGATATAGTGTTCTGATTCAATGCTTGTATCGCCTTAGAAGACAACAATCTATAATATAAGACTCAATCGCTGAATGTGTTGCTAAGCTCAAATCTCGAGAGCAGCAGAACCGATTTTGCTAATTATTTTTATATAATATTCCTTGAAGTACGAGGATGGTTCGGAGAGAAAATTAAAAATATTGAGTGAAAAAGTCTAAAAACAACACTTGTCTATATTCTCATACAAAATATTCGTAATAATACGTAAAAGTCAATTTGAACTTTAATACCATACCATAAAGTTCAAGTGTTAGTGGAGGTGTTCCAGGAAGGTAAATTTGTATTCTTTGACATAATGTATAACTTATCAACTTCCTTTTTAATTATTTTTTTACCTTACTAGCTAGACCGGTGTCCCTTATAGCAGAATAAGTATTTAAAAAAAATAAAGAATCTACTGTTAGGCGTTACGATTTTCGCCAGGCCAGCTAGTTAATAATAAAACTATCTTGTTAACAGTACAAGTTACTGTGTACCTGACTTATTATTTTAGTAACAGATAATATTTTTTCAGGGATTCCCAGTATTTGCAACAGTCGTAATAGCGAACTACATAGTAGTTAAGGACTGTAAGCACATAGTTGAGTCACTCACAGATGAAGATGTGGCTAATATTAATAAATTATCAAAGGACCCACAAATTGGAGAGCGTATAGTGCAGAGTATAGCGCCCTCTATATACGGACATGATAATATCAAGAGGGGTCTGGCTTTGGCCTTGTTTGGAGGAGAACCTAAGAATCCAGGTAAGTTTAAACTTGAACCAATGCTAATATAAATTGCTGTGTCTGTTGTAGTAAATAGATACCATAAATTCTAAGTTCTAAGATTCATTGTTCA